TTGAATGGAAGTATGTATTATATATATGGTTAACATTACCTTTATGATTAATGCAACTCTATGATAATAAGATGGGGAGGGTGGATGGCCGAATGGTCTAATGTGCACTTATAAGATTGTTTACATGTTTTCAAAGAGAGTACAGTCGTCTGTCTAACCCTCTCCTGTGTCAACCACTGCTGATAAATTCTCTTAACCTGCAGTCTGTCATTCATGTTATCACAAGTTTGTGTAAATATGATGAGTTTTTTTTATGATACAACTGATATTTAAGAGGATTATTAAAGATTAGGCTTTCATGTGACAGTGTGGAGTAAATGTCAACATTTTGATTATTGAATCAAAGATTTTTTAAAATGGTCGTCCTAACTCTACATATTATACAATTAATAATAAGAAAACAAAGTTTGTATTTTATAATTTGGTATTAAGAGGAGAGTTTTATAGGTTTTTTTTTAATGTTAGTCTTTTATATGTTACTTAGTATTTTAATTAGAATTTGCCACTTTATACCTACATATACATGTACAGTGTTACTGGTGATAGGTCTAAATGTTTTGGGTTTTTTCAAAGATAATTCTTGAAAACATAGTTATTGTTTTCAGTCTCTGACAACATTCCCTCGGCCTAAACAAAAAAAATCTCAAGCTGGTCGTATAAAATTTTGTTCTATTCAAATAAATGGCAGAAACATAAATATTCCAATTGGCAATTAATAGTTCCTTACTTCATGTTCCATACTCCACAACAGGCCTTCATTCAGACTAGAACAGGTGAGACACATCACAAGTGATGCCATGCCCAATTGGGAACCATATGTGGTGTCGTGTTTAATTAGGAACCACAACTGGTTCAGTAAGTATGGCATTGCTCACTAACCAAGAGTTCCCACCTGATTCAATCCCAATTTTGCCCGAGATAGTTCTAGTCGACCTTTGTTAGTGGTGCAGGACCGAGAGTTTGGTCAGGTAAACCGGCTAGTTGTTCAGATTGGACAATAAACCTAGGTCTTGTGTTTATTATCGGCAGCACGTTAAAAATCCACTGATTTAAAAGTTGAAATAAGAGTAAGTTGTAGTGTCACTGTCTGGGCAAAATTCCCCTCATAGGACAGGTTGGTGCAGAAATAACTTAGGTTCTGTGCCAGGACGTTAAAGTACCCTGACCGTAAAATTGAAATAAAAGTAGGTTGTCGTTGCCTGGGCCAAATGTCTCTCGCAGTACACTGTATTTTTATCTTCGTTAGCCCGGTTGGTGAATTAAAGTAGTACGTTAAATCCCAATTGATATAATTTCAGTATGGCAAAATTAATAATATTTGAATATTGTTTGTAGTCCCATTAATTCCAAGATAATTACCAAGTGAAAATAAAACTATTTGTTCATAAATGAGTATATTTGATAAATGAGTATTTTTAGCATTTTTTGTAGTACATGTACCATTAATTCCAAGATAATTACCTAGGTAGTAAAAATAAAGTTATTTGTTTATAAATTAGTTTATTTGATAAATGAGTGTTTTGAATGGTTTTTTTTAGTCCCGTTAATTCCGAGATAATCACCAAGTAAAAATATAACAAGTAAACAAGTTAATATTTAAATTGATGTACATGTAGGTAATATGTACTGTGTGTAAATATTACAATAGTAATTCTATTTGTTTAACCTGGTAGATATAGATGTAATAGAGAAATAGTAGGGGGTATAAAAACACATGTTTGTCACATGGTTGACTTACTAACAGTAAAAACATCAAATATTGTTATATATACTGATAATATGTCATCTTGACTCTACTGACATACCTTCTTAACCCTTTCAGTTCCACAATGGAGAGAGAGAGAGAGAGAGAGAGAGAGAGAGAGAGAGAGAGAAATGAGGTTAAAAGTCCACTTGATACAATCTAGATCATTTCATATGATTCATTTTTATTTCAATAATTCGCTTGGAAGTAGAGATCTTTAGCTGTGAGAGGAAACCCACAATGTTTTCGGGACTAACAAGGTTCAATTTTACTACAATAGTTTGGTCGCGCGTAGGGGTCTTTAATTGTGAGAGAAAACCAGAGGACCCAGAGAAAACTCATTCGGTTTAACAGACGACCCCACTCCTTGACATGTTCTTGACTCAATGACAGACCAAGTGATCCTACATGCACAAGTGAAACCATTCGGCCACCAACCCCCTCAAATTGCAGAAAACTGGTATACAAGCTCAATAGTCTGTTGTTTAATATTATTCAGTTTATTGAATAAAATATTGGGGAGTTGGATGGCCGAATAGTTAGTGCGTGCGCACTGTATCATAAGGTCTGCCATTGAGTCAACTAACATGGTTTCGATTCCCCTGTTGTACGTGACAAGAAGTAGGGTCGCCTGTCCAACCTCGGGGTTTTTTTTTCAGGTCCACCGGTTTCCTCCCACCGCCTAAGACCCTTACGCGCAAGCGAGTTATTGAAATAAAATTGAACTAGTCCCGAAATGACCTAGTTTGTGTCGAGTGGACGTTAAACCCCATCTCCCTCTCTCCCTCTCACACAAGATATTGTTTAAACTGACTCCAAATTCCAATAAATATACTGGATTGATGTATGTCCTCTAAGAGTACTGTCAAGCTAACACAATACTTCAGTCAGTTTAAGATAAACATGATAATTGATTTCAGAATCAACTAAAACATCTTGATATGGTGTAAAATGTTATTTATTGATAACTATAGCTATTGATCCAGGGTAGTATGGGTATAGCCATGAACTGGAAGTAGCATAACTCTTAAACCGAAAGTGTTAGTCCATCACCACCAGGCCTATATTAATCCCCGGTCTGAGCTAACCCTATACACCAAATTACAGACTCGGAAGTATAGATAACACAAATAAATGACTATAACAAAATTACAATAGAAACATTAATCAAAATAAGCATTATAAATTAGCAATAATTAACATACATTCCCCTCCCCTCTCTAATCATGCTGGGCTAAATTAGAGCCCCCATTTATGCAGGAGATGCGTAATGCAAGGTTGAAGGATTTTACTTGTAAACACTTCTTTTATGTGTTCAGGGAATGTGCAACATTTTTGGAAAAAAATAGCAGCCCTGAATTTCGGAGGTTGTTTTAACTTTGTAGCCACCTTGGCTCAGTGAATTAAAAGAAAGAAATGGGGTTTAACATCCACTCGAACAAACCAGATCATTTTGGGACTAACATATGATTAAATTTTCTTTCAATGATTTGTATTCTTGTACTGTTAGGAGTCACTGGGACAAAACTTAGGGTCCCTGCTTAACCTTGTGGAGTTCTTCCAGATTCCTTGGTTTCCAATATAGATAGAATCCTTGCACTCAAGCAAATTATTATAATGATGATATACTATATGTTAGTTCCATAGAGTAGGCCGTATAGCACACTGTATGGTGTATACCCATCTTCATTAGCCCAGTTCGAGGCAGAACATTAGGACGTTAAACTCCATTTCATTACATTTCCAAAGAGACCAAGTTACATGTAACCCATCTATCTATCTATCTCATCTATCTATCTATCTATCTATCTCATCTATCTATCTCATCTCATCTCATCTCATCTCATCTATCTATCTCATCTATCTATCTCATCTATCTATCTCATCTATCTATCTCATCTATCTATCTCATCTATCTATCTCATCTATCTATCTCATCTATCTATCTATCTATCTATCTATCTCATCTATCTATCTCATCTATCTATCTCATCTATCTATCTCATCTATCTCATCTATCTATCTATCTATCTATCTCATCTATCTATCTATCTATCTATCTATCTCATTGTCTCTCTGAGACAAAAAGTCGTCAGCTGAATATAGGTGTATTTATTTTATTTTAACACTAGGATTAGGTTTTGGCCCCTTTATACACCAGCTTTTTTTCATCAGATTGTTATCCCAATTTTCCCACAGTGTCGAATTCCTCTCCTCTTTAGGGAATTCCCCTACTTTGCTATCAGACTCAGAGTGTGTGTGTGTGTGTGAAATAGGTTTATTTGATGTCCACTTCCACCAAAGTGATATCCCGAACAAGCTCAGTCTGTGGTTACGTTTAATTTCATGACAAACAGGTTTTTATACGTCCACATTCATAATGTGAACGTATTATGCCGTCGCCCCTGTCTGTGTGTGTGTGTGTGTGTGTGTATGTATGTATGTGTGTGTGTGTGTGTGTCTGTGGTTCGCCTACAGGGCGCAATTCTTCATGGATTTTCTTCAAACTTGGTATACTTATTCCTTATACCCCAAGGAAGATCCCTATTGTTTTTGGTGCATGCCCGACCCCCCGGGGCAGAGCCACGCCCATTTCTAGTATTTGTTTGTTTGTCGTCTACAGGCCACATTTCTTAACTAATAATCTTGAAACTTTGCATACACATTCTTTGTACCCTAAGGAACATCCCTATCGTTTGGGGTGCATGCCCAACCCCCAGGGGCAGAGCCACGCCCATTTTCTTTTCGTGTGTCTTTGTGTCGCCTACAGGGCGCAATTCTTACTGGATTTTCTTCAAACTTGGTATACTTATTCCTTATACCCCAAGGAAGATCCCTATTGTTTTTGGTGCATGCCCGACCCCCAGGGGCAGAGCCACGCCCATTTCTAGTTATTCTTTAAGTGGCATTTAGCGATCAGGGAACAAATTAACAGAACACAGTTTTTATGGGATACAATCACTAGTTTATTCTAAAAGCACAACGTTTCCACAAGTATTCTCTTATCGTTATCAATCAAGCAAAAAAAAACAAAAAAAAAACGTCATGCTTTTAGAATAAAGACATCGATTGTTTTAAAATAAAAATTGTGTTCTGTTAATGTGAACGAAATGTTATACTGATAGCAGTCCTACAACCCAGTTTTATTTCACAGACCCTCAATGCAAACTGGACCATATCAAACAAAACAGGAATGTGGACGTATATTGCTGCGTTAGCGATGCTCTTGTTATTTTTAATTGTTGATGTTTTTCAGGGCCAAGATGGTTTCGAAGAATTACGGAAATATATTAAACAAGGAAGCGAATTCTCAAAGGAAGTGGCCACCATAATTCAAGAAAGGTAAAATATACCATGGAAATTTATAGCATGGTTTTCTTGAGTTGACAGAGGTTATCAATCTTGTCCGTTCAATTTTCTTCCCTTCACCACCTTACCGATTGTCTAGTTAGTGCACGGTTTAATCTCCACCCCAATCTGTTACAGCGAAAACAATCTGCTTATTCAACAAAAAAGATTCTCCGTCAACTATACAAGTAATTTTATAGTCGACTGATTTAAATAACAAGCACTACACAGGCTGGAAAATTACAAGGAATTTTTTCCTGCATGATAGTCCAACCTGTGGGTTTTCTCCAGATCTTCTGGTCTCCTCCCACTGCTAATCAAATAACTGGAATAGAAATTGAACCATATGTTTGTCTCTCCACGCTGAATTGAACGTGTCCTGAGAGTCTGTAAACTACTGATGTCTATATTAGGCTATTAATTGACTTGACCAAAACATTATGGTGTTTTAGTAATTTTACTTTATTCTACAACTACATGCAAATACAAGCAAATATCATTGAATACAGCCATTGAATAACCTATGGGTGTATTCAATGGCTTCGACAGGGACTAATATTCCAAAGAATGATGTTACTTCCAGAATGGCATCACTACTTGGCAACCATTGTTTTTATTTTAAAAAAATAGCAGAATCTATGAATAATTTTAACATTATTGGTGATGATTGTTTTTTGTTTTTGATAATCTGTCTACAGATGATTATGTTGAGATTTGCTTGTAGTATTCAATGGTGATTGAGTTCTATTTATATATTTATATTAACTGGTTGTGACAAGTGTGTGGCCCGTTTGTGTATTAGTGTAAAATATTCATCCTGTCGATGTGGTAAACACTATAGATATTTGAACTCCTATGTATATATGTACATAGAAGTCCCCTGGTCAACCAGACATGATCTGAACACAAACATTGATGACATACCACACGCAAGTGTTGTGTTGACATAGGTATTATCTCCCCCTTAAACCTGTTATACACGAATTAACTCTGTTAATTAAGTTAACTAGTATCTGACTGTCAGTAATGGAAACTTGACTTCTATCTGAAGTTAACATGATATCGGGACTTACTATTGAGTTATAAGTAAATATCTTGCACTTCAGATTAGTAAAACTCATCGCATTAGACAATTTTGAATGTTTGTCTTAATATTCACAATCGGATTCAAATACAGATCTATATTTCGTTTCGTTTTTATTCCTTTTGTGTCCTCTACTACATGAAGATCTGACCGGTTGTAGTGGGAGGTCACGTCAGGGGTCATATGATAATGAGTAGCTTTTGAACCTATGACCTCAGACATTTGATTAGCCAATTAATTGCAATCAGTGTTGATGTTTCTAGTGGAATACCCACAGTTCCATAACAGACCATTCATTGGCTAATTCTTCACATCAACAAGAACGTGTGTTTCATAACAACTCTTCCAGATCCAAGTGTAGTAAAGACAAGTAAAACGAAATTTTTAACTATAAAAAACGAAACGAAATAGGATCTGTGTTTTAACCAGATTGTGATATGCCTGTAGTTATGTTTTCATTTATTTGGGAGTCCCCTACCTTAGTAATCTAAATTGTATTGAAGGAGGCGGGGGGGGGGGAATGGTTGCGGGGTCTAAATGCATGAGCTTCAGATCATAATGTCTGTGATTGAAACAAGTGTTATGGTTTCTAACCCATGCTTGTACATGACAAGGAGTAGGGTCCTTGGAAATTCTCTGGGTCCTCCCACAGTTGAAAAACCCTACGCACAAGCGAATTGTTTAACTAAAATTCAACCATCCCTCTCTCTCTCTCGGAACATTTTTCGAGGTTTCTTATATGATATTGCTTTCTTTTATTTTCACAGAGCTGAACTAGAAACATCCTATGCCAAGTCATTATCAAGACTGAGTAAAAAATTAAGCAATGCTGCCGCCGGTGGTGTGGGGTAAGTAAGAGTTATTTCCCTTCATGTAAGTAAAACATAAAAATACTTATACAACACACATTGTTAGCTTCTTGCATGTGTGAAATAAATGTATTTATCTATTTTATAGATCATATATTTATTTATACATTATTGATTTTCTGGATAATTTATTTTATAGATAATTATTGATTTTTTTATAGATAATTGTGATGATTTATTGATTTTATAGATATGAATAATTTATTGATTTTTTGGATAATTTATTGAGATTTTGGATAATTTATTGATATTTTGATAATTTATTTATCTATTTTATAGATCATTATCAGAAGGATGGGTGACAGTAGCGGTTGCCATGGAACAAGAAGCAGAATTACACAAGTAAGTTACATGTGCATATCCAGGCCTGGAAATAATGCTTTTACCTGAACGAGACAAAATTTAAGAACCACTGAATAAAAATAGGCAAATGGCAGGCACCAGACAGGTTGTGTTCGACAAAGCCATCGTCTGTGACAGGTGTATTATTTCAATATGAATAGTTGTTCGGACGGTATAAAAACTAGGGTTATCCTCTATGTACACATGGGCGTTCATGTAAAACCATCATTTGTATCTCATACCTTGCTTTGCTTATGTAGTCATAGAAATAAATAAAAATTCCAAAATTCGAGTTTATTAATACAGGGGGTTGGGTGGCCGATTAGTTAACGTGTGCGTGTTGAGTCATAAGGTCTGTCATTAAATCCAGTGTCATGGTGCCGATTAACCGCTTGTACGTGACAAGGAGTAGGGTTGCCTGTCCTACCTCGTGAGTTTTCTCCGGGTCCTGCCACTGCTAAAGATCCCTAAAGATTGAATTAAAATTGAACCATATGTTAGTTGAGAAATGACCTATGATGATTTGTATAAGATTTAGTTATAATTATTGATGTTGTATATTTCAGGAACCTGGGTACTGGTTTAGGGGAAGAAATAGGAAAACCTTTAAAACTAGCCATGGAGGCTCATAGTAAACTTAGAAAACCTGTAAGTTTGATAACAATTTTGATATATGAGGAAATATTTATCAATTGATGTTTGTTTCTTTACTGGTAAAATAAAAAATTATCAGTTGTCCTAACAAATATTTACATAAGATTGCCCTCTGTTTAGTTTTTAAAAATAACACATGGGCCGTAGAATTAGTAAATATCCCATAGTAGACAAAAAACAGATTAAAATCAATTGAAGATTTGTATTTAAAACACGATAGAGATATTCCAGGCCTTATAACCTATCATTAATTTTCAGATTGAGAGTACTGTTGATAGATCGTTAAAATCTTTAACAGACAGACGGACAGAGGAATATAAGGTAATATTAACCATGGTTGTCTTCTTACAACAATGGAAGGGGGGTTGGATGGCTGAATGGTTAGCATGTGCTGTCATTGAGTCAACTGGTGTGGTTTCGAATCCCCGGTTGTGCGTGACAAGGAGTAGGGTCGCCTGTCCAACCTCGTGGATTTTCTCCGGGTCCTCCAGTTTCCTCCCACTGCTTAAGACCCCTACGTGCAAGCGAATTATTGAAATAAAAAAATTAAACTGTATGTTAGTCCTGGAATGACCTAGTTTGTGTTGTTGAACCCCATCTCTCTCCCTCTCTCACAACAACGGAAATTATCTTAAAACAAATTTGCAATCTTCGCGTATTTCGCTGAATATAACGGATTAGAAATTACAGAAACGATTGAATGTAAATCAGATTATATATATTCATATTACATAATTATATGCATTGCGAACCGTTTGTGTCAATTTCTTGGTGACAAATATTAGAAATTTAGCTCCGTTAAACTCCACTTTTCTCCCTCTCTATTTTATTGTTGTTGTCTCGTTTTGTAAATCCTGTCGTCGTTAGCCTACTTGCTGCAGACAAATAAGACATTAAACATATTTTAATTTTTCTGTTTATATAAAATTTCTTAGATCAATCTATATTTTATATTTTTCCAGGCTAAAAAATCCGCTTTCTCTTGTGCTAAAGATTATGAAAAAGCTGAAGATGCTGAAGTCAAATCGGGTAAAGATAAAGAAATAAAAAAGGTGAGATTATATGAAATCCATAAAGGATCACCCAAGATGTTATGTTATAATTGTATAATCAACATTTGTTTAAACTGTGTATGCTGTTCTTCCTTGATGCAGTGATACAATAAAATCTTATCTTATTGTCTCAAGAACATAAGATCGAAATATTACCGTTGCCAGTCTCTACATCATCTATTTGCCCAACCGGGTTTATATTGTAATATACTAGACTTTTTAAAAGAGACATGTTTTTATCATAAATTTTAATTGTATATTTATCATTTCATTTTTGTATTTTAAATATTAATATGCATAAAAGGTTTATTTCATTTTTAATTTTATTTACTGTGATATTGTTTTTATTTATACATATAGTACTTGAACTTGTCTCACATAAATCACCATATGTTTGGCGCAATATAGCCCAGTGGGTGCTGACCTGCCATAAAACCACATTTCATTTCATTTCATTTCTTATCTTATTGATTTAAGGCCACACACAAAAAATATATTGGTTCTCAGACAATCTTTATCAAAAATCTGATGCGGGAGGGAGGGAGGTTTTTTATTTTTGTGTTTTAAATTTGTCAGCAGATCAGTTTTTTTATAGAGCTTACTACTTGTACAATTAATGAGACTGCAGCATGGCTTCCTCTGGTCGATGGAGGAGGGCCTTGTAAGGAACAATCGAATGGGGTGAAAAACTGAGGTCCGGTGTAAATAACCTTTTTACAGTTGTAATTCGAAATAAGTTTGGGCTTTAGTACCGCCACTTGTGAGAAATTTTCCTCATAGCACAATATCCCGTTATCATTGGTCCAGTTTGTGTACAAAATTAGGACATTAAACCACATTCCATTTTCATTTGATAATTTGATAATGTGAGGAAAATGATTTTTTTTTTATGTCTTACAGAATGAGAAGAAGTGTAAACAGTCTCGCGATCATGTTAAAAAAGCTGATAAACTTTATACCGAGTGTTGTTGTAAAGCTGAAACTGCACGACAAGACTGGGACCATACCGTACAGAAATGTAGTACCAGCATGCAACAATTAGAAGAAGAACGTTTACACAAAATGCACGATTTCTTATCCAAATACAATAATCAAATATCTGCAATAGGTCCAAAAATAACTCAGGTAAGTTTCACCGTTTGGTTGTGCTAGCCGGGGGGGAGGAGCTGAAGGGTTAGCGCATCCGCACTGTATCATAAGGTCTGTCATTGAGTCAAGTGGCGTGATTCCCGGTTATGTGCGTCAAGGAGTAGGGTCGCCTGTCCAACCTCGTGGGTTTTCACCGGGTCCTCTGGTTTCCTCCCGCCGCTAAAGACCCCTACGCGCAAGCAAATTATTACAAAATTCTCTCTCTCTCTCTCTCTTTGTGGTAGCTGCTGTGGCTCAGTTAGTAAGACACTGGCTCGCTAGCTTGGATGGAGGTCTCGGGTCTGCTCCCGATGTTGGCCTAAAAACATTATGTTGTGATTTTCTAGAGTGGTTCACCCTTGTCGGTGATGTAGGAAGTAGAGCCTGACAAGGACACCTGTCTAGTCGTTTGGATGGCATGAAAAACCGAGATCCTTGTAAACATTGGTGTCCACCTTTGACAAATATTCCCCTCATAGCACACTACATGGCATATGTTCGTCTTCATTAACCTAGCTGGTGCAGAAAGTAGGACGTTAAACAGATCCATGCTATAAGGTTTTTGCCCCTGAAATGTCTTGAATTGCTGTTTTATAGATATATGTGTAATATTTTCAATACAATATTCTATAGAATTATAGATGTTATTAATTATATTTTAGATACAATATTTGATAGATATTATTAATTATAGATGTTATTAATTATATTTTAGATATGTTCTCGTTTAAATGAATCTGTGATATCCGTTGATATAAATAACGATCTACAAGCTGTCGTATATCAGAAAGGTGTTAAAGGTCCACGACATGCCGAACAAATTTTAGTAGACTGCTACGTAAGTTTATAGATTTTACCATGGTCCGTGACTAATACGCTAGCTGACTGACCAGAAAGGGGAGCCGCTGTGGTTCAGGGAGTAAGATGCTAGCTCTCTAGCCTAGAGTTGTCGTGTTTGTTTCTGGTGTTTGCCGAGAAAGTTCCTGGAGATTTTCCAGCATAATTTCCCCTTGTCAGTGATGCATGCGAAGGGCCTGACACGGACAGTCGTTCAGGTGGGACGAAAAACCGAGGTCGCATGTACACATTGGCATGCACAAACTCCACATAAAAGAACCCTTGACAGTTGGAATTTGATATGAATAGGCCGCTGTCTGGAGACAAAAATTCACTCATTGCACACTGTTTGCCCATCTTTAGTAGCTCTAGTTTTTTGGATGGTATGGAAAAAAAAGACTACCATCTGTGTACTGGTTGGTGTTTATCTAAAATGAGTAGGGTCGCCTGTCCAACCTCATGGGTTTTCTCCGGGTCCTCTGGATTCCTCCCACTGCCAAAGATCCCTACGCGCAAGCAAATTATTGAAACCATATGTTAGTCCCGAAATGACCTGGTTTGTATCAAGTGGACGTTAAACCCCATTTCTCTCTCTCTTTATCTAAAATGTCCCTGAAATTTGCGTAAGGTCGTCTTCATTTAGCCCAATCGGTGCAGAAGAGTATGAAGTTGAACGCCATATCATTTCATTTATTCTAATTATCTTGAAACTTGAAGGTCTGATTTGAAACTTGAAAAGGTCAAAAGTTACTGCCGTTGGTTGACTTATTAAAGTCATTGAAACAATTTGACAATATGTTAGTGGCAAAATGATTAGATTCTGTTGAAACTAAATTCTTGTGTTTTATTTTATTATTTAGGCGGAAGATAGTCAGTTTCCCATGAAACCTGACAGACGACGATCAGCGTTACAGAATTATCTCTTGTATTTACACGCTAATATAGAAAAAGATAAAAAAGGAAGAGAAGGTAAAAAAAAAACCATATTGAATCATACGGAAATTAGTCATGGAATATCAGTCAAATTATAACAGGTAGCAATGGTGACTCGCTAATCAAGGATATCTCAGCTCAGGGTTGCTCCCAATGCAATCTGATTGCGTTTTTTTAGTTCAAAATTTTGTTTTACTTGTCTTCAAAACACTAGGATCTGGAAGAGTTGTTATATAACAGGCGTTCTAGTTGATGTGAGGAATTAGCCAATGAAACGTCAACGCTGATTGATTAATCAATGTCTGACGTCATGGGTTCAAAAGCCGTTCGTATGACCTGATCTCCCAGTACAACTGGTCAGATCTTCATGTAGTGTAGGCCATTGATAGTTTAAAAAAACAAAACAAAACAAAATATAGATCTGTTTTTTTAATCAGATTCCTCCCAATGTCCACCGAAAAGTAAATGTGGATTTCCCTGTGTGGTTTTCCCTTGCTAGTGTTGCAGGACCGAAGGTCTGGAAAGAAACGTCATCTGGTCGTTTGGATGGGACGTAAAACTGAGAACCTAGCATACCTTGACATAAATTACACAGGGTGTTGGGATGGCCTAGTGGTCTAGAGTGTCGGGCTTGTGTTGGGATGGCCTAGTGGTCTAGAGTGTCGGGCTTGTAGTTGTGGTTTTGATCCCTGGTATGAGCATATGTGGGTTGAAGATAGGGACGCCTTCTCAACCTTGTGGAGGGGATCACGTGGCTAAGTGGGTAAGACGCTAGCTCGCTAGCCTGGAGGTCGGGTGTTCGATCCCTGCATTGGCCGAGAAAGTTCATCCAGATTTTCCGGCGTGGTTCACCCTTGTCAGTGATGCAGGATGGAGGGGCTGACAAGGAAAGCTGTCTAGTCGTTCGGATGGGACGAAAAACCAAGGTCCCGTGTACACATTGGCGTGCACGTAAAAGATCCCTTGGCAGTTGGAATTCGATATAAGAGTAGGCCGTAGTGCCGCTGCCCGGGCAAAATTTCCCTCATAGCACACTGTATGGCATATGCCCGTCTTCATTAGCCCAGGTTAGGAGCAGAACAGTAGGACGTTAAACCCCATTTCATTTCATTTCATTTCAACCTTGTGGATAAACTCGAGGTACTCCGTTTTCCTCCAAAATAAAAGACAACTGCACGGGTGCTTAGATAATATAAATGAAACTTGTCTGAGATATCAGCCTTGGTGAGAGTGGACATTAAACACTAACAACAACACTAATTTACAAATTTACGTTTATTTTTACCAGGAGCTCAGAAACTAGTTGATGTGTATAAAACAAGACCTAATTTTGGTGACGCAGAAGCCCAAGAAGAGATTTTATTAAATTTAGAAAAAGTAAGTATTTTAATTAAATTAGATATATGAATTCGCCGATAGTATAGGAATATTAAAATCAGGTTTGGTTATTTAAACAGGTTTCTTTGCCGCTGTGGTTTCTTTCGGACATCAGTTTGAATGTGGGTGGTTGGATGGCCGAATGGTTAGCATGTGCGCGCTGTATCATAAGGTCTGTCATTGAGTCAACTGGCATGGTTTGGATTTTTTTTTTTGTATGTGACAAGGAGTAGGGTTGCCTGCCCAACCTCGTGGGTTTTCTCCAGGTCCTCCCACTACTAGAGACACCTACGTGTAAGGGAATTATTGAAATAAAATTGAAACATGTTAGTCCCGAAATGACCTAGTTTGTGTCAAGTGGATGTTAAACCAAATCTCTCTCTCTTTTGCAACCCATCCAATCGACAATACACTGTCCTTGCCAGACCCTCCATCCTGCACCACTGACAAGGTGGAACTGTGCCGGAATGGCACACCGCTTCTTTCGATGAAAGACGGACAAAATCATTCGCACCTTTTCCTCTGAAATCCCATATCTAACTGAAATGTGTTTTCTCCATTTCAGATAACTTATATGTTAAATTTTTCTCTGTTTCAGATAACTTATATGTTGAATTTTTTAGAAGCTTCCCATTATAAGATATCAGCTTGTTTAGCTAAACAAGATAAAATGTCTTCACCTACGCATAAATTTGCACAATATATTCACACTACTCGTGATAAACAGGTTAGTACCTTGATATAAATCATTTAATATTAAAATACAGATGTGACGTCATCCTTTGAAATATTGGACTTGTGTGAAATATTAGGCCTGATATTTCAGGGTTGATTAGGCCTGAAATATTATATAAACTATTAATTAGACATTTTTTAATATGACAAGACCATAATCAACCCTCGATGGCATCGAATATCCCTCATATTAAGTAGATTAGAACAGTCCAGCCCTATTTTGATTTAGGTTAGAAATGGAGAAGCTAGGCTTAGCTTTGAACAACCAGTACAGTAGTTGAAATTAATGAACATATCGTGTCAAACCTTCAAAGGCTAATATCTTCGCTCACAATAGAGTAATTTGAATGAAATTTTCAATTTATTCATTTTACATTATCTATTTTCGTACCATTATAGCAAGAATGGCCAGCTCTTCATCTAATCTTACATAATGTATTTTTAATGTCTCACCCTCAACTATTAAACTATACATACTATCAATTTGATACAGGGATTGTGATTGTGTTAATGTACCTTTTGTTGTTGAATCTTTCAGAATCATTTAGTAAGTACATTAAAATTACCGGTGAATCTGGCGTTAGAAGGGAGTTCTGAATATAGTTATTCAGCTGGCTCGTATTCCGGATCTAACGAAGTTTATTCTGAAGTGGAAGAGAGGAGAGACGATTCATTCGGTAAATTATTCTTTATTAAAACTAGCCAATAGTTATTTTGTTATAAAATAAAGAGGGAGTGGATTGTCCCCTCTTCTTTTGGAGAAAGTAGGGAACTATTAAAAGGGAGTCGTCTGTCTGTAGAACGTTCAAGTATGGTGTAGATAGTCATGAGCTGAACATCTTGACTGAGTTTGAGATTGGTCAAGACTTTGGAACACAAAACCTACAAGATGAACCTACAGAATACATAGACATTTGGATGGCCGAATGGTTAGCACGCGAGCGCTGTATCATACGGTCTGTCATTGAGTCAACTGGCAGGGTTTCGATTCCCTGGTTGTACGTGGCAAGGAGTAGGGTCGCCTGTCCAACCTTGTGGGTTTTCTCCGGGTCCTCCGGTTTCCTCCCACTGCTAAAGACCCCTATGCGCAAACGAATTATTGAAATAAAATTGAACCATGTGTTAGTCCCGAAATGACCTAGTCTGTGTCAAGTGGACGTTAAACCCCATTTCTCTCTCTCTCTCTCTCTCACATAGACATTGTAAGAAATAAACAATTGGGCTATGAGGGAGGAAATTTTGCCAGGACAGCGGTGCTACGGCCTACACTTATATCGACTTCAACTGCCAAGGAATCTTTCACGTGCATGCCAATGTGTACACGGGGCCTCGGTTTTTCGTACCATCCGATCGACTAGACAGCTGTCCTTGTCTGGCCCTCCGTCCTGCATCACTGACAAGGGTGACCCACGACGGAAAATCTGGATGAATATATGTGATCGAGGTGCAGTACCTGCCTATTGGATCAAAGCCACGGGGGCTACGTTAATCTAGTTGTCATGGTACAAATCCTGTCATGTGTCCAGAATAATGTCAGGACTGTCCAGCTTGTTAAATATTGATAATATTTTTATGTATTTATATATATTATAGATGATGAGTTTGAAGATGATGAAGAAGAAAATACGACTGTGATAAGTAGATGTAAAGTTTTATATGATTATACAGCATCACGAAGTGACGAAATATCTATACGAGCAGGTTAGTATAGCCTAAATATTATAAACTTCCAGGCGCTTTGGGTGGCTGAATGGTTTAACGTGGACCACAAGGCCCGTTATTGATTTGGGTGGTAGGTTTTCTCCCGGTTCTCTGGTTTCCTTCCACTGCTAAAGACCCCTACGAACAAGAGAATTATTAAGTGAGTGAACCATACTTTAGTCCAGAAATGAGCTAGTTTGTGTTGAGTGTACATTGAATCCCATTTATCGCTCTTTCTCTGGTATAAATTATTTTGATTGTTTTATTTCCAGGTCAGATAATTAATGTTTACAATAAACAAGCAGATGGATGGTGGAAAGGTGAAGTTGATAAAAAAGTTGGGATATTTCCGTCGACCTATATCGAGGAGTTATAGATCTAACTACGATTTACTACATTCAAACATCCGCATTGCATAGTGCAGACGTTATTTATTTCACGTTAAAAGATGATGATATATCGTCGTTGTTCCATTCATGATGACTTGATATGGAGCATTTGAACATCCGCATTGCATAGTGCAGATGTTATTTAATTCACGTTAAAAGACGATGATATATCGTTGTTGTTCCATTCACGATGACTTGATCTTGAACATTCTAACATCCACATTGCACAGTGCAGACTTTATTTAATTCACGTAATCGTTGTTGTTCCATTGCCAATAACTAGATGTGGAATATTTGAACAACCGCATTGCACAGTGCAGACTTTATTTTCACACACAAAGAAAGTTGGTGATGTATTTTTGTTGTTCCATTCGCAGAAACTTATTTATTCACATCACCCCTCGGCACTTGGCAGTGGATGGAATAATAAGAAGAAGCAGTAATAACTTACCTGACTCCTTTCATCGAATGCTGTGTGGGATTGCGCTACCAGATATCCAGACACTTTCTTAAACCTGTTCTGCAACATTTATATTCATTATGACGTGTGTGTTTTTTTTCGATTCAGATGGGACGAAAACATTAGAACACTAGATTTCATTTCATTTTTTTATTAGAGTCCTTGCGAATGACAAAGTGACTCTTGGAGAGTGGAAGATTAACAGAAAATAAGCAATATATCTTTCTAATCTTTTATAATATAAGAATGTGAATATAGCAACATCTTTTGTAGTTTGTGATAATTTAGACGAATTCGTTTTCTTAAAAAAAAGATTTATGTGTGGATAAAATATTGTGTGTACGATAATATGTATGAACTTCCAGTACATCGCCAAAATAACCTGTGAATCGGATATAAGTGAAATTGTTTGTTAAGCATATTTTAAAAGCAGAAATCATGTGTTGTGTGTACGCTAATATGTACTTACATAATTGTACATCCCAGATATAACCTGCAGAACGGATATACATGAAACTGTTAAGTATATACTAAAAGTAGAAATCATCATAGACCAACATATATATATGTGTAGGACTTTGAATTATATTATTTTATATTGTATATAGAAAAGTGGTTGGAACATTCATCAAACCAAATGGAACTGATTTTTTTGTGTATTGAGATGATGTATGTGTTAATCACTTTGTTATATCGCGATAAACTGTGCTTCTTCAACGCTTAAAAACTTTATCAAACAGGGGTCTAAGTGTTCTGCAACACTTACAAAACTCTATCAATCAGGGGTCTAAATGTTCTGCAACCCTTAAAAACACGATCAATTAGGGGTCTAATTACAACATATTGTGAAAACTCCTAAATATACATTTTAAAATGTTGATAATGCTAAAAATTGTCATATTCCTTGAAAAAAATATCTTGCAAGTCGGGTGTGAACAAAATTGAAAATAGGTCAAAAAATGGACAGAAATACCTGACTAAAGGGAAATTTTATTCTGTTGTAAACAAAATGGTTTAAATTCAGACCTTAATCATTTTATTGTCCTTCGATCATTTTCACCCATTTAAATGTATGAAAGATCATTGCAATATCTGTAAAAAATAAGTTTTCCACCAGTTGTTGATAATTCAGTGTTATTTCGTCTTCCTGTTTATTTCTATACAGGTATCTTGATACAAATACAGGTCATATATTTCTATACAGGTATCTTGATACAACTACGGGTCATATCTTCATACAAGATCTTGATTCCGTATTCAACAAGAGGTTTGTTGAGTGAGTCACATGTTTAGTTTAGCTTGCCACAATTTGTTCTTCCAACATAAAATCTCAGAATTTGGACAAAATCTATTCAAAACTGTAGAATCTATCATTATCTTTACAAATGGAATTCTAAAGATGTTGAGAATCTATTGTGGTAATTATTTTTGTTTATGACACTTTATCATATATATTTAAAGATGCATTATGTACGTAAACGATAAAAAAAACTCAGATCACTTCTGTTAAAACAAGATTCATTATGTATTGCAGGGTTTTTTTTCTGGCTTTAAATGTTTATATTAATTATTTAGACATTTATTCCCATGAGAAGCCTATAATCAACTCTTCAGGCCGTAAGATATTAAGTGAATTAAAAAATGTCTGCCATATTAAGATATTTTCACTATTGCTTGTTAACACTTTAAACATTAACAACTCTGATCATAATTAAGTAATTTGAATGAAATTTTCAATCTATTTATGTTCAATGATTCATTTATTAAACTATTATAGTAAGATCGTCCAGCTCTTTATATAAATCTTACATAATGCATCTTTAATAGAAATATTTTAAATGAAATTTTATGTAAATGATGACAGATCAGATATAATTTTGATTTGTATGTTTATCTTTCAGGATATGGTAGACAATCTTCATCCATTGTTTTAACTATATATGTAGATCTGACTCATCTATATCACATTACGTACCTAAAGCATTGTTCATCATATTACATTCAATTAAAGTAATTCACTAGTTGTCTTGTATACGTCCGTATGAAAATTATGTTGTTGCCCCTGTCACAGAGCCAGTTATATTTAAATCTTGTTTTTGTCAAATAAACGATCAACTGCTAATGTTGGGTTTATAACTTTAATTTCTAGAGCAGTGTTGAATAATTAATTAGTCTGTTAATTACTCAACGCTTTTTGAGAAAGTAAACAGTTATAAACCCAACACTCGTTATGTAATCTAGACAGACCATTTTAAACTACTCGACAGTAGGAACCAAATGGTTTTCTATGATTCTCAATGGATTTGAACAGTTCTCCAACAATGGTTTGAAACTAAACTTTAAATACAGAAACTACCCCTAAAACAGAACAACTAAACGATATCCAAGTTGTAGTGTAAAATGCTAATTAGTAAAATCTTAAAAATGTGTCGAAGACTGTTATAATTTAATGTTTCTAGAATTGCTTTCTATAATTAAGAGCAATGGCTAATGAACTTATAATGATATAACGAAGCCTGTTATATTTAGATCTTAACAAATGTTCTATATATGTGTGTATATAATAGTATTGTATATTTAGTATTATAGGATGTATGTACATATAAGGACAACACTCTGGTAGATAAACATATATACCACACTTATTATATACAATCAGGTTGTCATAGAGATTATTATTATTATTGTTATTATTATTATATTAGTTCCAAACAAACATATAAAATCAAACATATCTAAAATGAAATATTTGTTGGTTTATTTATTTTAACCCTCCGATGACCAGCTGAAAGTCTCTGATTGAGTGATGCCCAGCTGAAAGTCTCTGATTGTGTGATGCCCAGCTGAAAGTCTCTGATTGAGTGATGCCCAGCAGAAAGTCTCTGATTCAGTTATGCCAAGCTAAAAGTCTCTGAGTGATGCCCAGCTGAAAGTCTCTGATTCAGTGATGCCCAGCTAAGAGTCTCTGATTCAGTGATGCCCAGCTGAAAGTCTCTGATTCAGTGATGCCCAGCTAAGAGTCTCTGTGTATGATTTGAGGGATATAAGAATCACTTGCAAACTACAACATCGTAAAACTTGAATCTCTAATAGGGAGCTACGTTGACTCAGTGACTAAGACGTTAGCTTGCTAACGTGGAGGTCCCGTGTTAGCTGGGATAGTTCATCAGGATTTTCCAGCTTGGATCCTCCTTGTTGGGGGTGCAGGACAGAGGACCTGGCCGCAAGTGACAACTTTTAATCGCTCGGATTGGATGAAAAAGTGAGGTCCCGTGTACACATTGGTGTGCACGTAAAAGAACCCTTGACAGTTGGAATTCGATAGAAGAGTAGATCATAACACCACTGTCAGGGCGTATGTCCGTCTGCATTAGCCCAATTTCATTTCATCTAATATTATTACCAGTCAAACAATGGTGAACTGAAATTCCATTAATCTATGCTGCTCCCTTTTTATACACGCCCACAGCCATCTTTATGTTCTACAAAACTGAGAGGTTATAATATCGTACATATTTAAAGATACATTATGGGAGATAAGATAAAGAGATGGCAGTTCTCGCTATAATAGTTAAAAACTAGATAGTGTAAAGGTAATTTGCTGAAAATGTTAGTCAAATTGATCCACTATGAGCCGAGAAAGAAGCGGGTGAAATTTTTGCATAGTCTCGGTCATCATTACTAAAATCATTAATATAAACAGCATAGTCTCGATTATCCTCTTTTATTGATTTTAAATTATCAATAGTCGTTAGCGGTATATAGGAATCTAATCCAGCCAACATCGAAGGCTAGCCTTGCTTGACATCGAGAGTTTATTATGGTCTGGATAATGTCTAATTAATGTCTAATTGATAATTTAGATAACATTTCAGGCCTAAAGAAAGACTTGTAATAAGCGGATTTTGCTCTTGCATAATGCATGTTTAATTTTGTTTTTGTTAAAAGATACATTATGTAAGATTTAGATAAATAGCTGGTCATTCTTGCTATAATATACTATTCAAAAAAAGTAGGGGATATTTGATTTTGGGGGCATAATACTAAAATATGCAAATGACTACGAAAAAAGTCACTATAGAACCTAACAGAAGAAACATTTCCAGTTACATGTGACGCCCAAACGCACCAATAGCTACCGCATGGAATGCAGGTGATGCTTGGGATCATCATGGGGGTCCAACCCAAGATTTGCACGACTCTGACTTTGAATGTTACAGTCATTGTGGCATTGAATTCCAGGGTGGAAACATCAGTTTAATTTTTTTAGTGACCAGAAAACAAATTTTGATATGCGTCGGCTTACCCAAAATGAAAGGTAACGTGCCCTTGGCAAGCTACAGATCGGCACAACACAGGCGGTTGTGGCGCGGACGATGAATGTTTCTCAGTCTGTCATAAGCAGGCTATGGTCCAGATACCGTGATACACAATCTGTACAGGACAGACCATGCTCAGGTCGACCAAGGGCGACAACTCAAGCCCAGGATCGATTTATCCGTACCTTGGCCTTGAGAAATCGTGTCATCACAGCAAATCAGATCAGCGCTCGTCTTCAAACAGACACTGGTGTGAGAGTGAGTGGCCAGACGATTCGGAATCGACTGCATAGGGGTCACCTTCGCGCCCGACGTCCTCGCGTGATCCCTTGTTTGAGAGATCATCACATTCAGGCAAGACGTCGTTGGTGTAGGGATCGTCAACACTGGGATAATCGACGCTGGAGCAATGTGATGTTTTCAGATGAGTCAAGGTTCACTGTTGATTTTTTGGACAGACGTAGGAGGGTGTGGCGTCGTCGAAACGAGCGCTTCCAAGACGTTAACGTCATCAGACATGATCGATTTGGGGGTGGTTCTGTTATGGTGTGGGGAGGCATCACTGTTGCTGGAAGAACGGCTTTACATGTTGTTGCAGGGCGTGTTACAGGCCAGTACTACCGGGACAACATCTTGGCAGTCCATGTTGTGCCGTTCGCACGACGTCATGGCCGCCGTTTCATCTTCCAGGATGACAACGCAAGATGTCACAGGGCCAGGATCGTTACAGGTTACCTCCAACAACAGAACATCACCACATTACCTTGGCCAGCACTGAGTCCCGACCTCTCCCCCATCGAGCATGTCTGGGACATGTTTGGACAGAGGTTACGTCAACGTCAACAACGTCCTGCCAATGTCCAAGAACTTGCTGCTGCGTTGCAACAGGAATGGGACAATCTGGACCAAAATGACCTTAGACGTCTCATTAGGAGTATGCCACGTCGGATCAATGCTTGTTTGGCAAACAGAGGAGGATTTACCCGTTACTGACTTGGTTGTGATGCTGTGGTAACTTTGCTGTTTGACCCCAGGTATCATTTTACCCTTATAATGGTCAGTCTGTGCCTTACTTAGTCTAACGATCATTTGGAATAAATCGATGAATGTGAACTTCATTTCATTTTGTCATTTATTTCTTCGTCAGTTTCATTAGGTGACTTTAATAACACTTAAAAATCAAATATCCCCTACTTTTTTTGAATAGTATAGTTCAAAAATAGAAAACGCAAAATATATATATATTGAAAATTTCATTCAAATTACTTTATTCTGAGCAACGTTATCACTGTTTGAAGTTTTGACTGTTTGAAGTTATGACAATATGTGGCATTGATTGTTTCTTATCGTAACAATGGTTATTCGAGTCTAAGGCTAGCTTCTCTATTTTTAAATTAAATTATAAAATGGCTGAACTGTTCTAATTTACTTCAAATCGGAGTCATACGATGGTTTAGAGACTTTATTATGGGCTTGTTATGTTAATAAATGTTTAAATAATAGATTATATAACATTTAAAGCCAAAATAAAGGCAGATTTAGCTCTTACATAATGCAACTTTAAACATACATTATGCAAGAGCTAAATCTGCCTATTGCAGGCCTTTCTTTAGGCTTGAAATGTTATATAAATTATTATTAATTAACTTATCCAGACTATAATCAATTCTCGATGTCATCTCTAGCCTGCGATATTTACTGGATTTGAATTTGATCTGCTGCTCAACATTCATTGATGATTAAATCCAAAATTCAATAATGGAGACTATGTTTTATATCGTCCCGACTTTAGTAATGATGATTGAGGCCAGGCCTAAAATTCAATTGCTACATTTTTGGTTCAGAGTGGATCAATTTGACTGAAATTTTCAGCAAATTCCATTTACATTATTTAGTTTTTAACTATTATATTGAGAACTGCCAACTTTTTATCTAATCTCTCATAATGTATCTTTAAGCCGTGAGAAATTTATTTTCAGAATAATGCAAATCATGTACAGCAACTAAACTAATTCTGTAGCACATAATCTATATAAATAAAAGCAAAGATGTCTGTATGTATATATGTTGCCCATCACGCTTCGTCGTCGCAGTGATCCATCCCCACATGTTTGTAACAAATTAACCAACATGACCGTATGGGGAATGCTGACTAGTCCGCGGGTTCATTAGTCCAACGATATCTATCATTAGGGGTTGGGTTAGGGTTAAGGTGCACTAGTCCCCTGTTTCATTAGTCCACCGATATTTATTATTAGGGTAGGGTTGGGATTAGGTTTTTTGCTACCCATATTTATAATATTTCTAATAGCCGCAGACTAGTGAACCCATCTCGAACCTATGAATGTTTTAGGCCATGATTTGGTTCAATTTAGGTCCAGGAAAAGCCAGGTATCCTGCGAGTACCCTTGATATTTGGAACTGAATAACGAGTATGCAGATCCTGCTGTCTGGAAAAAATTTCTATCATCTCCCACCACAGCACATTTCATGGCTTACGGTCTTCATAAACCTGGTTGGTGTAAAAACAGTAGGACGTAAAAAAAAGAAAAAAAACAATTTTATTTCTCTAGACACATTTAATAACTCTGAAATGTTCTTTAAGTATTAAAATCTCTCAAATTGAAGAAATATAACAAAATATAAAAATCTACATCAGAATCTAAAAGTATCACATGAAATTGTTGACACAGTCAAATTAGCATAAAATAAAGCAGTGGTTCCCAAAATAGTAAGAGGTATCTTCCCAAACTTTTTTGAAATGAAATGAAATGAAATGCGGTTTAACGTCCCCCAAACTTTTTTGAGTTATGACCCCCATCATCCTAGTTTAAAGACATAAGATTTAGAGAGAGAGAGAGAGAGAGAGAGAGAAATAGAGTTTAAGGTCCACTTGACACAAACTAGGTCATTTCGGGACTAACATATGGTTCAATTTTGTATCAATAGAGAGAGAGAGAGAAATGGGGTTTAACGTCCACTCGACACAAACTAGGTCATTTCGGGACTTACATATGGTAAATTTTATTTCATTAATTCGCTTGCGCGTAGGGGTCTTTAGCAGTGGGAGGAAACCGGAGGACCCAGAGAAAACCCACGAGGTTGGACAGGCGACCACCACTTAAATAAAGCACTAAGAAGGGTTTACGAATACATGAAACAGATGATAAATCTTAAATTAAAACACATGATTTAACAAATATAGAGTTTAAAGTAGCTAAGTTTCTAACTCAATATCATCCAAAGTCTTACACGTTGAAAACACAAATTATTTGTCTATTTAAATCAACATTGATGTTGTGATCTTACCGGGAAAAGGTAAGCTTCTGATATCCAATATTTAAGACAAAATAAACATTTTACCATTAGTACACGAATCGTGTACCAGAATGCGATTAAATGACTTTTGTAACAAGGGACTCAAGTCATGCCAAATGGTGACACCATATTCTTATCTGGAGAGTATGCGCAATAGACTGGATTAATCAGATGCCAGAGATTGCCATTCGATTGAGACTTCTGGCGTATTTCGCGGAACATAACTGATTTGAAATTAGAGTAAAAACAGAAACGATTGAATGTACATGTAAATCAGTTTATATACATTCATATTACATTATTATATCTGTTGCGACCCATTTGTGTACATTTCTAGGTCCCAGATATTAGCGATTTAGCTCCTTTAAATTGAAGCATTAGCCAGACATTAGTCCTGTATATTTATAAGAACTAGACATTGATCCCATATACCAATATAAACTAGACATTGATCCCATATATCAATTGAAACTAGACATTGATCCCATATATCAATTGAAACTAGACATTTACCAACATAAACTAGACATTGGTGCATTATACTCTTATGAAGTAGCTAGACATGGTCCTCCTCAAGAGCTATTGAAAAATAGACACGCTTATATGCCTGTGTGGTACCACATTCCACAAATTTCTTCTCTCTCGGACACCCTTATAAGCCTGATTATTTTTTTAAGTCCAATATATTGTGTAACCCTTGTGGCAAAAAACACCATAGATCAAAACAGTCAAAAATCTTGTGGGACGTCAAATATTTCGTTAAAATTAGGAATATTCGGGACAGAAACCTGATTATCCTGATCTTGAATATTCGTTTTCCCTTTAAGCATTTTTCTCAATCCATCTTTGACTTCTTTTGTTCTCCTCTGTCTTTGAAAACGTTCTTTTGCAGTTTCACGGTCTCGTAAATTTACATCTGAAAGAAAAAAAAACATCATAAAAACAGTCAACTATGACATATGACAAATCGTAGGCCTAATATATGTCATGACAAAATGTAAGCTGAATATAAGTCAGATGACAGATTATATGGCCGAATATATAACAGATGATAGATATAGGCCTAATATAAGTCAGATGACAGATGTAGGCCTAATATAAGTCAGATGACAGATTACAGGTCTAATATAAGTCACATGACAGATTACAGGTAATATAAGTCACATGATAGATAACAGGTCTAATATAAGTCACATGATAGATTACAGGTCTAATATAAGTCACATGTCTAATATAAGTCACATGACAGATTACAGGTCTAATATAAGTCACATGACAGATATAAGCCTAATATAAGTCAGGTGATAGATTATAAGCCTAAGTCAGGGCCTGATTAAACAAAACCACATGCTTAATAGGGTATCAAAGAAAAGGGGGCACCATGATTTACTATTGTGCAAATGATAACAGCTAACCCACAAAAAGGGGCTCAAACTTTTACAGTTTGGCATTTATTTTGAATTCCATATAATCGGAGGTATAAGTATCGTTTCATCACTCTTAAGGTCTTAATCCAGCCCTAGCCCTGAATGTGGACATGTAATTGTGTCATTTAAATACATTCTATCTCGATCATTCAGTCAGGGGCTCCACCATTAAAGAAACCCCTAATTTGGTTCTAATTAATCAGGAAATGGATAATCGAGACTATGTTTTTTATCGTACCGACTTTAGTAATGATGATCAAAGCCAGGTTGAAAATTCAATTGTTAAAATCTTAGTTCAGAGTTGATCAATTTGACTGAAATTTTCAGCAAATTCCCTTTACATTATCTAGTTTTTAACTATTACAGTGAGGTATGCCAGATCTTTATCTAATCTCCCATAATGTATCTTCTTTAAATACACTTCAACCCAAATCACTCACTTTTAACTTCAGGGCCCTGTTTCACAAAAACTTAAATCTCCTTAAAATCGTCTTAAACTAAAATTCCATCCTAACTTAAGATAGATGCGTTTCACAAAACGATTTTAAGCATTTAAGATAAAATCCACTAAAATAATATTGTAAGTTAAAATTGTATCTTAACTTAAAATATTGGCGTTTCACAAAACTATTTTAGGGAAATTTCAACTAAAACCAATTTTAACTTAGGACAGCCGTCACCCTCTCCTAACTTAAAATCACGACATTAACAAACATTGATTTGTGAGATCTATTGCGACATATAGATATATTTGGAATAATGATAATATTGACAATGGCCCGGGTTATATAATTTAAACATATTATCATTCACAAAAATAATTTTCATTCAATTTCTTTTCATTGCATGGGAAATATATCTGCGGCCCACCCGTTTATTTTATTGTAAGGCAATATAAGCAATTAGATGACGCCCCAAATTATAACCCCAAGAACAAAAAAACCCTCAAAACCCCAGTAATCAAAACTCTTTGTTACTATTTTATATATTACCACATGATTCAAGTATAAATTATACCATTTTCAAATAATTAATAGAGAGAAAGAGAGAGAGAGAGAGAGAAATGGGGTATAACGTCCACTAGACACAAACTAGGTCATTTCGGGACTAACACATGGTTTAATTTTATTTGAATAATTCACTAGCGCGTAGTGGTCTTTAGTAGAAGGAGGAAACCGGAGGACCCGGAGAAAACCCACGAGGTTGGACGGGCGACTCTACTCCCTGTCTCGTACAACCGGGGAATCGAAACCCCGTCAGTCCTATAATACTAGATACGCCTGATGATTTATATAGGAGCCAATGGTAATTTATATTGGGAAAAAAATCTTTTTAATTTAGTAAGTTAGATAGGCATTATCCAATAAGTATATATAGTGGGACACTTTGGCATTTTTAAATTATTATTGAAAGGGTCCATGGAACATTGGTTATTTCGTGTATTTGTTATTAAATACTTTTTAAAATTCGACAATACTTTAGTCTAGATTAATCGTTTGGGTTAGAAATATCACATGTATGTGACAATTTCTCAATAGTTTCTGTTATCGAAAATACCATAAAACTACTAAATTCAAGCGATTTAGTTTATCGATACGCATTATTTCCATTGAAGCCTGAGAGTAAATCAAATGCCAAGGTCACGAAAGCGACATGCAAGTTCAAGGCCAACTAACTGATACATTTCAAAGCGAATAACCCGTAATAAACATATTTATTTCATCTCTCTACGACTGACTGACCATGTGTAGACATTGTTACAATGTATGAAACTCTCCTCAACGGTATTGTAACGATTAGTTCAACCTGACAGAAGTTTTCAGTTCCAAAGCGTGTAAATGCTTACACCCTAAGTGCCCTCGCCGGAACTGTGCACTGCGCGAGCGCAAGCAATTTTAACTAAAATCTATTAAAATTGCATTTTAAGTTACAATCGATCTTCGTGAAACGCATAAAATTTTAAATTACAGTTTGATTTTAGTTAAAATCAATTTTAGTGATTTTAGTTTAAGTTTTTGTGAAACAGGGCCCTGATCTACTGTTTATGTTAAGCTGAGCTTTACCTGAATAGGGCTGGTATCTAGTAGATCTCTTCTTCTTGACACTTAATTCTTTTAACCAACAGCCTCGTGTTGCATCAGATGAACAGCTTAGTGAATCTTCAAAGGAACAGCTTGGCGAGTCTTCAAATAAACAGCTTGGTGTGACTTCATGTGAACAGCTTGGTGTGACTTCATATGAACAGCTTGGTGTGACTTCATATGAACAACTTGGTGTGACTTCATATGAACAGCTTGATATGGATTCAGACAAAAAGTTTGGTATGTTTTCATATGAACAGCTTGGAGTGGCTTCATATGAACGATCTGGTATGGATTCAGACAAAAAGTTTGGTATGACTTCAACTGAACAGCTTGGTGGGGTTTTATATGAATAGCTATCTTTGACTTCAACCTATTACAATAGAGTTAAAAGCCTTCATAAACCTTTACGTGACAGTCAAGGAGTTTGTCTGCGATATCACCAACTCAACTAACACAAATCAAGGAAATGAAATAAAATGAAATGGGGTTTAATGTCCTACTGTTTTGCACCGAACTGGGCTAATGAAGACGGGCATACGCCATACAGTGTGCTATGAGGGAAATTTTATCTGGACAGTGGCACTACGGCCCACTCTTATATCGAATTCCATCTGTCAAGGGATCTTTTACGTGCACGCCAATGTGTACACGGGACCTCTGTTTTTCATCTCATCTGAATGACTAGACAGCTGTCCTTGTCAGGCCCTGCATCCTGCATCACTAACAAGGAGGAACCACGCACAAATCAAAGAGTTTAAAAGAAAAACCCCAACATTTTTGTTGTACCTTGGTGTAATTAGAAAACTGACAGCCATGTAACTCAACACCGAAAAATATAGGTGACTTGTATTAATAATAAAAACCTTGAAAAACTTACATTTGAAGATCCTGCTGTGTCTGTCCTTGCCGTTTCACTGCCACTAAATCTATCAAAACAAAAAGTATCTTGTCCAATGTTAGAAGCATAGTAATCTTCTTCATCGTCTACTCCTTGTCCTAAATCTCTGTATCCTCTCTCACTGATCTGTTAAATAACAAAATTATTAATATTTATTCTGCTCTGAATGAAAATTTGTCCAGACAGTCGAATTTCTGGCTAATCTTCATCAAAATGAATGGAAACTGTGAAAACAGGTATTTCACGCCGCAGAAAACACACGAGGTTGGACAGGCGACCCTAATCTTTGTCATGTACAACCTGGCAATCGAAACCAGCCAGTTGATTCAATGACAGGCCTTATGGATACAGCCCGCATGTGCTAACCATACGGCCATCCAACCCCCCTTGAGCAGATGGAAAAGTCAAGCTAACAGTTCTTTAGAAGACTGTAGATGGTGGGGCAGTTGGCTGATGCTGGTGATGGTAGAAGATCGTGGGGCAGATTGTTACAATTTATAGATCTACTTACCCGATTAAAATATGAAGAAGCATTAAAACTTCCTCGTTCAGATTCAGATTCTTCAAGTACAGGTTTGATTTCAGGTCTAGAATAAATACAAGGGTATTCATTATTCAATTTATTAATTTAACTCTTTAACAAGCAAATACAGAAATGATAATTAATTACACAATATATAATTATAAAATAATAATTTATAATTAATTACACAATAAACTGTCTTAAAAAATATATAATTACACAGTATATTCTTGATTGAGTGGATGTGATGAAATTCACCTACTATTGACCTCATGGTTCTGACAATTTCACGAAAAACACTAATAGTCTAAATATCACTTATAGATTTTGTTATTGTTAAATGCAGACTTAATCATGATACAGGTATAATATTATTATATATAGTAAAGGTGTAATTATCTGGTCATGACACAGGTATATAATCATGAAACAGGTGTAATTATCCAGTCATGACACAGGTATATTGTATACAGGTAATTATCTAGTCGTAACACAGGTCTAAAGTACAGGTGATTATCTTGTCATGATACAGGTATATAAAATAAACCTATACATAAAGTACAGGTAGCTATGTGATCTCCCAATTCGAAAATATTATTCATATAAATACCTCTAACAGGAAGTGACATCGGGTGTTCAAATACCATACCTTGTTTATCACCGCCAATTTACTCTGGGTTTTTTTTCATGCTATTTTATTTGTTAATCTAGAGCCCAAGTTACTTGACTAAAATTAATAACAAAATTTACCCAGTTTGATTCTGGGTCTTTTCTCTTTCCTTGTGAAGACTGATAAAACCATCCAGAAAACTGAAAGCAAACAAATTATAGATATCTTTTTTTCACCGATTACAAATAAAAGTATAAATAAAATTATATTAGCGATGCTTTTGGTCAACTCTTTGATGCCATGCCCATCCCAAGACTTAAGTATCGAGTGTAGTATTCAGAAGGGTGAAAACATGACATAAACCTCAAATTCAAAGTAAATGGGCAAATTGTACACCAAAGTATCCAGGGATTATTTTCAAATTTTGAAAAGCTTAAAGATACATTATGTAAGATTTAGATAAAAAGCTAACCATTCTTGCTATAATAGTTCAAAAATAGCTCAAAATGAAAATATTGAAAATTACATTCAAATTACTTTAATCTGAGCCAAGTTATCACTATTTGTAGTTTTGACAAGATGTGTGCATAGTTGTAACCACGGCACTGGTATGTTTAAGACTTAGCCTTGCTTTCCCATTTTTAAATTAAATTTTTAAATGGCGAACCGTTCTAATCTAGTTAAAATCTTGAGTATCCGATGCCATCAAGAGTTAATCATGGTCTTGTTTTGTTAATAAATGTCTAATTAATAGTTTATATAACATCTCGGGCGTTTGAAATTAAACGCTTGTAAATTAGACACTCATTATCAAAACATAAACGGTCAGCTATAAATTGGACACAAATACAAATTTGACGATTTTTACAAATTATCAAACAAAGATTGGATATTTAATGGATATGATGGTATAATCAGATAATAAAATATTTCACCTGTTCTGGGAAGTAGATAGAAGTTCTTCTCTTGATACTGTCGTAGACTTAACTGACAGGTTAACTCCTATTAAATAATAATATGTTTCATTTCATATTCAGTTTTACATAATTCGGGGGGTTGGATGGCCGAATGGTTAGCATGTGCGCACTGTATCATAAGGCCTGTCATTGAGTCAACTGGCGTGGTTTCGAAACCCTGTTTGTACGTGAAATAAAATTGAACCATATGTTAGTCCCGAAATGACCTAGTCTGTATCGAGTGGACGTTAAACCCATAAGTGGAATAATTAACAGGTATTGTATCTATATCATTAACATTTTACATGTCATACAATATGACTGGTTGACAACTTCACTACATATTGTGTGTCCATCGCTCAAATAGTGTTGGGGGGTTGGGATAGCATAGTGGTCTAGAGTGCCACACTTTGACCTCTAGCTGGCTGGTCACCTCTGGCTTGCGGTTGTGGTTTCGATCCCTGGTGTATGTGGCTTGGAGATAGAGGCGCCTTCTCAACCTCGTGGGTTTACTCCGGTTTCCTGCCACAGGAAAGACCCCTGGGCGTGCGCTAAGATAATGAAAATGAAAAATAAGACTTGTCTGCGATATCACCTTCGGTGGAAGCGGACGATAAGCGTTTAGAACACACACACACTCAAATAGTGTTAACATGGCACAATTAAGTTTTAAAAAAAGAATGTCAAATTATCTACAAAAACAAATGGACAATACGTCCCTCTTCACTGTATTAGCTTCAAATACCGGTACCTGGTAGATTCATGCTTTGCCAAATTTGATGGGGACATGTATTGCTTCAGCAATAATTTCAAAATGTTTGTTTCATTTGTAAATGCTGAATTATAAAATTGTCTTTTTTAAATAAGCATCAATTGATTGAAATGATATGGGATTTAACGTCCCACTTTTCTACTCCGGCTAATGAAGATGGGCATATGTCATGCAGTGTGTATGACAGATATTTTCACCAGACAGTAGCGCCGTGGCCTACTCTTATATCAAATTCCAATGGCGAAGGGATCTTTTACGTACAATCCGAATGACTATACATTGTCCCAATGACAAGGAGGTACCACCTTGGAAAATCACTATGAATTTTCTCAGCCAAAGCAGAGATCGAACATGGAACCTCCAGGCTAGCAAGCCATTGTCTTACTCACTGAGCCACTGTGGCTCCTTTTGAGCAGAGCCTCTCAGTCCTTGTAGATCAGGGGGGCGGGGGTCTTAATCTGACCCTTGCATTGACATTAAATAATTTCAGACACTGCCACATTAAGGAAATCATGTTATAGCACACTCTGTCTTGATCTGGTTGGAGATCCTGGTACAAACAGACAGACATTTTAATAATCCCCTGCTTTCTCCAAAAGACAGGGGGGGCAACAAACTCAATTCCAATCAAATATTTTAGATTTTAAATGACTTAAATATATACAGGTAAATCAACCACAACATACCTGTGAACGTTGATGCTCCAACCAACAGTTTATCTGTCTTCTTGTCACACATTTTATATTCTAGTTCTTGTGTCACCATCATTCCAGACATTCCAGATGTTTCAGGTCTAGGCCTCTCTATATCTGTTGGAGCTGTTTCAGTTATAGGCATCACCATATTTGGCCGAACTGTTTTGGATCCAGGCATCTCCAAATTTGTTTGAACTGTTTTGGATTCAGACCTTTCCATATTTGGAGCTATTTCAATTTTTGCCTGATCCATACTTATGTAAATCTGAGAATGCTGATGTCTTAAATTCCACTGTAAATCTTACACTAACAGATACAGCCAAGATTTAATAAACCTATAAATATGTAAAATATAAATTCATTAAAGGACAATATTGGTGCCAGTCATTATCCCATATGTGATAGAACTGGTTAAACACTTTCCAAATATTATTTTATGACAGAGATCATTGCTACGATAGATGAGTAATCAATGTTTCAACAATAGGAAGTGACGAATACAAAAGGAAAACACAAGTTATCCCTTTATATAACTGAATGAAGTGACGGGTGATAACAGATACATGGGCGAATTTTTGCTCACTAATAATTCCTCCTTCAGCCAGTTATATAGAGGGATAACTTGTGTTTTCCTTTTGCGTTCGTCACTTCCTATTGTTGAAACATTGATTATTCATCTATCATAGCTATGATCTCTGTGATAAAATAATATTTGGAACGTGTTTAACCAGTTCTATCACATATGTGATAATGACTGGCACCAATATTGTCCTTTAAGTGGTACCTGTTTAACCAAGGTATCATTTAATCTTGTGTATCTAGCACTAATTTCTTTCACACTCATTTAATATCAGATCTTTGTTTAAAAATTGATAAAAATCATTTAAAATCACCCCAAATCGTCTAATTTGTACTTCTGTCCAGTTAAAAGCTGACTGATTAAGTTTGATAATGAGTGTCCAATTTACAAGTATTTAATTTCATGACCACTGTTCAAAAATTAATAGTTAGACATGTACATCAATAATCAATTGGGTTGTGTATTTTTTTAACAGTGAGAAATTAAACACTTGTAAATTGGACACTCATTATTAAAACTGAATGGTCAGCTTTAAACTGGACAATGTACAAATTAGATGAACTTTGGTGATTTTAAACAATTTTTACAAATTTTTAAACAAAGATTTGATATTGAATGAATGTGAAAGAAATTAGTGCTAAATACACAAGATTAAATGATACCTTGGTTACAGTGTTATAATCAGCTGATAAATTCAGCTACGGTGCTTGGCTATTTGAATAAGATGAGGAACCAGTATATTATATCATAATCATAAAATAATCTACTACCTGCTCATCCAATATTACCTGTTGATTAAAGGTTAGTGCAGAAAGGTAAGACATATAAGTATCAAATTGCTCGATAAAAATTAAGGGCTGACTAGAGGTAATTTAAGGGCCCAATGAAGCATTCTATCAAGTGACAGGGCAATTTAAGGCTGGATGAACAAATCCGGGGCGATTACAAGGTTTCAATGACCTCTGGTGTAATCCAACTGATTCAGGTAAGGATAAAGACCGTGACAGCCACTCAGGCATACAGTGTGCTATGGGGGAATTTAGCCCCCAAAGCGGCGTTTCTGATTATCCTTGTTTGAATTCCAACTGCCAATGGCTCTTTCACGTATGTTTATATTTCATGCAGTGAACCTACGAGCATAATAATAATAATAATAATAATAATAATAATAACTTTATTTTCAAAGGGTTGAAACTTAGGCCAGGAGGCCTGTCTTACATTTTGCCCTTTATAACAGAAGTTAAAGAAGTGAACAATGAAATTTGAAAACAGAAGAGCAATATTTACAAAAGAATATTAACAAAATCACAATTGAAAATATTAATTACAATCTCAATATAATAAAGTTGTCACACACGAATCATATAATTATCATCTAATATTATGGTACATGTAAATAAATCTACCTTTCTATATAAAACTATATTATCAAAATTTCTATGTCTTTATATAGTTTATTACCTGATTTATAATAATATAATAATACATGTACTCACTCATGCTTTGTGTATTCCTATTTTGTTTATATTTACATGATAATATGTATTCCTGTTTTCTGTATACATTAACTCTATTGTATAGGCCTACTGTGTTCAGTCGTTGATTTGGGTACAACAAATCTAATCTTAACTTATCTTACCAAGATGAGACACTGTCACCACACATATATTCAATATATATATATCTTATCAAATATTGATACAATAAAATATTATGTTATCTTACCAGGATGAGAAATGTGAAGTATTATCGTAAATCACGCCTATATCTTATCGAATTAATTTTATTCTGTGGCTTACATACATCCCGGAAAAAGGAAGTGATGCATGCCTGCGCATAAGTACTTTAATACATAAATAATAGTTGTTTTGAAGGTGGAGGCCTACTTGTAATAACTAGGTCAAGGTTGAGTGATTGTTAATGGTAGGTGCATAATTCAATCCTTGAAATTAATCTACAAATAAAAGTACACACTCCTTGCTAGGTATGTTATTAGTAAATGCAGGAGGACTGCACAACACACAAACAAGACAAACCTATGGACAAGACAAAATATACAGACATCACAAATAACACACGCACATATAAGATCATTAGGGGGCTAGCTGCAAGCGTTCACTGCGCTGTACAGTCCCAGGCCTGTAGTGATATGACTGACCTTGACTTAGTTATTATATGTTTAGATTTGGCGACTTCTTAGGCCTTGGATGGAAATAAAATGAAATGAAATTGGGTTTAAGGTCCTACTGTTCATCTCCAACTGGGCTAATGAGAATGGGGGTATGCCCGCATAGTACTGCTACAACACACTCTTATATTGAATCTGATCTGCCAAGGGATCTTTTATGTGCGCGCTAATGTGTACACAGGATTTCAGTTTTTTGTTTTGTCCCTCGTGACTTCCGAACAGGAGGCCTCTTACTCACTAAACTACTGTGGCTCCCAGCCATGGGTGCAGACTGAGAATTGAGCCTGTGAGGGTATCTTTCAGCCACGGTGACCTGGAGGTCGGGTGTTCGATCCCTGCATTGGCCGAGAAAGTTCATCGGGATTTTCCGACATGGTTTCCCCTTGTCAGTGGTGCAGGACGGCGGGCCTGACAAGGACAGCTGTCTAATCGTTCAGATGGAACAAAAAAACCGAAGTCCTGTGTACACATTGGCGTGCACGTAAACGATTTCTTTGCAATTGGAATTCGATATAAGAGTAGGCGGTAGTGCCGCTGTCTGGGCAAAATTTCCCTCATAGCACACTGTATGGCGTATGCCTGTCTTCATTAGCCCAGTCGGAGCTGAACAGTAGGACGTTAAACCCAATTTCATTTCATTTCATTTTTACAGGGGTCTCTACAGAAGTAAATGTTCACATATGGTTTGGAGATACCGAGTATGGGGTCAGTACAGAAGTTAATGTTCACATGTAGATTGGTTGTCCTTTTTATTCTTGAATTTACATTGTTTTTGATAAATTAATTAGATTGTTACATGCTCAATTTGCTTGCATGGCTTATTGCCCCCTTTCATACCTGTCCTAGACAATATAAAGATTGGAGACCCCTCGTTACACAAGAAGGTCTCATAAAACAATTTGGGTAACCTGGAAAAGAGGATTTAATGTGCAGGGAAAGATGGCGACAAACACTCAACATATCAGGTCAATACAAGGTACAATGTTTACGGATACACAATTAATGAGTTTAATACTAAGTGACATTTCGACGAGGATACTGTCGTCTTTATCGAGCAAATGTAAATGTAATTGTACCTTGTATAAATATGTTCAATTACTAAATGCCAATCAAAGAGGACATTTTGAGACTAACATATGGTTCAATTTTATTTCAGTAATTCATTTGCTCTTAGTACCTGTCCAGACCTGGGTAAAATATCTGTCGTGTGCTTTGTATGATGACAGAAATTTTGTCCAGACCTCTGGGTCTTCATTAACCTGGTTGGTGCAAAACAGTACGACGTAAAAAAATCAATTTTATTTCTTTGGAAAAATTTAACAAGTCTGGACTCTTCTTCAAGTGCTTTAATCTCTCAAATTGAAGAAATATAACAAAATATAAAAATCTACATCACAATCTAGTAGTATCACGTGAAATTGTTGACATGGTCAAAATAGCATCAGGAATCAGACTAGCAATTATTTGCCCATTGACTTCAATGTTAAATGACTGTAACATCACAGGCTGTAGCTTTTTGCTCAACATTCTGTTGGTTCCAATCTTTATAGGCACAATGGGGACAACATTTGGCAATCTCCTCATCATAATTTTGTAGGGGGTTGACCATTTAGATTTTTCACTACACAGATTTGAAGTTGACAGGGGTGAAAATCTCACTTCCGACACAATGATTGCTCTGCAGAAAGACACTTTACACCCTCTATCCCTCCGCTGTAATATCATCAGTATTACCCAAAACTGCTATGAAATTGCAAATTTGATCCCTTTTCTCCAATTCTAGACCAAAAAGTCAACCCAAAAATGCAGGAAGAGGGGAGAAAAAAATTAAGGGAAAAATTGTCTATTTATAACTCGCACTACATTCGTCCATCATGAAATAAGGGGAAATAATTACTAGTCTTAGTCCTATATACCTCACATGTTTCTGCAGTTTAAACAAATCTGTTGTTATCTAATGAACAAACATATATGCAATTCCCTGGCCAAAGAATATGAAAATCTATGCATTTTCAGATGAGCTGTGCGGCATTCTGCAAACACTATAATACATCAGAAAACTGCGGAATTTCAGACAGAAATTTAAAAGCACATGAATTTTGAATTAAACAGAACATTTTTATTTTTGAACATAAATGCATTCTGTAAAAAGATGAGATAAATTCAATATAAATCTAACACGAAAATACTTTAAAACAGTAATCATGATGCAATATTAGACTTTTTAACACTTTCATCGAAAACCACACAGTTTTTCTCTGTTAACGTAGTTTCAAGTGCCAAATTGTGGTCAAATCTAAAATGTTGAAACATGCAGTGCCTATCAATTTTAAAATATCTCCTATATAGCTGTATTTCCATAGGATAAGTAAGTTGAAATAATCTGATTATGTAACACTACAACAGCTTTTTCATCCCCACCCCCCAGTTTGGAATCTGATAATTTAAAAGCACATCAATTTTGAATTCCACAGAACATTTTTATTTTTGAACATAAATGCATTCTTCAAAAAGATGAGATGAATTCAATATAAATCAAACGCGAAAATACTTTAAAACAGTAATCATGATGCAATATTAGACTTTTAACACTTTCATCGAAAACCACACAGTTTTTCTCTGTTAACATAGTTTCAAGTGCCAAATTGTGGTCAAATCTAAAATGTTGAAACATGCAGTGCCTATGAATTTCAAAATATCTCCTATATAGCTGTATTTCCACAGGATAAGTAAGTTGAAATAATCTGATTATGTAACACTACAACAGTTTTTTCATCCCCACCCCCCGGTATGGAATCTGATACATTGCTGACCAATCATAGGTCGCCCCGTTCACTCTGGCCTGTCAAATGATTTACAATGGCGATGGTGCCTACAACTTTCCTGACCAAGAGATATGCACAACCGTCGATCAACACACAAGCCATTAATGTTATCTTCCAATATGAGAGGCCATGATAAACACACAAGCGTCCTTTTCAAGCTCGGAAATTAAGTCATCACCAAAAAGCAAAGTTTACAAAGGTCCTCGGGGCTTGAACCCAAACTGATTACGATTTGCCCTCCACTTCCACCACAGGTGTCATAGAGATCAGGGATGAAATTGATATGCATCATCGTTCTCCTAAAGCCAGTCCAGGAAGAGATCAGGTTTTGAGATGTAGACCTGAAATGTTAAATTTGGATGAGAATGAGAATTCTGGGGCGAATACTATCCAGGGAAATGGTCATCGACATCCAGAAAATGGTCAAAATGTGGAATTCTGTCATTCAGTTAAATGTCAAGGGGAGAAGACTGGCCTGTGCAGTACCAAATTTCCAGCCCATTACTATTAGTGAGCAGAAGTGGGGATCAGGTTGGATGTACTTCTTAAAGTGTATGAAATGCACATTTATCTCACCTGTTTTGCTTCTTTTTTTTTTAATACTTGTGTTGAGGTCAATCATTCCACTCTATGAAACATTACCCGGGCACCTGAAATGATAGGAGGCTGGGGATAAATATGCAATAAAAAACAGTGAGAAAATAAGAAAAAAATATGGTTTCAACTGGAAATAGAAATAAACCTCTTTATTTCTAGCGAACAGCCCGTCACTGGCCCTCCAAAAAGAAACCAGTTAACAGTCAGTAAAAAAGTACACCATGAGTGTCACATAAGTCTAAGCCAATCTCAAAGGTAGATGCCATGTTTTGAGGTTCGGTCTAAATATTAAGGCCAACTGCATGTTTGATCAAAAGTCACACAGGTGTGAATTTTGGAGTGTACATGTTAACATTTCATTGTATGATGTCAAAAACATGTTAGGTCTAAATGTTAAGGCCAGCTGCAGACTTGGTTCAAGGTCACAACATGTAAATAGGGTTAGGGCACATGATTTTTTGACACAATTGTGGGTTTGGGCTAGGGTCAGGACTAGGTCTTGGCTTAGGCCTAGGCTACATGCTTTTTGACAAGATTGTGGGTTAGGGTAAGGACTGGGTCTTGGGTTAGGGTAAGGGTCAGTCTTGTTTACATCTCGTGACTTTAGACCAAATCTGCAGTTGAGTTGGCCTTAATATTTAGACCTAACCATGTTTTGATATCATTGTGAACAAAATGTTACACATTTACAACCCAAAATTCACACTCAACCAACGGATACCCCCAATCATGGCTATTTTGATACCAAATAGTCAAAAAACTTACTGCTGGGCAATAAAAAAGCAGTATTCTTACCATTTCCATTCAAAACTTCAGGAAACAAGCCGTTGAAAAATTATCAACATCCCGAGTCGGCCAAGCTTCATTATATCATCAGGAATCAGACTAGCAATTATTTGCCCATTGACTTCAATGTTAAATGACTGTAAAATCACAGGCTGTAGCTTTTTGCTCAACATTCTGTTGGTTCCAATCTTTATAGGCACAATGGGGACAACATTTGGCAATCTCCTCATCATAATTTTGTAGGGGGTTGACCATTTAGATTTTTCACTACACAGATTTGAAGTTGACAGGGGTGAAAATCTCACTTCCGACACAATGATTGCTCTGCAGAAAGACACTTTACACTCCCTATGCCTCCGCTGTAATATCATCAGTATTACCCAAAACTGCTATGAAATTGCAAATTTGATCCCTTTTCTCCGATTCTAGACCAAAAAGTCAACCCAAAAATGCAGGAAGAGGGGAGAAAAAAATTAAGGGAAAAATTGTCTATTTATAACTCGCACTACATTCGTCCATCATGAAATAAGGGGAAATAATTACTAGTCTTAGTCCATAAAATAAAGCAGTGGTTTCCAAAATAGTTAGAGTTATCTCCCCAAACTTTTTTGAATTATACTCAGATACTATGTATCTAAATAAACACTAGACATTGGTCCTGTATATCTTAATAAACACTAGACATTGCACACTGATCCGCAGTGAATATTTGCTTGGCCGCGACAATCACTGATAAGGATGACATTGATGCGGCTTAATGAGCTAGAAATATTAACTTTTTTCCTGCGACAAATTAAATTCTAAAACATTTTTTGTATATATTGGAAAAATAAATAAAGGCGTTTGACGTATTTGTAGGTAAAAATTATTTCCGATTTAGTGTAAATGGGTATTAAATTGACTAAAATGCAGCATTCTCTCCGAAGCAGTTATGTCTTATGTAAACAATGCACGCACCATTCAGCCAATGATTCACACCGCGTGCTGTGACAGCACGTGTTAAGGCAGTCATCTATGACAGAGATATTATACGAGACTCGTAATTCTCTGTGAAACAGATTGTAGACATTGGTCTTGTATATCTAAATGAACACTAGACATTGGTCTTGTATATCTAAATGAACTAGACATTGGTCCATTATATTTTTATGAACAAGACATTGGTCCAATATACTTATATGAACTGACTAGACATTCGTCCTGAAACAGACATAGGTCCAGTATATTTTTTTGGAACTAGACATTGGTCCTGTATAAATATATATATATATAAATATATATATATATATATATATGAGCAATATCTAAATGTTGATAATATTTGTATACGTCCAAAATAATTCAAATATTTACAATTTTTAAAAATATGTCATTTTTCATTATTGTCAATATAATTAGTAGGAAGCTGTCTGATGTTAATTTATAAAATGTCTATTGGACATCAAAAAATATAATTATGAAAAATAAACAAATATGTGTAAGTATAGACTTTGGATTTTGATTAAAATAAAAATTTATATAGAATAGGTTAATGGATATTTATACAGAAGAGGTTAATAGATATTTATACAGAAGAGGTTAATAGATATTTATATAGAAGAGGTTAATAGATATTTATACAGAATAGGTTAATAGATATTTATACAGAATAGGTTAATAGATATTTAAATGGATATTTAAATAGAAAGAGTCAGGGAGAGAAATGAGATTTAACGTTCACTCGACACAAACTAGGTCATTTTGGGACTAACATATGGTTTATTTTTTTCAATAATTCGCTTGCGCGTAAGTGGTCTTTAGCAGTGGGCGGAAACCGGAGCACCTGGACAAAACCCACGAGGCTGGACAGACGACCCTACTCCTTGTCACGTAGAACCTGGGATTCGAAACCACGCCAGTTGACTTATTAAAGAAACATTTTTAGGTACCAATTCTTTATAAATACTTGAGATATAATAATTTGTCTTGTGGTTACATATTGTGTTAGTGTTATTAATGACAGATAGTTTGTTGTTACTCTGCTGAGTGTTGACCAGGCCACGGCCAGATTAAGAAAGAAGCGTAGGTCCATTGTGGTGCGTAGCCCAAGATGAGGGGGTGGCCCTCTACCGCTCTCCAAAAAATATCGACAATTAGATTTGACTCCTTGCATTCTGGTGTAATGGAACTTTTGATCTTGTACTCAACCCAAAATGAGGGCGGGGGGGGGCTGGAACATTTGTGTGCCACGTTGCGCCCCGGGCCCTAAATCCGGTACTGTTGACAACTGTAGGTTTCTACACGCTAATATAAACAAAAGCAACATTAAAAATTTGATTATGTTTGTTTAGAAATGTGACAAGATATAATAAGGTTTTCACGTTAGTACATAGGAATAAGATGGCTTCTGTATAAAAGTTTGAGAGGGAAACACAAATTATGTCTTTCTCCATAAAAGGAACTTTTCTCTCTTGTGTTCCAGACCAGTCATGTTGCCTTGGCTACGGGGAATGCCATGGTATTAAATGCTCAAAATTAGGAATATTTGGTGCAGAAACACGATTATATTCTTCTTCACTTTTCATTCTTCCTTTAATTTTCTCTTTTAGTTTCTCTTTAATTTCTTTTTTATATAATAGTCGTTGAAAGTGTTCTTTTCCCGTTTCATATTTTGGTACAGCTGAAAAAATAAACATTATTGTAAAGGAATAAATATGCAAAGTTCCAAGATGATCCATGCAGAATACCAGCCTGTAGACAAAAAACACAAAAACTTGGTGTCGCTCAGCCCCTGGGGGTTGGACATGGACCAATATAAATAAGTACAACCCTATGAATGTGTGTCACCACCCAAGGGGGCGGGGGGCTGTCATGCACCAGAATCAATAGTTGCCATCCTTATGGTATATGGAATAAGTATACCAAGTTCCAAGATAATCCATTCAGAATTCTGGCCTGTAGGTAACACACAAACACACAAAGAGAAAATGGGCGTGGCTCTGCCCCTGGGGGTTGGGCATGCACCACAAACAATAGTCATGACTCTTAGGGAATAAGTATGAAAACTTTTCAAGACAATCCTTTAATATGCTCAGATTAATTATTTGACATTTAATTAAGAAAACCAAAAACTGTTTAATCAACAGGGGATAATTTTGGATTCAATAGCCTTGAGTCCCTAATAAAAATGATAATTTAATGTCCATTTCTTGAGCGCCAAAACCATCCATATATGCATGCTTAAAGATAGTGATCTCATGTTTATCGCACAATAACACCCCACTAATGCACACATGTAAACCCAAAACACTCACTTTTATCTTCAGATCTACTTTGTATTATAATATTCAAATTAGGAATATTTGGTGCAGAAACTCGATTCTTCCCATCTTCACTATTCATGCTTCTTTTAATTTCTTTTTTTAGTTTCTCTTTAATTTCCTTATTTTGAAAGAGTTCTTTTTTCACCAGTCGTTGAAAGCGTTCTTTTCCTATTTCACATTTTTGTACAGCTGAAAGAAATAAACATTATCGTAAACACAGTCAACTATAAAAAAATTTAATTCAATATGTGTCCAATTACAAAATACAGGCCTAAAATATGACAGATGACAAATTGTAGGCCTAATATATTGGCTTGCTGGATGTGGACAGGCCTGGATTAACCATTGTAAAAAAATAAGCACATGTTTAAAGTATCAAAGAAAAGGGGGCACCACAAGTTTTTTTTTTCAGTGTCAAATCTACCATCGTTTCAACAAGAACCCTCAAAAAGGGGCCTTCACATTAAATGACATTTATTTTACAGGTTAGTTGCGTTTTTATTTTGAATTATCAGTGTTTAGGGTCTCTATAGGTCCGAATCTGGCCTTGGATGTGGACATAGATCAATAGGAATTTAATCACGACTGTTATATATATAAAAAAATCCTTAATCCAATATCAAATGTACTAAATTTACTAAAATTAATTATTGAACATTTAATTACAAAAAAAATGTTTTATTAACAGTAGATTATCCTGGATTCAATAGCCTTGTGTCTCTAATGATCTCGGGACATGTCCATCGCACAATAATACCCCACTAAATACCAAATAGGAAAAGTTTATCTCTTAAATAAAGCATACATGTAAACCTCAAAACACTCACCGAATAGTTTATGCTTAGCTTTATGTTGATTGGACTGGTATTTAGATTTAGTAAATGAACGACTTGGGATAACTACAGATGATGTGCCTGGAATGGTTTCAGATGATGTGCCTGGAATGGTTTCAGATGATGAGCCTGGAATGACTTCAGATGATGAGCCTGGAATGACTTCAGATGATGTGCCTGGAATGGCTTCAGATGAAGAGCTTGGTTGGGCTTTAAATGTACAGCTATCTTCGACTTCAACCTATATTACAATAGAAGATAAAAGACTAAGACTTTTTTACCTGACAATCAAGGAGTTTGAAAGAACAACCGCCAACATTTTTGTTGTACATTTGTGTCATTAGAAAACTTACAGTCATCTAATTCAACACTGGAAAATACAAGATATTAACAGTGTTTAACATCCATTTGTCACAAACTAGGTCATTTCGGGACTAACATCTGGTTTAATTCTATTCCAATAATTTGTTTGTGGGAGGAAACCAGAGGACCCGGAGAAAACCCTTAAGGTTGGAAAGGTGACCCTATTCCTTGTCACGTACAAGTGTGGACTCAAAATCATGCCAGCTGACTCAAAGACAGCAATTATGATCTAATACGCAAGCATTAAACTATTCGGCCCCCCAACACCCCCTATTGTATTTAAAAAAAAAGAACTCCCCAAAACTTACATTTGAAGATCCTGCTGTGTCTGTCCTCGCTGTTTCACTGCCACCAAATTTGTCGAAACAAAAAATATCTTGTTCAGCGTTGGAAGCAGGATAATCTTCATCATCTTCTGGTTTTCCTAAATCTCTGTATCCTCTGTCAATAATCTGTTGAAATGACAAACATATTAATATTTAGATTTGATCAAATTGAAATGAGGTTTAACATCTTATTCCTCTACACTGACTCGGCATAGATAGTGGGGCAGATTGAGGATAGACTGTAGATAGTGGGGCAGATTGAGGATAGACTGTAGATAGTGGGGCAGATTGAGCATAGACTGTAGATAGTGGGGCAGATTGAGCATAGACTGTAGATAGTGGGGCAGATTGAGGATAGACTGTAGATAGTGGGGCAGATTGAGGATAGACTGTAGATAGTGGGGCAGATTGAGGATAGACTGTAGATAGTGGGGCAGATTGAGGAAAGACTGTAGATAGTGGGGCAGATTGAGGATAGACTGTAGATAGTGGGGCAGATTGAGGATAGACTGTAGATAGTGGGGCAGATTGAGGATAGACTGTAGATAGTGGGGCAGATTGAGCATAGACTGTAGATAGTGGGGCAGATTGAGCATAGACTGTAGATAGTGGGGCAGATTATATAATTGTTTCTCTTTATAGATCTACTTACTGGATTAAAACATGAAGAAGCATTACAACTTCCTCGTTCAGATTCAGGATCAGGTCTGGAATAAATACAAATGCATTGATTATTTTTGTATTGTCATTTAGAAAGTACATAAACTGAATGGATATTCTTTATGTTATTAGTCTAGTTAGACATTGAGGTTAGTCTCAAGGCTAAAGAGAGAGAGAGAAATGGGGTTTAACGTCCACTTGACACAAACTAGGTCATTTTGGGACTAACATATGGTTCAATTTTATTTCAATAATTCGCTTGCACGTAGGGGTCTTTAGCAGTGGGAGGAAACCGAAGTCTCACTGATAGATCTCAGGACTGTTTAAACTGTACAACTTATCTACAAGACAAAAATGTCATTAGCAATAATAATGTCACCTTTTAAGATACCACCATATATATTGCTGATAAAGTCAAGAATTTGATAATTGGATGTAGCAAGAGACCAGTCTCATGAGAATGAATGAAATATTGTTTAATGGCACATCAGCTCCAACCGGGCTATATTGTTTAATGGCACGTCAGCTCCAACCGGACTATATTGCACCAAAGTTGGATTTATGGATCTTGTTACTACCGTATCAGTTTCAGTAGCCATCAGTCTGGCGTGAACAATTATCTAGTCATGACACAGGTAAATTATATAAAGTACAGGTGTAATTATCTAGTCATGACACAAGTATAATATATAAAGTACAGGTGTTATTATCTAGTCATGACACAGGTAAATTATATAAAGTACAGGTGTTATTATCTTTATCTAGTCATGACACAGGTATAATATATAAAGTACAGGTGTAATTATCTTATCATGACACAGGTATACAATAAATACAAATGTACAATAGTAGACACTACCACACAGGTCCGGCGGAGTGTGGGGGCTAGGGGGGGGGTAGCCCCCCCAATAATTTGGCCGCAAGTACTCTTTTCTCCAGGTTATTGCCGCCCCTGGACCCTTGCCTATAAGGAACTAGGATGGAAGCCCCCCCAATCAAGAATTGATTCTGCCGGCCCTGCCACATACAGTACAGGTGTAATTAGGACCTTCAGCTGTGTGGTGTCCCAATTCAAAGATAATATTCTTATAAATATATATCAAACAGGAAGTGACATCGGGTGTACAACAAAGATTTTAATAATGTACCATACCTTGTATATTACCGTTAATTTATCCTGTTTTTTCATGCTATTTTTTCAAATTTAAAAGATAGGTTGATAGGCACCAAAACTTACACCTACAGCAGCTAAATCATCTGAGCAGTTGAGAAGGGTTGTTGCATATTTATTCTTTTATAGTTAATGGGGGGCATTTACAAGACAATTTTATACCGATCAGATTATAATTTTTGTTGTCAATCAAAATTGAACGGTTAGCTTGAAACTTGACACAAGTACAAATTAGATAATTTTGGGTGATTATAGATGATATTTACAAATTTCCAAACAAAGATTGACATTGAATGAATGTGGCGTTATCAAATAATAAGATATTTTACCTGCTCTGGGCAGTAGACTTAATTGGTCGGATAATTGACTTCGCCCTCTTATCTACTTTTTCTCCTATTAAATAATAGAAATTTCTATTTTATATTCCATTTTACATAGGGGGTCCGGTAGCCGAGTGGTTAACGTGTGCGCGTTACATCATAAGGTCTGTCATTGGGTAAAGGGGCGTGGTTTCGATTCCCTGCTTGTACGTGACAAGGAGTATGGTCGCCTGTCCAACCTCATGCATTGTAAAATTTGTTCGGGACCCAACCCTACTTTCCAAGATTTCAAACTCATAACAATTATTGTGCGGATCCTCATAGATCACACCTGCTAAGCTTGCATGGAACTGCACATAGTGCGTGTGCAGCCAATTTGGAGAAGGTTTTAGAAGCAACCTGTTTAACAAAAACTGATTCAACAAGATTCACTAAACATTTGGCTGCTTCCCTGACCTCATTTCCATAAAGCCTATCCAGTTTAATGGAGCAAACTTAGAGATGGGTTCCCAGAAAAGTATTTGTCGGGTGGTTGTTTCCAATAAAAGTATGGCAATTTTGGTATATATGGAAAGTAGAGATATCCAATATTACTAGAAAAATACTGGATTCCCCAAAAAACCCTCCTGGAGCGTATACAGGACAAAAATGTAAGGGTTCCCCTAATCAACAGCCCGACGATTAGGAAGTTCTGCACGCATGATGTCAACGGTCACACGTGAACATTGAGCGCTTGATGTACAAGTTGATAAACTTTATGAAGAGTTAGATGTACAACACTTTCTGAGATAAAAATGACGGAAAAAGACGCGGGTAGTGGATAATCTGAGAATTTAATTAGGATTCGATATTTGTAATAAATAGTAAGCGATGTATGCAATGATTTCTCCTCTAACTCCCAAGACGTGACGGAAACATGACCTGGTTTGATCGAATTTTAATAGCAGGGCATTCCTTCGCAATTACAATGTTTGAGAAGGATTTGAAGCATAATTATGACATGTTAATTAGTTTGAATATGTTTTTAGTCCATATATACCATTAAATCACCCAGTTTGTACGCAGGAACCCATTTTTAATACCAACCAGATTGTCCAAATATTTTAGATTTTAAACGACTTATATAGATAGAGGTATATCAACAACAACATACCTGTATATAAAGGTATATCAACAACAACATACCTGTATATACAGGTATTTCAACAACAACATACCTGTATATACAGGTATATCAACAACAACATACCTGTGAACATTGATGCACCAACCAACAGTTTATCTTTCTCTTTGTCACACATTTTAAATTCTAATTCTTGTTTCACCATCATTCTAGACGTTGGAGATGTTCCAGGTGTAGACATTTCCATAACTGGTTGAATTATTGGGGAGCTAGACATCTCCATAACTGGTTGAATTATTGGGGAGCTAGACATCTCCATAACTGGTTGAACTATTGGAGAGCTAGACATCTCCATAACTGGTTGAACTATTGGAGAGCTAGACATCTCCATAACTGGTTGAATTATTGGGGAGCTAGACATCTCCATAACTGGTTGAATTATTGGGGAGCTAGACATCTCCATAACTGGTTGAATTATTGGGGAGCTAGACATCTCCATAACTGGTTGAACTATTGGAGAGCTAGACATCTCCATATGTGGTTGAACTATTGGAGAGCTAGACATCTCCATAACTGGTTGAACTATTGGAGAGCTAGACATCTCCATAACTGGTTGAACTATTGGAGAGCTAGACATCTCCATAACTGGTTGAACTATTGGAGAGCTAGACATCTCCATAACTGGTTGAATTATTGGGGAGCTAGACATCTCCATAACTGGTTGAATTATTGGGGAGCTAGACATCTCCATAACTGGTTGAACTATTGGAGAGCTAGACATCTCCATATGTGGTTGAACTATTGGGGAGCTAGACATCTCCACATCTGCCTTAACTATTGGAGAGCTAGACATCTCCATATGTGGTTGAACTATTGGGGAACTAGACATCTCCATAATTGGAACTATTCAAATTTCTACCTGTTTGATAGTTGTCTAAATCTGAGAATGTTGATGTTTTAATTTCCACTCCAAATCTTACAATGACCCAAAAACAGGTATACAGGTAGCTACGATTTAATAAACCTGAATACATAAAATATAAATTCATAAAAATTCATAAAAATTCATATAAATAAAACAACGTTTCAGTAACAATAACTCTGGAGTAATCCATCTGATTCAGGTGTGGAGACTACAGCAGCCACTGAGGCATATAGTGTGCTACGAGGGAATTTTGCCCAAAAACCGGCGATTCTGCCTACTCTTTCTTAAATCCCATCTGCCAAGGGCTCTTTTAATGTGCACACCAATGTGTACACAGGGCTTCTGTATTTTGTCCCCTCTGGCAGGATAAAACTAATACTCATCCCTGAATTTTGATAGTATTATCTGTATGAATAACTAACATTCCAAGCATACATTAATAAATTCATGACTGCACTCCGACCCATACACTTCAAATTGAAATGGGCAGATACAAAATGGGAGCCACGGTGGCTAAGTGGGTAAGATGCTGGCTCGCTAGCCTGGAGGTTGCATGTTCGATCCCTGCATTGTCCGAGAAAGTTCATCGGGATTTTCAGGCGTGGTTTCCCCCTTGTCAGTGGTACAGGACGGAGGGCCTGATAAGAACAGCTGTCTAGTCGTTCGCATTGGATGAAAAACCGAGGACCTGTGTATACATTGGCATGCACGTAAAAGATCCCTTGCGACAGTTGGAATTCGATATAAGAGTAGGCCATAGTGCCGCTGCCCGGGCAAAATTTCCCTCATAGCACACTGTATGGCGTATGCCCATCTTCATTAGCCCAATTGGAGGAGAACAGTTGGACATATTAAACCTCATAACATTTCATTTCAGATACAAAAATGTACGCCAGATCTAAGAATATGCCAACATTACTCTATGCACAAGGCTAGAATGTCTACAGTATGAAGATTTATGTACCGTCCATATATACCCAACATTTACACGTAATTATCTACTCTAGAAAATCTATTTAACCCACCCAAAATAAAACAGTTGCAAAATCAGTTCGTGCGTTTGTATTTCCTGCAATGAATCTAAGAGCCAAACTTTGGTTGAGCTATCTCTACTTTTCTTGATCAAAATTATTATCAAGATTTCTATGTATCAATTATTTCATTAAATAATCCCAAGAAGAAGACGATAAAACCTCACAAAACAATAGGAAAAGAGGGGCGGAAGAGACCCCATAACAGTGCAGGCAAGTTTGGATCTCAGTGATGCATCCGAGGAAAAACAGGAACCAATCCTTGTAAATAAATGATAGTAAAAAATCCCCGATAACAAGAAACTTGACAAGACTGTGTGGATATAAAAAGGATTTATCCAGAAACTTGACAAGACTGTGTGGATATAAAAAGGATTTATCCACAGCCTTGTCAAGTTTGTTACCAGGGATTTTTTACTATGAATTATTTCATTACTTGATTCATAATGATATCCTACATATTGGCATGCTTCTTGCATTCTGATTATTTCTGTATTTATAATATTTATACTCATGCATTATGTTTGTATGCTGTCTTCGATCGATGTTTTCATTTGTTTTGGTACAACAAATCTTATCTTATTTTACCAGGAGCCACGGCGGCTAAGCGGGTAAGGCGCTGGCTCACTATCCTGGAGGTCACATGTTCGATCCCTGCATTGGCCGAGAAAGTTCAACGGAATTTTCTGACGTGGTTTCCCCTTGTCAAGGGTGCAGGACGGAGGGCCTGACAAGGACAGTTGTCTATTTTTTTTTCGGATGGGAGGAAAAGTTTCCCCTTACAGCACACTGTATGGCATATGCCTGTCTTCATTAACCCAGTTAAACTCCTTATTTCATTTCATCTAATCTTACCTGGATGAGACTGTCACACATATATTCAACTTATATATCCCCCTATCGAATATATTTCAATCTGTCATATTGATATATCGGAAAATATTGATACAATAAAATATTATCTTATCTTACCAGGATGAGAAATGTGAAGTATTATCATAAATCACACCTATATCTTATTGAATTAATTTTATTCTGTGGTTTCTATATCCCGGAAAAAGAAAGTGATGCACGCCTGCGCATAAGTACTTTAATAGATATGATTATAACATTTGACCTACTTTAACATCCTTGTAATGACTAGGTCAAGGTGGGCTATTTATGTGCATAATTCAACCATTTAAAGTACACACCCCTTTAAAGACATTCTATAATACCTACTAGGTAGGTTATATAGGTGAAACATATTAAATAATCACCTTACCTTGATCTATATGTTTAGGCTTGGTGACTTCCTAACTAGGCTATGGCATCTCACTTTAACTCGTACACCAACACTAGATGTTGCTTCAGAAACCTGTGAGAGTAGGTTGAGTTCAGGGGCCTCTACAGATGTTAATATTCACCCTTGGTTTAGGGTCCAGTTTCGTCTTGAGTTACATTGTTTTTGATGAATTGGCAAGATTGTTGCACACGTTAAATTTCTTTCCTGGCTCAGGGGCCTAGATTCTCCCCTTTTCATACATGTCCAAGGTTATAAAAAGATTACAGACCCCCTGTTACACCAGAGATAGAGAAATGGGGTTTAAGGTCCACTTGACAGAAACTAGGTCATTTTGGGACTAACGTACGTTTCATTTTTTTCAATAATTTGCTTCCTCGTAGGGGTCTTTAGCAGTGGAAGGAAAGGAAACAGGGGGACCCGGTGAAAACCCCTGAGGTGGGACAGGCAAATTTCAATAATTCGCTTGCGTGTAGGGTACCACCCCTGACAAGTGAGAATTGAACGTGCAAAAACCCAACGGTACTTCTCGGCTCACATCAGGATTTGAACCTGTGACAATCTAGTTGAGCTGTGAGCTGCCCTACCACTGAACCTGTGACAATCTAGTTGAGCTGTGAGCTGCCCTACCACTGAACCTGTGACAATCTAGTTGAGCTGTAAAGAATCTAGTTGAGGTGTGAGCTGCCCTACTACTGAACCTGTGACATTCTAGTTGAGGTGTGAGCTGCCCTACTACTGAACCTCCGACATTTTAGTTGAGCTGTGAGGGTCCCACCAATGAACCACCGCGGCTGTTTAAAACATGTGTAACATCTAATCTAAGTCAAGACATTCACCTAATAAACCTCAACATTTCACCTCAAGAGTTCATGTGTTTCAAAGCATAGACAAACCAAACTGCTTATTTGTACTCATCATCACGTACAAAGCAACAGACCTTATGATCTAACATGTAGGCCTACACGTTCAACCATAATTAGAACCCCCACCCCCCTGTAATTACCGGTAATAACAATTATTGAAATTCAATAGGCTTCTTCATCACACTAATATCAAACAGATCGAACAATAACTGTTGATATTTAAACGTTTATTAGATTCTATCTGTAGTAATCAAGGGCAATAACTCTGGAAGTTATCATCATTCATCGCTGAAATCCAGTCAAGGCTTTTTCGGCACCATCTTTAGTGGTGGTCTCATTATCTGAATCAATCGGCGTCGAAATTTGCCTGGCGTGTCCACTGTCATTCGGCCGAATTTCTATTCAGCTGAATGATTCGCCCAAATCAAACATGTTTGATATATTCGGCCAAATTATATTCGCCTAGTTTGTCCGCTTCACCGAATGTAGAATTCATTATCCAATCACCACTCATATCAAGGAGTGATTGTTTAAAGACATGGTCTACGCCATGTTTAATCATGTGACGTGAAAGGTGATGCAATCGACTGGTAAATCGGGCGAAGCATTCTCCTAGCGTGTCCACCCATTCGGCTGAATAAAATTCTGCTCCGTTTAATTCTGCCAAATGATTTGGCCGAATGATTCGGCTAATGTGTCCACCGCTTTCATATACTCAAATAAAACACTATTTATGGAATAACAATTACTATAGTTTATTACACTGAAATGTATCAACAAAATTTCACAAGTTGTTAAAGATACATTATGGGAGATTCGATAACGAGTTGGCAGTTCTCACTATAATAGTTAAAGATAGGTTGTCAGGCAACGAAACATACGCCCACAGCAACTAAATCGTCAGGGCAGTCAACAAGCGTTGTCGCATATTTTTACTTCTTTCGGTAATGAAACATTTATAATACACTAAAATCTGATTAAGAGTAACAACTCATGAAGTAATTATCAGAAAACCATTAGAATTTGTTTGGTTTTTATAAAGTTCTGCCCCATGCTAACGTTTAGTATACAAAACTTTTAATATCTTGGATTTAGCTGTTCAAGTCATAAAAATTCATTGAAAATCAATATTCTTGTTCGTCTCAAGCTCTTAAACTCTGTGTATCAATCTGAAGTCAACTCTGGCAGTAATTATCGGAAATCGCTGAAAACCAATAGGCTTCTTCGTCTCATGACCTTAAACACTGTGTATAAATTTAAAGTCAATCGGATATTAACTTTGGCCTTTAGAGCATCCACAAGATTTTTTGAAGTGATCAAGGGCCATAACTCTGGCAGTAACTATCAAAAATCGCTGAAATTGAATAGACGTCTTTGTCTCATGACCTTAAACACTGTGTATAAATTTAAAGTCAATCGGATATTAACTTTAGCCTCTAGAGCGTCCACAAGATTTTTTGAAGTGATCAAGGGCCATAACTCTGGCAGTAATTATCGGAAATCGCTGAAAATCAATAGGATTCTTCGTTTCATGGCCTTAAACATTGTATATAAATTTGAAGTCAATCGGATATTAACTTTAGCCTCTAGAGCGTCCACAAGCAATTGTGGACCCGGGACGGTCGGACAGACGGACGGACGGATAGGCGACGACAATCTCCGACCACATTTCAATGTGGGCGTATAAAAACTAGATAATGTAAAGGCAATTTGCTGAAAATTTCATTCAAATTGATCCACTATGAACCGAGAACAAAGTGATTGAATTTCCGCCAAGCCTTGATCATCATTACTAAAGTCAGTACGATAAACATCCATTTAATCGTTAAATCGTAAAGGAAAGTTATGCAGTAAATCGGCTCACAATGCACTAAAGATCGCAGGCTAGCGATGCCATCTAGAGTTGATTATGGTCAGGATAGGTTAAGTAATGTCTAATTCAGTGATTCTCAACCATATCTGTGTTTCCTTTATTTAGTTTGAGTCTTCCTATGAGTCTATGACTAGTCTGTGTCTACTTTTGTATGCCTTCTATGACTTGCCATGTTTTCTTTTTTGCAAAACATAAATACTTTTCATATATTTAGGTAGGTGTGCCGCTATTTTATCATGTGTTCTAAGGTGTGCCGTTGGCAAAAAAAGGTTGAGAACCACTGGTCTAATTTTGCACAGATTAAATTGGACCAGACTTATCACATACTTAAAAATATAAACTTGACTAAAACTTTCCTTTGTAGTAAGAGGGGCTTAGACCATACCAATTTAAACTTTCGTTCTTTGATGATTCTATTAAAATTTTCCTTTGTAGTAAGAGGGGCTTATGACTGGCAAAAATGTATTTTACGAAGCTCGCCAAAATGTAGTATAAGGGCAAGCCTGACAACAATATATTATCTTGGGGCTTGTGACAGACTCGATTGTATGATACTACGTATACTATGCTTAATAGAGAGAGAGAGAGAAATGGGGTTTAACGTCCACTCGACACAAACTAGGTCATTTCGGGACTAACATATGGTTTAATTTTATTTCAATAATTCGCTTGCGCGTAGGGGTCTTTAGCAGTGGGAGGAAACCGGAGGACCCGGAGAAAACCCACGAGGCTTGACAGGCGACCCTACTCCTTGCCACGTACAACCGGGGATTCGAAACCACACCAGTCGACTCAATGACAGACTTTATGATACAGCGCGCGCACGCTAACCATTCAGCCATCCAACCCCCCATGCTTAATAGAAACTTCAGACTTGTAAACAAATAAATCTAGGTTCTAGCTCGCCAAAACCAAAGGTGCCCAGGATTTAGTCAAACCAATCGTATCCCGACCCTCAGCTTAAATAATTGCAAAATAAAGTCCTGTCCCTTTTACCAGACACAAAACCTGCAACTGTGGGTTAGTGCCAACTTTTTAAGTTCTGAAATTTTAAACAAAACAAAATTCTTTACTGACCTTAAGTGCCTATTTACAAGTATATATCAATGAAGATCCTAAAGAACTAAAACTTTAGAACCTATAAATATCATATGATTAATAATAAATTTGTTATGAAAACAAAGCATTATGCAACAAAAAGAGTTTTCATATGGTATGGACACAATATATTATTTTACTTACTCATACATGAATATTAAAATACTTACTCATTCATGAATATCATGAATATTAAAATACTTACTCATTCATGAATATCAAAATATTTAATCATACATGAATATCACTCATACATGAATATCAAAATATTTAATCATACATGAATATCACTCATATATGAATATCAAAATACTTACTCATACATGAATATTAAAATAATTACGCATACATGGATATTAAAATACTGTAATGTAACAAGAAGACTCATCAAAATCCTGCACCCTGGTAATCAAAAACCAAATACTACGTACATTGTTTCAATGGCCTTGTGACATGTATAAACCAAATACTAGCTGTGCACATGTTGTAAGATGTATTGCAAATAATATCAGGCGTCGCTGAAGACAGTTCTAGATGTATGAATGATCCAACTTTGAGAATTTTTTTTTATAAAGTTTGATAAAGATATCTTAAATGGTTTCTGAGATGTGCTCGTAGGCGTATGGTGGCAGAACCTGAAATGCTTGAAAAAATGACGGGTTACAAACGGCAGCGCCAGTATTCTGCGAGAGGCGAAGGAGGGGAGGTTACCATGTAGGCACCCCCACAAGAATCTTCTATACAAAATTTAGTGAAGATCGTGGTTCAGTAAGGAAGGTTCTGGCTCGTTAACCAGGAGATCTGGCGTTGGCCAATAAAATCCTGTGGAACACTGGGAGCAAACTTGAAACCTCCTGGTTAGCAAGCCCGCGTCTTACTCAGTTAGCCACCACAGCTTCCACAGCTTAAAATTAGACATGGGATTTCTATTAATTTACGGAGCAAAACAGTAGTATGTTTAACCCCATTTCATTTCATTTCGTTTCTATTAATTTAAGATGTAAGTTAAAAAATAAAGATAAATTGAACATCGATATCATAGTCCTGTTGTTTAGTCTCAAAAATTGTAGGAAAAACCTATTCCAATCTTAATAACGCAGTTAGAATATACAACCTTTTAGAACTATGGCACTGATATATTAAGTAACATTAAAATAAATACACAATATTCACGCTAAAATATAATTTAAAAAATTGGATTTTAAAAGTAGTAAATACACTAGAACAATCATGCCATTTTTAAATCGGAATTGAAATAAATCTAAATTTGGTGCAATGTGTCTAGCCTCGTCCCTCGAGTCTCTTGATACATCTGGGGCTGAAGCGCATTATGGTACACGATTCGTGTACCAATGGTAAAATGTTTATTTTGTCTTAAATATTGGATATCAAAAGCCCATCTTTTTCCGGTAAGATCACAACATGAATGTTGATTTAATTTGACAAATAAATCGTGTTTTCAATGTTGAAGATTTGGGATATTATTTAGTTAGAGACTTAGCTCCTTTAAGAATTGTAACCTGGTAACTTCTAATTCATTGGTGCAACAAAAGCAGCATTATCAGCACATTTTGGCCAAAAATGAAAATTAGTAAATGCCCTAAGAGTATATTAAATAAAATTAGTAAATGCCATAAAGCAAAATTTCAAATAAGTAGTAAACATAACAAAAGTAAAGAATGAAATGAATGTGACCTGCAGGGTTGTTGACGTAAATGCAAATTGACAGTAACTACTTCATGCCATTTTTAAATCAGAATTGAAATAGATCTAAATATATTTTATATTTATTTTATTACTTTTTGACAATAGTACTGATTTAAGGAGAAGCTACTCTGTATTTTATTTTGTTGTTTTCTAAATTGGAAATGTGTATGGCAGCAGGTCACATTTACCGCATTCATTTCTTGTGTTATAGGTGGGTGGTACACGACAGGAAACCAGCAGTATCATCATTCATTATTACTTTTTAGTAGAAAATCAATGTCTGGTATATTATACTTTGTCTCTTCTAGTAGATCATCAATCTGGGGTATATTAGTACTAGTATTACAGGTAGTCTCATCTTTAACATCATTATTCTTGGCTCTAAGTTGAGCATTCAATATTTTTTTCGCCTCTCTTTCTCTTACCTTTTGATGGAAATATTTTTTTCCCCTGTCAGCTGAAAGAACAAACGGTAGCCATGGATGACCTATGCCCACATATTGCAAGAGGTATACAAAGAACTGGGAAAACCAATAGGGCTCATCCTCTCAGTTTTTCCAAAGCCTCACCGTGAATTGGAAAAAATCTACTAATACTATAGCCTCTGTCACATTCACAAGGTTTTTGGAAAAGTGGGTAATCTCCAGAACAGAAGGTGACAGAATGCTGAATATCAATAGATGCCAGTTATTCACACCAAATCTAAAATAAATCTGTTGAAAACTTTAGCCTCTAGCATTTCCAGAAGGTTTTCAACAAAGGGAGGTAACTACAGAACGAATAATTATTGCTAGGGTTTTGTTCATGATGGACAATGAAAATCGATAGGTTCCATGCTCTCTTGTTCATCACACTAGAGAACACACAAATGCATACCAAAATCAAACTCATCCAAGATTTTTGACCCTTAACATATATTTCTAGTTTGCCCTAAATCGGAGGGTCCACAACCTTGGTATGTGTATTACTTATATGCCCTGCCATTGGGAAGTTACAGCAATTTCCACCAAAATCAAACTCTTCAACTTTATCGAAACCGAAAAACCATTGTAATCACTATGACCTGTTCATCACAGTTCGTGACTAAAATGCTACAATTATGTTACATATCTATTCCTCAGTACGATAGCTCAGAGACATTTATACATTTAATTCATATTCCTGACCCCAAGAACTAAAAATCAAAAAGGTTTTACTGTTGTGATACGTACATGAACTTCGATAGCTCTCCTCATCAGATATCATGGTTCCAGGTAAACAGCGTTCTTCAACTGCAACCTATTATATAGAAATATATGTGACTCATCACGGCATAATGAGTCGCAATGAGTGAATTTTAAAAATTGAGTTATTTTCATTTGCACATTACCTTCAATTTGATGTATAGTTTGTTTGAATCGAGCAAAAATTGACTAAGCTGTGTCCAGTTGAAGCTACCCAACTCACAAAAATAAATTTTGAGAAAGAGTAAGTCAAAGATTTGGTATGTTCCAAAACAAAATCCCACAGCAACCAGGCCATTTATTTGCTTTTTTATCGTTGAATATATCTTTCAATGATTTCCGCCATTTATTTGCTATTTTGTCATTCAATCTTAGTAAATGCACTCTTTTCGTAACGAAACATCCACAACACATGCGGCATATTCACATGATTCTCCGTTTTACAATGATGCCAATTATTATGCAAGAGGAATGACCAGTCGTCCCGCTGCGAGGGAAGAAAAATAACTAATTTCGCTGAGAATTTTAAGAAATAGGACAGATTTAAGAATACGGTACTCTTACAAAATGTCCAAATAATAAAGGTGTTCTAAAATCTTTTATTGCTATTTTGATCGTTTGTGTCGATAGATATTATATTTATAGACTCATTTTTGTGAAAATCTCAATTTCGATCAAAATCAGTATTTCACTTATTTTGTCTCTAGTTCAAAATTAGGGACCTTATTAGAAGGACAAAAATGGACAGAAAGTCTTCGAAAGAGTACAGAATAATTTTAAAAAATTAGAGGAGATTCTTCTCCCAGATTAAATTATTGTATTAAAAGATGCAGCATCATATAAAATTCTTTCAGGAATATGGAATGCATGCTGCAAATGAATACATTTTAAAGGAGCTAAATCGCTAATATTTGGGACCTAGAAATTGACAAAAGTGGGTCGCAACGCATATAGTACCGTAATATGAATGTATATAAACTGATTTACATTCAATGGTTTCCGTTTTTACTCCAATTTCAAATCAGTTATGTTTGGCGAAATAAGCCAGCAGTCTCAAGCGAGTGCAAATTTCTAGCGTCTGGTTATTCCAGTCTACATACGCCGTTTGATTTGGTGCAATGTGTCTAGCCTCGTCCCTCGAGTCTCTTGATACATCTGGGGCTGAAGCGCATTATGGTACACGATTCATGTACCAATGGTAAAATGTTTATTTTGTCTTAAATATTGGATATCAAAAGCCCATCTTTTTCCGGTAAGATCACAACATGAATGTTGATTTAATTTGACAAATAAATCGTGTTTTCAATGTTGAAGATTTGGGATATTATTTAGTTAGAGACTTAATAGCTCCTTTAAGAATTGTAACCTGGTAACTTCTAATTCATGGGTGCAACAAAAGCAGCATTATCAGCACATTTTGGCCAAAAATGAAAATTAGTAAATGCCCTAAGAGTATATTAAATAAAATTAGTAAATGCCATAAAGCAAAATTTCAAATAAGTAGTAAACATAACAAAAGTAAAGAATGAAATGAATGTGACCTGCAGGGTTGTTGACGTAAATGCAAATTGACAGTAACTACTTCATGCCATTTTTAAATCAGAATTGAAATAGATCTAAATATATTTTATATTTATTTTATTACTTTTTGACAATAGTACTGATTTAAGGAGAAGCTACTCTGTATTTTATTTTGTTGTTTTCTAAATTGGAAATGTGTATGGCAGCAGGTCACATTTACCGCATTCATTTCTTGTGTTATAGGTGGGTGGTACAAGAGAGGGAAACCAGCAGTATCATCATTCATTATTACTTTTTAGTAGAAAATCAATGTCTGGTATATTATACTTTGTCTCTTCTAGTAGATCATCAATCTGGGGTATATTAGTACTAGTATTACAGGTAGTCTCATCTTTAACATCATTATTCTTGGCTCTAAGTTGAGCATTCAATATTTTTTTCGCCTCTCTTTCTCTTACCTTTTGATGGAAATATTTTTTTCCCCTGTCAGCTGAAAGAACAAACGGTAGCCATGGATGACCTATGCCCACATATTGCAAGAGGTATACAAAGAACTGGGAAAACCAATAGTTCTCATCCTCTCAGTTTTTCCAAAGCCTCACCGTGAATTGGAAAAAATCTACTAATACTATAGCCTCTGTCACATTCACAAGGTTTTTGGAAAAGTGGGTAATCTCCAGAACAGAAGGTGACAGAATGCTGAATATCAATAGATGCCAGTTATTCACACCAAATCTAAAATAAATCTGTTGAAAACTTTAGCCTCTAGCATTTCCAGAAGGTTTTCAACAAAGGGAGGTAACTACAGAACGAATAATTATTGCTAGGGTTTTGTTCATGATGGACAATGAAAATCGATAGGTTCCATGCTCTCTTGTTCATCACACTAGAGAACACACAAATGCATACCAAAATCAAACTCATCCAAGATTTTTGACCCTTAACATATATTTCTAGTTTGCCCTAAATCGGAGGGTCCACAACCTTGGTATGTGTATTACTTATATGCCCTGCCATTGGGAAGTTACAGCAATTTCCACCAAAATCAAACTCTTCAACTTTATCGAAACCGAAAAACCATTGTAATCACTATGACCTGTTCATCACAGTTCGTGACTAAAATGCTACAATTATGTTACATATCTATTCCTCAGTACGATAGCTCAGAGACATTTATACATTTAATTCATATTCCTGACCCCAAGAACTAAAAATCAAAAAGGTTTTACTGTTGTGATACGTACATGAACTTCGATAGCTCTCCTCATCAGATATCATGGTTCCAGGTAAACAGCGTTCTTCAACTTCAACCTATTATATAGAAATATATGTGACTCATCACGGCATAATGAGTCGCAATGAGTGAATTTTAAAAATTGAGTTATTTTTATTTGCACATTACCTTCAATTTGATGTATAGTTTGTTTGAATCGAGCAAAAATTGACTAAGCTGTGTCCAGTTGAAGCTACCCAACTCACAAAAATAAATTTTGAGAAAGAGTAAGTCAAAGAAATGGTATGTTCGAAAACAAAATCCCACAGCAACCAGGCCATTTATTTGCTTTTTTATCGTTGAATATATCTTTCAATGGGTTTTCAGGGGTACTGAAGACAAAAATCATGTAAAAATTTGATCCGACGATTTCCGCCATTTATTTGCTATTTTGTCATTCAATCTTAGTAAATGCACTCTTTTCGTAACGAAACATCCACAACACATGCGGCATATTCACACGATTCTCCGTTTTACAATGATGCCAATTATTATGCAAGAGGAATGACCAGTCGTCCCGCTGCGAGGGAAGAAAAATAACTATTTTAAGAAATAGGACAGATTTAAGAATACGGTACTCTTACAAAATGTCCAAATAATAAAGGTGTTCTAAAATCTTTTATTGCTATTTTGATCGTTTGTGTCGATAGATATTATATTTATAGACTCATTTTTGTGAAAATCTCAATTTCGATCAAAATCAGTATTTCACTTATACTATTCAAAAAAAGTAGGGGATATTTGATTTTTAAGTGTTATTAAAGTCACCTAATGAAACTGACGAAGAAACAAATGACAAAATGAAATGAAGTTCACATTCATGGATTTATTCCAAATGATCGTTAGACTAAGTAAGGCACAGACTGACCATTATAAAGGTAAAATGATACCCGGGGTCAAACAGCAAAGTTACCACAGCATCACAACCAAGTCAGTAACGGGTAAATCCTCCTCTGTTTGCCAAACAAGCATTGATCCGACGTGGCATACTCCTAATGAGACGTCTAAGGTTATTTTGGTCCAGATTGTCCCATTCCTGTTGCAACGCAGCAGCAAGTTCTTGGACATTGGCAGGACGTTGTTGACGTTGACGTAACCTCTGTCCAAGCATGTCCCGGACATGCTCGATGGGGGAGAGGTCGGGACTCAGTGCTGGCCAAGGTAATGTGGTGATGTTCTGTTGTTGGAGGTAACCTGTAACGATCCTGGCCCTGTGACATCTTGCGTTGTCATCCTGGAAGATGAAACGGCGGCCATGACGTCGTGCGAACGGCACAACATGGACTGCCAAGATGTTGTCCCGGTAGTACTGGCCTGTAACACGCCCTGCAACAACATGTAAAGCCGTTCTTCCAGCAACAGTGATGCCTCCCCACACCATAACAGAACCACCCCCAAATCGATCATGTCTGATGACGTTAACGTCTTGGAAGCGCTCGTTTCGACGACGCCACACCCTCCTACGTCTGTCCAAAAAATCAACAGTGAACCTTGACTCATCTGAAAACATCACATTGCTCCAGTGTCGATTATCCCAGTGTTGACGATCCCTACACCAACGACGTCTTGCCTGAATGTGATGATCTCTCAAACAAGGGATCACGCGAGGACGTCGGGCGCGAAGGTGACCCCTATGCAGTCGATTCCGAATCGTCTGGCCACTCACTCTCACACCAGTGTCTGTTTGAAGACGAGCGCTGATCTGATTTGCTGTGATGACACGATTTCTCAAGGCCAAGGTACGGATAAATCGATCCTGGGCTTGAGTTGTCGACCTGAGCGTGGTCTGTCCTGTACAGATTGTGTATCACGGTATCTGGACCATAGCCTGCTTATGACAGACTGAGAAACATTCATCGTCCGCGCCACAACCGCCTGTGTTGTGCCGATCTGTAGCATGCCAAGGGCACGTAACCTTTCATTTTGGGTAAGCCGACACATATCAAAATTTGTTTTCTGGTCACTAAAACAATTAAACTGATGTTTCCACCCTGGAATTCAATGCCACAATGACTGTAACATTCAAAGTCAGAGTCGTGCAAATCTTGGGTTGGACCCCCATGATGATCCCAAGCATCACCTGCATTCCATGCGGTAGCTATTGGTGCGTTTGGGCGTCACATGTAACTGGAAATGTTTCTTCTGTTAGGTTCTATAGTGACTTTTTTCGTAGTCATTTGCATATTTTACTATTATGCCCCCAAAATCAAATATCCCCTACTTTTTTTGAATAGTATATTTTGTCTCTAGTTCAAAATTAGGGACATTATTAGAAGGACAAAAATGGACTGAAAGTCTTCGAAAGAGTACAGAATAATTTTAAAAAATTAGAGGAGATTCTTCTCCCAGATTAAATTATTGTATTAAAAGATGCAGCATCATATAAAATTCTTTCAGGAATATGGAATGCATGCTGCAAATAAATACATTTTAAAGGAGCTAAATCGCTAATATTTGGGACCTAGAAATTGACAAAAGTGGGTCGCAACGCATATAATACTGTAATATGAATGTATATAAACTGATTTACATTCAATGGTTTCCGTTTTTACTCCAATTTCAAATCAGTTATGTTTGGCGAAATAAGCCAGCAGTCTCAAATTTCTAGCGTCTGGTTATTCCAGTCTACATACGCCGTTTGATTTGGTGCAATGTGTCTAGCCTCGTCCCTCGAGTCTCTTGATACATCTGGGGCTGAAGCGCATTATGGTACACGATTCATGTACCAATGGTAAAATGTTTATTTTGTCTTTAATATTGGATATCAAAAGCCCATCTTTTTCCGGTAAGATCACAACATGAATGTTGATTTAATTTGACAAATAAATCGTGTTTTCAATGTTGAAGATTTGGGATATTATTTAGTTAGAGACTTAGCTCCTTTAAGAATTGTAACCTGGTAACTTCTAATTCATGGGTGCAACAAAAGCAGCATTATCAGCACATTTTGGCCAAAAATGAAAATTAGTAAATGCCCTAAGAGTATATTAAATAAAATTAGTAAATGCCATAAAGCAAAATTTCAAATAAGTAGTAAACATAACAAAAGTAAAGAATGAAATGAATGTGACCTGCAGGGTTGTTGACGTAAATGCAAATTGACAGTGACTACTTCATGCCATTTTTAAATCAGAATTGAAATAGATCTAAATATATTTTATATTTATTTTATTACTTTTTGACAATAGTACTGATTTAAGGAGAAGCTACTCTGTATTTTATTTTGTTGTTTTCTAAATTGGAAATGTGTATGGCAGCAGGTCACATTTACCGCATTCATTTCTTGTGTTATAGGTGGGTGGTACAAGAGAGGGAAACCAGCAGTATCATCATTCATTATTACTTTTTAGTAGAAAATCAATGTCTGGTATATTATACTTTGTCTCTTCTAGTAGATCATCAATCTGGGGTATATTAGTACTAGTATTACAGGTAGTCTCATCTTTAACATCATTATTCTTGGCTCTAAGTTGAGCATTCAATATTTTTTTCGCCTCTCTTTCTCTTACCTTTTGATGGAAATATTTTTTTCCCCTGTCAGCTGAAAGAACAAACGGTAGCCATGGATGACCTATGCCCACATATTGCAAGAGGTATACAAAGAACTGGGAAAACCAATAGGGCTCATCCTCTCAGTTTTCCCAAAGCCTCACCGTGAATTGGAAAAAATCTACTAATATTGTAGCCTCTGTCACATTCACAAGGTTTTGGGAAAAGTGGGTAATCTCCAGAACAGAAGGTGACAGAATGCTGAATATCAATAGATGCCAGTTATTCACACCAAATCTGAAATAAATCTGTTGAAAACTTTAGCCTCTAGCATTTCCAGAAGGTTTTCAACAAAGGGAGGTAACTACAGAACGAATAATTATTGCTAGGGTTTTGTTCATGATGGACAATGAAAATCGATAGGTTCCATGCTCTCTTGTTCATCACACTTGAGAACACACAAATGCATACCAAAATCAAACTCATCCAAGATTTTTGACCCTTAACATATATTTCTAGTTTGCCCTAAATCGGAGGGTCCACAACCTTGGTATGTGTATTACTTATATGCCCTGCCATTGGGAAGTTACAGCAATTTCCACCAAAATCAAACTCTTCAACTTTATCGAAACCGAAAAACCATTGTAATCACTATGACCTGTTCATCACAGTTCGTGACTAAAATGCTACAATTATGTTACATATCTATTCCTCAGTACGATAGCTCAGAGACATTTATACATTTAATTCATATTCCTGACCCCAAGAACTAAAAATCAAAAAGGTTTTACTGTTGTGATACGTACATGAACTTCGATAGCTCTCCTCATCAGATATCATGGTTCCAGGTAAACAGCGTTCTTCAACTTCAACCTATTATATAGAAATATATGTGACTCATCACGGCATAATGAGTCGCAATGAGTGAATTTTAAAAATTGAGTTATTTTTATTTGCACATTACCTTCAATTTGATGTATAGTTTGTTTGAATCGAGCAAAAATTGACTAAGCTGTGTCCAGTTGAAGCTACCCAACTCACAAAAATAAATTTTGAGAAAGAGTAAGTCAAAGATTTGGTATGTTCCAAAACAAAATCCCACAGCAACCAGGCCATTTATTTGCTTTTTTATCGTTGAATATATCTCTCAATGGGTTTTCAGGGGTACTGAAGACAAAAATCATGTAAAAATTTGATCCGACAATTTCCGCCATTTATTTGCTATTTTGTCATTCAATCTTAGAAAATGCACTCTTTTCGTAACGAAACATCCACAACACATGCGGCATATTCACATGATTCTCCGTTTTACAATGATGCCAATTATTATGCAAGAGGAATGACCAGTCGTCCCGCTGCGAGGGAAGAAAAATAACTATTTTAAGAAATAGGACAGATTTAAGAATACGGTACTCTTACAAAATGTCCAAATAATAAAGGTGTTCTAAAATCTTTTATTGCTATTTTGATCGTTTGTGTCGATAGATATTATATTTATAGACTCATTTTTGTGAAAATCTCAATTTCGATCAAAATCAGTATTTCACTTATTTTGTCTCTAGTTCAAAATTAGATTTTGCGCATTCCGACTCATTTTGACATACCAGGTCACATATTTGTTTATATCATAAGACTCTTTATCTGAGAATCAAGGAACTTAAAATTTTATTTCGTGGCAGCTAGTAATATACAGGGTCTAAATCATTGCTTGTGTGGAAGTGTCGCCCGAAGTGCATAAATAATTTCAAACCAGTCGCCCAAACTCATCATTTGTCTACTTGCTTGGCGTTGGCGAGCCAATCAACTATCGCACACGTGCAAGCTTCGACTATAAAACTGGGCGCGTATCATTCATCGGGGGAGTTTCAGTTAGTAACTCCCGAGGTAAGGTAACCTTATCATATGTAAGACACAGGCCGGTTGTCAGGGTCGATAATCGCCTCATATCAACCAGATTGTGTTGATTTTCATTTCTTTTATATTTGGGCTAGATTGTTTGAGCGCATTTCTTACTCTTAGATAATAGTTCTGATTTGGGGGACAAAAGTATAATTTGGATCTACTTGTGGCTTCGCTGTGGAAATCGCTGAATCGATCCACATACTAAACGATATTTGAATTTGGTCACTTGATTCGTGAAGAAGAATTCGGTGATTTCGTTTTTAATGGTGTTCTAGTAGTTTAGACATTGCGTTCTACTGCCAGACACTGGAGATATAGGCATTGCGGCCTTTTCACTTGATTCGTGAGGAAGAATTCGGTGATTTCGATTTTAATAGTGTTCTAGTAGTTTAGACATTGCGTTCTACTGTCAGACACTGGAGATATAGGCATTGCGGCCTTTTCACTTGATTCGTGAGGAAGAATTCGGTGATTTCGATTTTAATAGTGTTCTAGTAGTTTAGACATTGCGTTCTACTGTCAGACACTGAAGGTATAGGCATTGTGGCATTTTCACTTGATTCGTGTGGAAGAATTCGGTGATTTCGATTTTAATAGTGGGTTAACGGGCTGTACAGGATCGATGAATCGATTCACCACAGTGAGTTAATTCATTCAGTAGTTTGAGAAATAGACGTTGGCGTATAAAGTTCATGATTTCTGTTTAGTATTTCGGGCAAATCAATCATTTGATACATCAAAAGGCACACGTCACATTTCCATAATCCATTGTTGTTTAATTTATAATAAAAAGTATCAAATTATATCTTGTTTATTGTTTGTTTCATGACATTAGCTGCCGCTGCATCCAATATCCGAACCCTGTCCTACTACACTTGTATTCTTTTTTTCTTCTTCTTCTCTTATTGTGGACAGTTCGTTTTACACCAGAATCAAAAGTTCATGACTGAAATCAATGGTTCATGACCGGAATCAACTGTCCATGATCAGAATCAACCATCCATGACCAGAATCAACGGTTCATGACTGGAATCAACGGTTCATGACCAGAATCAACTGTTCATGACTGGAATCAACCATTTATGATTGAAACAACAGTTCATGACCAGAATCAACCGTTCATGACTGGAATGAACTGTTCATGACCAGAACCCACTGTTGATGACCAGAATCAACCGTTAATGACTGTAATCAACCGTTCATGACTAGAATCAACCTTTCATGACCAGAACCCACTGTTGCCGACCAGAATCAATCGTTCATGACTGGAATCAACCCTTCATGACTCGAACCAACCTATCATGACCAGAATCAACCGTTTAGGATTGGAATTAACTGTTCATGACTGGAATCAACCGTTCATGACCAGAACCCACTGTTAATGACTACAACTTGACAATGCTAGCTTTTAAACCACGGGATTGTCCTAGATGAAGTCAACCGTTAATGACTGTAATCAACCGTTCATGACTAGAATCAACCTTTCATGACCAGAACCCACTGTTGCCGACCAGAATCAATCGTTCATGACTGGAATCAACCCTTCATGACTCGAACCAACATATCATGACCAGAATCAACCGTTTAGGATTGGAATTAACTGTTCATGACTGGAATCAACCGTTCATGACCAGAACCCACTGTTAATGACTACAACTTGACAATGCTAGCTTTTAAACCACGGGATTGTCCTAGATGAAGTCAAACTTGTTTTTCTACTAATGAATGAGGCGAAACCAGACAATATATGCCAAAATGAAAACATGTGAATCTCTATGGAATTTAAGTGAAGAAAACAAAACCCTAAAACTTACATCTGATGTCCCAGTTCCAGAAGCAGTAATTGCAGAATATTTATTCTGATAGTCATTGCAGTAGTTATCTTGGTTGCTATTTGAAGGGTTATTATCTTCATCGTCTGTGCATCTTTTTTCTGTACTCTTTTATAATTACAAAAATTAGTATTCAGAAATAATAAAAATATTTGTCTATATTGGAAACCAAAGGGATAAACTTATCAATTTTGAAAAGAACTTTATGATAACCAGCATTTTACAAGACATTTAATTCTGTTATGTATTTGGTATTTGGTGTAGAATTTAATGACCAAATTGATTATTGTTTTATATTCTTTAAATGGCATTTAGTAATTGGAACATAATCAAATAACACACTATTTATGAATAACAATTACTATGGTTTATTTCACTGCTTCAACAAGATTTCACAAGTCGTTATCAAACATATGACACAAATAAATGTACAAATAAATTTGTTATAAATCTTGTTGAAATGTCGCAGTGAAATAAACCATAGTAATTGTTATCCATAAATAGTGTGTTATTTGATTATTGCTTCATTATGGATGCAAATATTATGAGGAATAATATTTTAACGTGAAACAAAAGTTCTAGAACACACCATATACTTTTCTAAACTGGTCCAGGATGATCATTATACTAGAGTCTACAGAAAATTGATACATTGTTACTTGCTGGAGAACAATTAAACAATTTTTACTAATCCTGACTTGTGTCTTCTTTTTTTCTTCTTCTCTTCTTGTGGAAAGTTCATTTTTCATCAGAATCACAGAATCAACTGTCCCTGGCAAGAATCAACTGTCCAGACCAGATTCAACTGTCCATGACCAGAATCAACGGTCCATGACCAGAATCAATAGTTCATGACCAGAATCAACCGTCCATGACCAGAATCAACTGTTCATGATCAGAATCAGCTGTTCAGAATCAACTGCTCATGACCAGAATCAGTTGCTCATGACTTCAACTTGTGGAAGTTTTTTTATACCACAGGCGGGTCAAATAAAGATGATGGTTCATAAGGTTTACTTACTAAGTTAAAGGAAGGGGAAGCATTCTGGTCTGATCCAGTTCTGCAATAAATACAAATTGTTTGATTTGTGTGGATATCCTGTGGTGGGTTGGGTTCTTTGTCTATTTGGGGATGTTAAGTATCAAGATGGGCCTGTAAGACTCAGACTATGCAAGAATGGGCAATAGGTATGCCAGATAGAGCAGTCTGAGGTTTAGCTTTCACAATGAAAGCAACTACTGAAACAGAGTAAAGTGAGCTTCACAATCTGCTGTTTTTCACAAAATCATGGGAATAAACTATGCAAATAATTGACAAAATATGTTCAGCTATAAATTCGAGATCTCAAGCAAAATGTGAAGTTTCATTAAAATGGCAGTTTTACATTTATATGCATATAAATTTAATACAGATTGGATAACCACTTTTGTTCACAAGGTTTAATATAGTAATTAACAGAAATTCCTGTACATAATGTACATGAATTCATGCAGATCAGATGATAACATTGTCGATAAAGCATTCAAAGGGGTCCAACAAAGTGAAACACAGTTGTTAATGGAAATTGCTGGAATTCAACAGGATTAATTCCAAGACAGACCTGGAAGAGATATACTTTAATGTACATCGAAGATCAATCCAATATTTCTATAGTTTTAAGTGCAGGGTATGGCATGTCACATTTATGTCTTACTGCTGCAGACTGCATTAATTTCTTGCATGGTTAGACCGACCACTGGACTCGTAACTGTCTTGGGCTGAGCAGATACTTCAGGATGTCAAGGAAAGTTTGCCTAGATGACAGGAAGAAGCAATTTATTGTGTACAATTTGGCAGTGCACGTAAAAGATTTCTTGACAGTTGGAATTGGCAATGTATGTAAAAGACCCCTTGATTGTTGAACTTTGGAGTGCATGTAAAAAATCCCTTGACAGGCCTAGGAGTAGTGAAGTAGGCATTAATTCATGAAAATACAAAAGACTCAGCCAACCACAGGTCACGAATCAGTGCGAAGGTGTGTGAGGTGTATTAACGGATAACTGACACTATGGCGAGGAGAGAATGCCATTCCCTGATTTAATATAATGGGTAACTGAAAGAAAAATAATTATACCTGCTTCGGCAACTGGATTCATTTGGTAATAACTTTGCCTTTTTATTTGTGGGTTCTACCTCATGTGTGTGTATTGATCTTGTGTGCTTATGTCCTGGCAAAATTCTCCTCCCTACCATAGAAATAAAAAAACATATGTTAGTCTCTAAATAACCAAAGTATCATGTTGATGATACATTAACCATATGTTAGTCTCAAAATAACCAAGTATTGTGTTGATGAGATATTAACCATATGTTAGTCTCAAAATAACCAAAGTATCATATTGATCATACATTAACCATATGTTAGTCTTAAAATAACCAAAGTATTGTGTTGATGATACATTAACAATATGTTAGTCTCAAAATAACAGAAGTATTGCGTTGATGAGACATTAGCCATAAGTAATAAGTATGCAAAGTTTCAAGGAAATCCATCAAGAATTGCGTGACGGCATATAATGATAACTCTAAATGCAATTAACAGAAATTGCTGAAATTCAATAGGCTTTTTATTTTTCACAAATTTAAATGATGCACATAAATTTCATAGAGATAGGATGATGAGTTTTGTTCACAAGGTTCAACAAAGTGATTAGAGATGCATCATGCTGACAAGTAGGGTCAGATTTTATTAGCACACATATTTGAGGCTGTGGACCACCCTACCATAATCACCATGTTCTATTGTTACACATCACACCTGTGTCCGATGAAATTCTGGAACGGTCTACTTCATTTATGACTAATGTTGGTTCAATTAAACCAACATTGATTTCCTGTGTTGGCCGACCTTCCTGAGCCATTTTAACTTGTTCTAAAACCTCAACTCTGAAACAGAAAACATGCATTCTAACAGGGCAGGATCAAGGAATTTCAGCAAAGGTTACAAAAGCAACACTGTAGAAGAGTTTTCTGACCCCGAACCCCCTAAATTGCACTTTAGCAGGGTGGATAGAGTTTAATTAAAACTATATTTTTCTTTTATTTAATTTGTATGATTTTCTATACTACCAGTACAATATACAGAATGATTGGTGTTCTAATGTACAGGAGATATAGTGTGTATTTAGATTGCCTGTTTCAAATACAGATCTATATTTCATACTTTCGATGGCCTGAACTATATGAAGATCTGACTAGTTGTAGTGGGAGGTCACATCAGGGGTCATACATTTGATTAATTTGCTTATCTACATTACTCCCTCTGAATTAGCAGCAGAGTTATCATGCTCCAAAGCACCAAGTTCGGACACCGGTGTTCCAAAGGGTGTAACAGACAGTCAGATTGAAAGCTGCTTAGGCTATATATAAAACAAATGAAATGGTGTTAACATCCTACTGCTCTGCTCTGAAATATGCCAGAGGAAAATTTTGTCCAGACAGGGGCACTATGGCCTACTCTTATATCAAATTCAACCTGCTAAGGGATATTTTATGTGCACGCCAATGTGGACAATGACCTTGATTTTTTCTATCTCATTCGAATGACTATACAATGTCCCTTCCAGGTCCCACACTCTGCATCATAGACATGGGGGAACCACGTTGGAAAATCCAGATGAGTTTCTTGCCCAACACCAGGTTTGAATTTACAGAGCAAGAGATAATTATGTTTAATTTAATCAACCATATACATTTGTAATCCTGTGACTGTTTTGGTGGTAGGGTCCTCAGTGTGCTGCTTAGCCAGGTGACCTTTATATAAGACAGCCCTGGACACACACTCCTTTCTACACCCTTGCCCCCCCCCCCCCAGCCCCCTACAACAAAGGTGTCCAAAATAACAGAATCATCTTATTTGGGGCCAATCTCCTTCGCCAATAGGCCTAGAATGGGTGTGGTTGAATCTGCATCCGTCCTTATTTTAGGCGGTTGTAAATTCTGTAGGTCTCGTGTTTTATACAAATTATCTATAAATAAACATAAGATGACATATTTCATGCTTGGTTGAACAGTTAAACATTAAAAACACCTTAAACAGCACAATATGAATGTTCAAATATAGATTGAATTACTTTTTAAACTTCTAATAAAACTCAAGTAAAATTTTAACAGCCATAGATTCCTGACCGGAAATAAAAGAACGTTATCTCTATGCATGACAATATAGATAGTCGCAGACAAACTAGTCTATAATAAAATATTCATGATGCATAATATAGAAATAATTTATCTCTAGGCGTGACAATTTCGATACATATATGACAGATTAGACATATATTCATGTTGCATAAAATGCTCATTGACTAAAAAAACTTACCCTGTTTAAAAAATGAGCTCTTCCCAATGGGGAATCACATTTCTTAACACAGTAACCACTCTTAACTGATTTCAATTCAAACCTTTGAACCATACATCCGACTGAAAATGTTAACCCCAGTCGTGCTGATTGTTTCCATATCATTGTCTGATAGAAATTCGTCAGAATATGACATTATATCCTTATCTTTATGTATGAGTTTCAGTATAGCTAATATCTTGGGATGAGTTGTCTTCTAACTTGGGATGAGTTATCTTATTTTGGGATGAGTTGTCTTCAGATGAGTTGTCTTTGGGATGAGTTTTCAGGTATTCGGATTAAACATACATTATGTAAGAGCAAAATCTGGCTATTCCAGGTCTTTCTTTTGGCTTCAAATCTTATATAAATTATCATTTAGGCATTGAAATCTTTATCATCCAATGGCCCATAATCAACTCTCTAGACCATTGGATGGCAGAGATCTAAACGAATTAAACACAGTCTCGAATAACATGTACTGTTTTTACGATTAGAAACAATGCCACATCTTGACAAAACTTCAAAAGGTGATAACTTTGCTCAGAATAAAAGTAATTTGAATGAAATTTCCAATATATTCATTTTGCATTATCTATTTTTGAACTATTACAGCAAAAATGACCAGCTCTTTATCTAAATCTTACATAATGTATCTTTGAAGATTTAAGATAGCACCTTTAAGATTTTGTTGTAACCACTGCAATGTTTATCAATAAAGATTACATTGTAAAAGCAGTGTTTATGTTTTAGTTTTACCTGACCACAAGCTAATCTTTTTTAGAATTACCCTACCATGAGCTAATCTTTATTAGAATTACCTTACCATGAGTTAATCTTTATTAGAATTACCCTACCATGAGGTAATCTTTATTAGAATTACCCTACCATGAGGTAATCGTTTTATAGAATTACCCTACCATGAGGTAATCTTTATTAGAATTACCCTACCATGAGTTAATCTTTATTAGAATTACCCTACCATGAGCTAATCTTTATTAGAATTACCCTACCATGAGCTAATCTTTATTAGAATTACCCTACCATGAGCTAATCTTTATTAGAATTTCCCTACCATGAGTTAATCTTTATTAGAATTACCCTACCATGAGCTAATCTTCATTACAATTACCCTACAATGAGCTACTATTTATTAAAATTACACTACCATGAGGTGATCTTTTTATAGAATTACCCTACCATGAGCTAATCTTTATTAAAATTACCCTACTCTTTCTAAACAATTTAATGGTAGATATTATAATATCCTACAACAGTTTCCAATGAGTTCAGTTGCTTTTAAGTGCAACATCCCATATTACATTAAAAGTAGGTCAGTAGGTTATTTATATTCTATTCCATAATTTTATGACGTAAATAGGTAAGCTAAATCTTACTGCATAAACACGCCCACGAAGAATTTTTATTACACAAATTACATGTAAACAAAGAAACTAAGGTACAAAGGGGATAATAAGCTTACATGTGCTTCCTTTAAGACTATGTTTAGACCATCAAATTATGGCGCCAGACAAATTTGAACCCCAGCAAATTTGGGTCGTGTATGAATAGTATATATAAATCTATAAATTCTTGGTTTATTGTTGAAAGTAGTACCACCTATTTAAATCTAAACAAGCCAACAGTGAGGCTGATGTCCCCCACCGAAATCCAAAATTAAAAAGATGACACATATTAATTTTTCAAAAGTATCAAGGAATCAAACTGTACACTAAGTTGCATCCCTCTCTACCAGATAGAATCAAGATTATCTTATCCCAAAGCATTGACCAATGAAATTGATTAGCTCTGCTTAGCTTCAGCTCGAAAAATGTCAATCATTGAACTCAGTCAAGACGTTTACCTAATGAACATCTACATTAAGTTTAAACATTCTACCTCAATTAAAAGCACAGTTTTTATATTCCAAAGTCTTGATCAATCAATCGCTCCTTATCCTAAGCAGAAAATTCTCACCATTGAACTTAGTCAAGGTAATGATATAACGAATCTATATTCAGAGTTTCATCACTCTCATTTCATTATAACCAAGGTTATCGTGCCCCAAAGCATCAATTAATCAGATTGCTTACCTCTGCTTACCGTAAGCAGACAATGCTTATCATCGAACTCCATCAAGGCATTCACCTAATGAAGACCTACACCAAGTTTGAACATTCTACCTCAATTAGAAGGAGAGTTATTGTGTTCCAAAGTCTCAGCCAATCAAATTGCTAATCGCTGAGCAGAAAATGTTCATTATCGAACTTAGTCAAGGTATTATGCACCAAGTGCCCTCACTGTCACATAATTAGAACTAAAGTTATCTGAGTCCCAAAGCATCAACCCAATCAAATTGCTTATCTCTGCTTACCCTTAGCAGAAAATGTTCATCTTCGAACTCCATCAAGGCATTGACCTAATAAACACCCACACCAAGTTTGAACATTCTAGCTCAATTAGAAGGAGAGTTATTGCGTCCCAAAAAGTGTGTCGGACAGACAAAAGGACAGACAGACGAACCCATTTTAATAGTCCCTGCTTTCTTCGAAAGGCGGGGGACAAAAATTACCTATACAAGTAACCATATTTGTGAAATGTATAAAAAAAGGTAGCCAGGTGGTATTTTATTGTTATTGTTTTTGCATATTCAGTAATATATTCATTATATTATCCTGGTCCAAAGGTTACACAGTAATAAATTTGATAACAATTGCGTATTTATATAATTGTATCTTGTGTTGTATTACAACTTAATCTATTCATCAGTTACTTGATGTGACTCACATCTTTACAAATTTAGATTTCGAGCATATAATAATATCACATAACTTTACTTAAAGGGACAATAACACTCTTGATGGCCCATACCTCCTACCCCGCCCCAAAAAAGAGAAAACACTCAAAATTAATTACTTATACATATATATATTTCTAACGCATCAAGCAATCAAATTGTTTATCAATTTGCTTATCCACATTACTCCCTCTGAATTAGCAGCAGAGTTATCATGCTCCAAAGCACCAAGTTCGGACACCGGTGTTCCAAAGGGTGTAACAGAAAGCCAGATTGAAAGCTGCTTAGGCTATATGTAAAACAAATGAGATGAAATGAAATGGGATTTAATGTCCTACTGCTCTGATATACGCCTTACACTGTGCTATGAGGGAAATATTGTCCAGACAGAGGCACTATGGCCTACTCTTATATTAAATTCACATGACTTCGTTTGTTTTTTTTTTATCTCATTTGAATGACTATACATCCTGCACCACTGACGTGAGTTTCTTGCCCAACAAGAGCAAGATATATGTTTAATTTAATCAACCATATACATTTCTTATCCTGTGACTAGTTTTGGTGGTAGGGGGTTCAGTGTACTGCTTGGCCAGGTGGCGTTCCTATAAAGACATCCCTACACAAACACTCCTTTCTGCACTCTCCCCTGTAGACCCCCCCCCCTCCCCCTAGCCCCCTACAACAAATGTTGCCAAAATAACAGAATCATCTTTATTGGGGGTTGATCTCCTTCCCCAATAGACCTAGAAAGGGTGTGGTTGAATCTGCATCCGTCCACCTATGGAAGTCTCTCTTTCAGTGGGTTGTAAATTCGGTAGTTTTTGTGTATTATTTAATAATAAGATGACATATTTCATGCTTGGTTGAACGACAATAAACATTAAATACACCATAAACATACAATATTAGATTGAATTACGTTTTTAAACTTCTAATAAATCTCGAGTAAAATTTTAATACCCATACGTCCGTGACCGGAAATAAAAGGACGATGTCTCTATGCATGATGGTATAGATGCATAGATAGTCGCGGACAGACTAGACTCATATAAAATATTCATGGTGCATAAAACAGAAATAATTTATCTCCAGGCCCTATGCATGACAATATAGATACATATATGACATACAGTATATATATATTCATGGTGCAGAAAATGCTCATTGACTAAAAAAACTTCCCCTGTTTAAAAAATAAACTCTTCCTAATGGGAATTATATTTCTTAACACAATTATTGTAACAGATCTTTTAAGTGTTTATCAAGATGTTAGTTTCTATTTATATTATTTAAAACGTGGATTAAAGATTCATTATGTAAGAGCTAAATCTGCCTATTGCAAGTCTTTGTTTTGGCTTCATATCTTACATAAATTATCATTTAGGCATTTAAATCTCTGCCATCCAATGGCCCATTATCAACTCTCTAGACCATTGGATGGCAGAGATTTAAATGGATTAAAACACAGTCCCGAACAACAAGTACTGTTTTTACGATAATAAACAATCTATGCCACATCTTGACAAAACTTCAAAAGGTGATAACTTCGCTCAGAATAAAAATAATTTGAATGAAATTTTTAATTATCTATTTTTGAACTATTTAAGCAAAAACAACCAGCTCTATATCTAAATCTTACATAATGTATCTTTGAAGATTTAAGATAGCACCTTTAAGATTTTGTTGTAACCACTGCAATGTTTATCAATAAAGATTACATTGTAAAAACAGTGTTTATGTTATAGTATTACCCTACCACAAGCTAATCTTTTTTTATAATACTCATCCATGAGCTAATCTTTATTAGAATTACCCTACCATGAGCTAATCTTTTTTATAGAATTACCCTACCATGAGCTAATCTTTTTATAGAATTACCCTACCATGAGCTAATCTTTATTAGAATTATCCTAACACAAGCTAATCTTTTTTTATAATACTCATCCATGAGCTAATCTTTTTTTTTTTTTTTTTTTTTAGAATTACCCTACCATGAGCTAATCTTTTTATAGAATTACCCTACCATGAGCTAATCTTTATTAGAATTACCCTAACACAAGCTAATCTTTATTAGAATCACCCTACCATGAGCTAATCTTTATTAGAATTACCCTACCACAAGCTAATATTTATCAAAATTGCCCTACTATGAGCTACTTTTTATTAGAATTACCCTACCATGAGCCAATCTTTGTTAGAATGACCCTACCATGAGCTAATCTTTATTAAAATTACCCTACTCTTTCTAAACAATTTAATGGTAGATATTATAATATCCTACAACAGTATCCAATGAGTTCAGTCACTTTTAAGTGCAACATCCTATATCACATTAAAATTAGGTCAGTAGGCTATTAGGCTATTCCATAATTTGATGAGGTAAATAGGTAAGAATTTTTATTACACAAATCACATGTAAACAAAGAAACTAAGGTACAAAGGGGATAATACGCTTACATGTGTTTCCTTAAAGACTATGTTTACTTGTAATATAAAATATTTATATGAATACAATCAAAGTGTATGTGTGTGTGTATGTTCTCCTATCACGCTTCGTCGCTGCCCTCGACCCCCATATATGTGGCATCAAATTAGAGAGAGAGAAATGGGGTTTAACGTCCACTCGACACAAACTAGGTCATTTCGGTACTAACATATGGTTTAATTTTATTTCAATAATTCGCTTGCGCGTAGGGGTCTTTTGCAGTGGGAGGAAACGGAGGACCCGGAGAAAAACAACGAGGTTAGACAGGCGACCCTACTCCTTGTCACGTACAACGCCAGTTGACTCAATGACAGGCTTTATGATACAGCGCGCGCACGCTAACCATTCAGCCATCCAACCCCTGGTATCAAATTAACCAGCATGATCCCTGTGAATGTTTTAGGACATCAAATTTGGGTCATGGGCGAATTGGACCTGTACCATGGGCGAATCACGCTTCGTCACTCTTTGTCGCCGCCCTCCGCCCACACATATGTGGTATCAAATTAATAATCTTGTGAATGTCTTAGACCATCAAATTATGGCCCCAGACAAATTTGAGCACCAGCAAATTTGGGTCGCGTATGAATAGAATTAGACCGGAGACTCCGCACGGGGCGGGTGGGGGGTGTGTGGGGGGGGGGGGACATCAAATGGGCACAAAACCAGACCCGACTTTTTTAGAGTAAAATTTTGCGTAGAATACGATACAAAGTGGTAATCAGTCCGCAGTTGGGGCGTTTTCGAGATATTCGGGGTCAACGGTCAAATGAGTTCATTTGCACTGAAAGTGAATGCGCAGTCATTCTTGTATTATGAAAAGAAGCTGAAAATGATCGAAAGTAATCACACTTTCAATAAAAATGTAAAGTTGCTAATTTCACCTTTAGTCTTAGTGACCCTGGAGGTCAAAAGGTGAAATTCACCGTTTTTGCACTAGGAAGATTTAAAGCAATAAAACGTCAGCGTAAAATATAAAAACTAAAGCGAAACCTGTTCTAATTAATAATAGGAACATTTAAAATTTATCTTTAGGTGGTCTTATCACAGAACTTTTACTTTGGAACGTCGAAAATGATCTTATATAACAGAACCAACACACTTTGAAACTTGTTTCAAAAATACGTAAAAACTGTCAAATCGTAATCTCCATCAAGGCATTGACCTAATAAACACCTACACCAAGTTTGAACATTCTACCTCAATTAGAATGAGAGTTATTGTGTTCCAAAGTCTCGACCAACCAAATTGTTTATTGATCTGCTTACCCTGAGCAGAAAATGCTCATCATTGAACTTAGTCAAGGTATTGATGTAATGAAACTATACACCAAGTTTCATCACTCTCACTTTGAAAATTCTATGTCAATTACAAGTATAGTTATTGTGTCCCAAAAAGTGTGACGGACAGACAGAGGAACACATTTTAATAGGCGGGGCACAACAATATGGCTATATCTAATCTGAAACATTTTATTTACTGGTAAGATTAAGGTTCATCACCTTGTCAAAATACAATACATTGAGGCTATAAAAACTTACCTGTTTTATTGACTAGATTGTTCAAAAGAGAACTCTCTCCAGATTCCAGAACCTTCAGGGTGAAATATTGGCGCCAAATGTGGCATCAGTAGATTCGGTTGACCTAGGTTTTACTATACAGGAGGTTACACAATCAGAAGACTTGTGAATGTGAACGGCCTATCAGTGTGATAGATCCATGTGTTACCTCAGTTATTTTTACTCTGTTTTAGAAGATATTCCAATAACCATATACTCTTCAACGATTATCTTTTTACAGCACCCAACCTTTTGTTTCGTAAGTGTAAAAATTTACTTATCAGAGAACACAACTACACAAGTTTGTATCTCTCTATTCTGATTTAGATTCATATATGAGTGCGGGAGGGGTAGGGGGTAGGTGGTTGAATGGTTAGCGTGTGCGCGCGGTATCACAAAGTATGTCATTGAGTGAACTGGCATGGTTTCGATTCCCAGGTTGTATGTGACAAGAAGTAGGGTCACCTGTCCAACCTCGTGGGTTTTCTCCGGGTCCTCCAGTTTCCTCCCACTGTTAAAGACCCCTACGCACAAACAAATTATTGAAATCAAGTTAAACCTAGTTTGTGTCGAGTGGATGTAAACCCCATTTCTCTCTCATATATTAGTGCTGATCTGTACACAAGACAGTCAGCCCCAACAGAAACGAAATGAAATGGGGTTTAACGTCCTACTATTCTGCATGAACTGGGCTAATGAAGACGGGCATACGCCATATATTGTGCTACAGTATACACTTATTTCAAATTCCAACTGCCAAGGGTTCTTTTACATGTACACTGGACCTCAGTTTTTTCATCCCCTCCAAACGACTACACATTGTCCCTTGCCAGGTCCTCTGACTGCACAACTGACAAGAAAGAATCACATCAAAAAAATCTTTACGGAACTTTTTCCCCCATCAGCAGGATCGAACCCAACACCTGGTTCGAGAGGACTTTAATGTGTCCACATCAAAAGTGGAGCATATAAATGAAAATGATTGAAAGGCAAATACTAAAATTTTGACAATGTTGGAACCTGTTTTCGTCTTTCATACAACTTAGACCGAAACCAATTTGAAAATCACTCTGATCTCGTTTAAACATACATTATGCAAGAGGTAAATCTACCTATTGCAGGTCTTTCTTTAGGCCTGAAATGTTTTCTAAATTATCTTGCTAAGACCATAATCAACTCTCGATGTCATCAGATGCTCTTGATTTTCAACAGATTTAAACATGATTGGCAGTTAATGATTTAATAAAAAAAATGGATAATCAAGACTTTGTTTACTATTATAACAATGGTAGCAATGACAATAGAGATTCTGCTACAAACAGCCATAATGTCGCTCAAAATGAAGTAATTTTAATGAAATTTTCAACATATTCTCTTTTCATTATCTATTTTTTAACTGTTAAAGCAAGAACTGTAAGCTCTTTATCTAATCTTACGTAATGCATGATTAATAAACATGATTATAAACAAGTCAACAACAAGTCAACAAGTAAGAATTTATTATGCATAGAGAACAGATTTGCTTAAAGGACAAATTTGCATACAATAGTTCAATGGAAGAATATCATTAAATTGTAGTTGTGCGAAGTACAAACTGATGGATATTTAAACTTAAGTATAACAGTTACAATACAAATAGGCAGATATTTAAACTTAAGTATAACAGTTAAAGTACAAACTGATGGATATTTAAACTTAAGAATAACAGTTACAATACAAATAGGCAGATATTTAAACTTAAGTATAACAGTTACAATACAAATAGACGGATATTTAAACTTAAGTATAACAGTTATAATACAAATAGATGGATATTTAAACTTAAGTAATGACAAATAGGTGGATATTTAAACTTAAGTAACAGATAAAGTACAAATTACGTAATTACCGGTACCATATGTGACCTGTGCCGACAAAATGAGTCGGAATGTGCAAAGTCTTATAATGAGCTACAGACAAATCAATGTTGATCGAAATTGAGATTTTCACAATAACGTGTCTATAAATAAAAACTCAATTTGCCAGTGTGGGTCACATATAGCATATTCTAACTTAAGTACACAAAATTGTGTTTGCAAGGATTGAAAATTCCTCTCGTATAAAGATAATAAATAGTTTTAATGTATATCACATATTTGAATTATTAAATATGAATATTTACAATTATGAAGAATTAAATTTTAAAAAATCTAAAATAAAGAAATCTAAAATTGAGAAATCTAAAATAAAGAATTCTAAAATTGAGAAATCTAAAATAAAGAATTCTAAAATTGAGAGATATGGAAGACGAAAGTTGAGAGATATGAAATTGAGAGATTTAAAATTGAGAAATCTAAACAAATATATATATAGTGTAGAAATATTTCTTCTTGTTTTTAATTTTATTCTTTTTATAATAAATATATAAATCTAATTAAACTTTATATAAGTGCTCAATCTGTTGATCACCCATTACTCCAATTGGGACAAAAACATAATTTGGTGCTATAGGTTTGGGGGTGATAAGCTTCTCTTTGTATACTGTATATATATATATATATATACCAAAAATACTAAGTTTTGGATGGAAAAATCTGTATTTTAATTAGATTTACATATTTGTCAAGATCTTTCGGCCTTACAGCATCTTCAGGGCTATGTACAAAAGGCAATAACGTCGCTTATTTAAATAATAGTGCGACGTCAATAAGGGGACATAACTCCAGTATGCCCTAATCAAAGGGGTAATTGTATAATCAAAATAATGTTCATTTCAATCACCGGTTCACTTTAGGAGAATTTAGAAACTTTTAAATATATATATATTTACTAGAAAAAACCTTTTAAAAATCAAAAAGAGAAAATCCCACACTTAATTGGCTGGGGTCAGAAATGAAGGTTTTGATCTAATTCAATCTTTACAATATAAATATCTTTCTAGGTTTAATTTATAAGATTTTAAATAATTATTTTGTTTTCAACAAATGACAGTTCTTCATGTCAGAAACAAAGTACTCTTCCAAAACGAAATTTCACTGGCACGCAGAGGGTAGGGGAGACAATGCAGAGTGACAACCTTCGGCATCCATATCAGGAGGGCTTCCATTCAAAGAGTGAAATTGAAATGAATTCTTCTGAAATTCTAAATTAACGGTAGTGCTCTACTTAATTTGAATAAAGAGTTTATTTCTCAGTGCTATGATGCATACAATCCAGGTTTTAGCTCCAGGGTTTCACCTGACCTCTGCAAGCCAGAACGAAAATGAAGAGAACCTGCTCTTGACCAATCAGAGAAACTATTAAATATTTAAAATATACATACATGTTTGATCTAAAACTTTGATAATATAACAATATTTGCGTCTAAAAATTTGATAATATAACAATTTTTGCATCTAGAAATTTGATAATATAACAATATTTGATCTAAAAATTTGATAATATAACATTATTTGATCTAAAAATTTGATAATATAACAATTTTTGCGTCTAAAAATTTGATAATATAACAATTTTTGCATCTAAAAATTTGATAATTTGCATCTAAAAATTTGATAATATAACAATTTTTGCATCTAAAAATTTGATAATGTAACAATGTTTCCACATTTTGCATTTATTTCATTAAATCGCTCATTTGATGCTTAATATATTTGATAAAGCTACATTTGACTTACAAACTGAAAGCTCACAAAAAAATAAGCAAGTGATTAGTCGGCTCACAATAAAATAAGCAAGTGATTTGTTGGCTCACGATGAATAAAATAGATTAGTGGGCTCGCCATGAATAAAATAAGAAAGATACTATTAATTTTCAACCCGGTTGTCTGTTAGCACATAAACTATATTATATTCGGTATAGCGTATAAGTAAGGACTACTATACACTCTAAGTGAAAGGATTGTTAAATTTTAATCTGAATATGACTTTCTATTCATAGTTTGTAAGATATAATGGTTTAACAACAAATATATTTTTATCAGAAGTTTAAATCTATATTTCAATAAAGGAGTATGTATATCTAGGCTTTCAACTGTCTTTAGATATAGGTATATAGAGCAGGAGCCCAGGGGTCAACCTAGCTGAAAAGTGTACCAATTTTGTCATATATGGTATGAATCCATGTATATCTGGTATCACCAGAATGTAAGTCTGCTAGGTTTTTGACGGTGAGTGTGGCTGTGAGGGTTGTGATTCTGGGCGTGAATTCTTGGGCTAGATTAGCTCAAAAGTGTACCAGATATACTTGCATTCATACCATATAGGTGAAATCTGGTACACTTTTCAGCGAGGTTGAACCCCCTGTGCTCCTTGTCTAATATATAAAAACCATTTTTATCAGTCACAAGAATATGTACTGGGTGTCCATTTCTATTTTCTAAGTAAATCTAAAAGTTATCTAAAGAGTGTGAGACTTTACAATCAATGATTCTTATTGTATAGAAAATATAGCAACGTCAGGGAGTGTCGTTGTGTTCTAATCTAAAAAAGGACATTAAACAAATATCGGTTACCTAATCATCGTCATAGATTGTAGTTGGAATTAAACTTATTCGAATGTCATCATCGGAACCATATACTGGTTCTAGTCCACTTCCAGCAACATCTTCAGTTGCTTGTGGAATGTTATTAGATTCTGGTGGTGGCCTGTCCAAAGTGTGATTGGTAATTTCTCCATGAAGAGATTCAGCAGGAATTCTCACAGAGGCACTTGTAAGTATTTGGATTCCAGCATCAGCTCTTTGATTCTTTATTTTGTCATTTAATCTCTTGCAAATAATCTGGTGGCTTGTTTTAGCGATACTACTCGGTACAGTTTGTTGGTCAACTGATAAATAAAAACATTTTACTTAATGTCTTGATAATATTAACAGGCCCGAGTTGGTCTGACACTAACATCAATTATGCGGGACTAAATCTAAATTTGTGTCTGAAAATGTTTGTGACAGACCTGTTATTTCCATTCTTCATTACTTATGGCTGCCTTTAGTGCCACAAACTGCATGAGTCACAGAAATACAGCTTTCTTTAATGCAACAAATCGCATGAGTCACTAGAATACGGCTCCTTTTAGTGCAACAGGAATAGAGCTCTCTTTAGTGCAACAAAATGCGGTAGTCCCCTTAGTGCAACAAACCGCATGAGTCACGAGAATGCGGTTCCCTTTGGTGTAACAAACCTTTTGTATCATGGAAATACGGCTCCCTTTAGTATAACAGACCGCCTGAGTCCCAGGAATATGACTTCCTTTAGCGCAACAAATCGTTTGTATCCAGGGAATAGCCATAAACTATGTTTCATACTCGAGTGGTTCTAGTTGTTCTAGATAGCAGTAGTTTCAGGTGGTTTTCGAATTAAGCAACAATGTAATTGGGGTTGTGAATATTTACATGTATCAGGTGTTAAAAAGGTGGGTCATTTTCTTGGATTATTTTATTGGGTCTCCTCCCTTTATTTATGAATTCATACATTTCGTAATATGAAACGGTAAATATTTGTTTCACTTGCTCACCTGTAAAATGTTCTGCTCCATCTTGAGGGTTCAATTGTTGTTTGGAATGGTCAGTAATCTGTCTAGTGTTACTCAGATTTTGAAGGTTGTGGTCTGGCTGAGTGGCAGACTGACTTGTATGAGGCTTCTGCTGTATTGTTTCTTTCAGGTTTTGGATATTTAAACTTAAGTAACAGATAGAGTACAAATTACGTAATTACCGGTACCATATGTGACCTGTGCCGACAAAATGAGTCGGAATGTGCAAAGTCTTATAATGAGCTACAGACAAATCAATGTTGATCGAAATTGAGATTTTCACAATAATGTGTCTATAAATAAATACTCAATTTGCCAGTGTGGGTCACATATAGCGTATTCTAACTTAAGTACACAAAATTGTGTTTGCAAGGATTGAAAATTCCTCTCGTATAAAGATAATAAATAGTTTTAATGTATATCACATATTTGAATTATCAAATATGAATATTTACAATTATGAAGAATTAAATTTTAAAAAATCTAAAATAAAGAAATCTAAAATTGAGAAATCTAAAATAAAGAATTCTAAAATTGAGAGATATGGAAGACGAAAGTTGAGAGATATGAAATTGAGAGATTTAAAATTGAGAAATCTAAACAAATATATAGTGTAGAAATATTTCTTCTTGTTTTTAATTTTATTCTTTTTATAATAAATATATAAATCTAATTAAACTTTATATAAGTGCTCAATCTGTTGATCACCCATTACTCCAATTGGGACAAAAACATAATTTGGTGCTATAAGTTTTGGGGGTGATAAGCTTCTCTTTGTATACTGTATATATATATATATATATACCAAAAATACTAAGTTTTGGATGGAAAAATCTGTATTTTAATTAGATTTACATATTTGTCAAGATCTTTCGGCCTTACAGCATCTTCAGGGCTATGTACAAAAGACAATAACGTCGCTTATTTAAATAATAGTGCGACTTCAATAAGGGGACGTAACTCCAGTATGCCCTAATCAAAGGGGTAATTGTATAATCAAAATAATGTTCATTTCAATCACCGGTTCACTTTAGGAGAATTTAGAAACTTTTAAATATATATATATTTACTAGAAAAAACCTTTTAAAAATCAAAAAGAGAAAATCCCACACTTAATTGGCTGGGGTCAGAAATGAAGGTTTTGATCTAATTTAATCTTTACAATATAAATATCTTTCTAGGTTTAATTTATAAGATTTTAAATAATTATTTTGTTTTCAACAAATGACAGTTCTTCATGTCAGAAACAAAGTACTCTTCCAAAACGAAATTTCACTGGCACGCAGAGGGTAGGGGAGACAATGCAGAGTGACAACCTTCGGCATCCATATCAGGAGGGCTTCCATTCAAAGAGTGAAATTGAAATGAATTCTTCTGAAATTCTAAATTAACGGTAGTGCTCTACTTAATTTGAATAAAGAGTTTATTTCTCAGTGCTATGATGCATACAATCCAGGTTTTAGCTCCAGGGTTTCACCTGACCTCTGCAAGCCAGAACGAAAATGAAGAGAACCTGCTCTTGACCAATCAGAGAAACTATTAAATATTTAAAATATACATACATGTTTGATCTAAAACTTTGATAATATAACAATATTTGCGTCTAAAAATTTGATAATATAACAATTTTTGATATATAACAAATTTTGCATCTAAAAATTTGATAATATAACAATTTTTGCATCTAAAAATTTGATAATATAACAATTTTTGCATCTAAAAATTTGATAATATAACAATTTTTGCATCTAAAAATTTGATAATGTAACAATTTTTCCACATTTTGCATTTATTTCATTAAATCGCTCATTTGATGCTTAATATATTTGATAAAGCTACATTTGACTTACAAACTGAAAGCTCACAAAAAAATAAGCAAGTGATTAGTCGGCTCACAATAAAATAAGCAAGTGATTTGTTGGCTCACGATGAATAAAATAGATTAGAGGGCTCGCCATGAATAAAATAAGAAAGATACTATTAATTTTCAACCCGGTTGTCTGTTAGCACATAAACTATATTATATTCGGTATAGCGTATAAGTAAGGACTACTATACACTCTAAGTGAAAGGATTGTTAAATTTTAATCTGAATATGACTTTCTATTCATAGTTTGTAAGATATAATGGTTTAACAACAAATATATTTTTATCAGAAGTTTAAATCTATATTTCAATAAAGGAGTATGTATATCTAGGCTTTCAACTGTCTTTAGATACAGGTATATAGAGCAGGAGCCCAGGGGTCAACCTAGCTGAAAAGTGTACCAATTTTGTCATATATGGTATGAATCCATGTATATCTGGTATCACCAGAATGTAAGTCTGCTAGGTTTCTGACGGTGAGTGTGGCTGTGAGGGTTGTGATTCTGGGCGTGAATTCTTGGGCTAGATTAGCTCAAAAGTGTACCATATGACCTTACATCTTCAAGTATTACAAAAACACTCTGACATACATTTCTAGTGGTGGGGTACCCCTGACAGAGCTATGTAATTGCCAGACATTTGTAGTGGTGGAGTATCCCTGGCAAGAGTTATTGTATTTCCAGACCACATCTAGGCTAGATTAGCAGGCACTGTTCTCTTGGTACAAAAAATTAAAAACTAATACGTAGCACGTGTGAAAGATGTGATATACTCTGGTTACAGGAACATTTTTTTTTTGCCCAAAAATCAATTTCTTGCATCCGCAGTTTATCACCTCTTCCATATGTGCTAGGTATTAGTATTCTATGCATCCTGGCAAAACATTTAATTTTTTGGAACACGGGAACAGTACCCACTAATCTAGCCTAGTTGGGGGGTCGTGGCATTTTGGGCGCATCATTTAAGGGTAACCCACCGAACAAAGTGTCTGGCAGTAGTCATTCATGATTCCTATGGTGGTACTGAACAACTCCAAAGCTGTTTTAGGTGGTACAGATTTGAGCTAATCTAGCCCAAGAATTCACGCCCAGAATCACAACCCTCACAGCTACACCCACCATCAGAAACCTGGCAGACTTACATTCTGATGATACCAGATATACTTGCATTCATACCATATAGGTGAAATCTAGTACACTTTTCAGCGAGGTTGAACCCCCTGTGCTCCTTGTCTAATATATAAAAACCATTTTTATCAGTCACAAGAATATGTACTGGGTGTCTATTTCTATTTTCTAAGTAAATCTAAAAGTTATCTAAAGAGTGTGAGACTTTACAATCAATGATTCTTATTGTATAGAAAATATAGCAACGTCAGGGAGTGTCGTTGTGTTCTAATCTAAAAAAGGACATTAAACAAATATCGGTTACCTAATCATCGTCATAGATTGTAGTTGGAATTAAACTTATTCGAATGTCATCATCGGAACCATATACTGGTTCTAGTCCACTTCCAGCAACATTATCAGTTGCTTGTGGAATGTTATTAGATTCTGGTGGTGGCCTGTCCAAAGTGTGATTGGTCATTTCTCCATGAAGAGATTCAGCAGGAATTCTAGCATCAGCTCTTTGATTCTTTATTTTGTCATTTAATCCCTTGCAAATAATCTGGTGGCTTGTTTGAGCGATACTACTCGGTACAGTTTGTTGGTCAACTGATAAATAAAAACATTTTACTTAATGTCTTGATAATATTAACAGGCCTGAGTTGGTCTGACACTAACATCAATTATGCCTGACTAAATCTAAATTTGTGTCTGAAAATGTTTGTGACAGACCTGTTATTTCCATTCTTCATTACTTATGGCTGCCTTTAGTGCCACAAACTGCATGAGTCACAGAAATACAGCTTTCTTTAATGCAACAAATCGCATGAGTCACTAGAATACGGCTCCTTTTAGTGCAACAGGAATAGAGCTCTCTTTAGTGCAACAAAATGCATGAGTCGCGGTAGTCCCCTTAGTGCAACAAATCGCATGAGTCACGAGAATGCGGTTCCCTTTGGTGTAACAAACCTTTTGTATCATGGAAATACGGCTCCCTTTAGTATAACAGACTGCCTGAGTCCCAGGAATATGACTTCCTTTAGCGCAACAAATCGTTTGTATCCAGGGAATAGCCATAAACTATGTTTCATACTCGAGTGGTTCTAGTTGTTCTAGATAGCAGTAGTTTCAGGTGGTTTTCGAATTAAGCAACAATGTAATTGGGGTTGTGAATATTTACATGTATCAGGTGTTAAAAAGGTGGGTCATTTTCTTGGATTATTTTATTGGATCTCCTCCCTTTATTTATGAATTCATACATTTCGTAATATGAAACGGTAAATATTTGTTTCACTTGCTCACCTGTAAAATGTTCTGCTCCATCTTGAGGGTTCAATTGTTGTTTGGAATGGTCAGTAATCTGTCTAGTGTTACTCAGATTTTGAAGGTTGTGGTCTGGCTGAGTGCCTTCTATTGCTACAGGTTTGTTGCCCATTGCTCTAATTTTCTCCATTTCTGCATAATAAATTAATATTTATTTCCATATTCATCTGTGTGATGGTGAAAAGAGAGAGAGAGAGAGAGAGAGAGAGAGGGGGGGTTTAACGGTGGGAGGAAACCGGAGGACCCGGAGAAAACCCACAAAGTTGGACATAATTGTAAAAGGAAACATTTTCTTCTGGTAATTAAAATATGAAAGCAAAGTATTTCTAGCTTCAGAATTACTTGGAAAGATAGATTTAACTTTAAACAATTCCAACAACTGGCAACAATTTTGTTCAAGTAAAATATTTTGCAAAATAGTTCAAAGGTTATTGAGAAATCTCTAAAAAAGGTGGTGAAAAGGCCTTTTTACCTCAAGGCAAGAAAATAAGCATATTTTTTTTTTTCTTCTACATTCATCAAAATAATATTGGATAAAAAATGTACGAAGTATTGTGGCTGTTTTCACCTCATTCCACTCCTATACATGTATTCTTCTAAATGAGCCGAACTCTTGTCTCAGAGCTTCTGATGGAACACAGAACATCCTGGTTAGTGGACGAACTTCTTACTCGCTGAATCACCACAGCTCCCCCTAATGTTTAGAACCCTTGCATGTATTACAATATACTACACTGTAACCCAGGTATCATTTAATCTTGTGTATTTATCACTCATTTCTTTCACATTTATTCAATATCAAATCTTTGTAAAAATCATTTAAAATCATCAATAATCTTCTAATTTGTACTTGTGTCCAGTTTAAAGCTAACCATTCAATATTGACAATGAGTGTCTAATTTACAAGTATTTAATTTCCTGACCACTGTTAAAAAATAAACAACCTAATTGATTATTGATGTATAATGATTAATGTTTGGACAGTGGTCAGGAAATTAAATACTTGTAAATTGGACACTCATTATCAAAATTAAAATCGGTCAGCTTTAAACTGGACACAAGTACAAATTAGATGATTTGGGGTGATTTTAAACAATTTTTACGAATTTTCAAACAAGGATTGATAATGAATGAATGTGAAAGAAATTTGTGCTAGATAAAATGATACCTGGGTTTCAGTGTTAAGTTCTCACCACGTAAGAGTACAATTACATCTGAAACATCGCATCTTTCTGATGCATCTCCTTCAAGACACTTATCTACAACTTTTTTCCAATCCTGTGGCATGTCATCGGGTCTGCATTTTTTCATGAACCCTGGATCCTTAGCTATCTGTAAAATAGCATGTATTTTTTTTGTATCATACGATCTCTTGGGTTTTGACCTATGCATACTTAGGTCACACTTTATTGGTAATTTTTCACATAAGAAAAAACATGTTTTTAATGATTGTTTATCACACTGTACATTCTGTGTTCTCGCAGCCACGGTGGCTGGGACGCTGGCTCGCTAGCCTGGAGATCGCGAGTTCGATCCCTGCATTAGCCGAGAAAGTTCATCAGGATTTTCCGACATGGTTACCCCCCTTGTCACTGGTGCAGGACGGAAGGCCAGAAGGTCAGACAAGGACAGCTGTCTAGTCGTTCGGATGGGACGGAAAACTGAGGTCCAGTGTATACATTGGCGTGCACGTAAACGATTAGTTGGCAATTGGAATTCGATATAAGAGTAGGCCGTAGTGGTGCTGTCTGGACAAAATTTCCCTCATAGCACACTGTATGGCGTATGCCCGTCTTCATTAGCCGAGTCATTTCATTTCTACAGAAGTTATTATTCACACATGGTTTGGGGATACCGAGGATGGGTCAGTACAGAAGTTATTATTCACACATGGTTTGGGGATACCGAGGATGGGGTCAGTACAGAATTAAATGTTCACGCGCAGTTGAATTCGATATAAGAGTAGGCCATAGTGCCGTTGCCCAGGCAACATTTCCCCCATAGCACACTGCATTAGCCCAGTATAGGAGCAGAACAGTAGGACGTTAAACCCTATTTCATTTTATTTCCTTTCATTTCATTCTGTGTTCTATCAGGTTTAGTCAATGATGATTTATTCATATTTAACTGATCATATGTATTGTACAAAATTACATGGGGGGTTGGATGGCCGAATGGTTAGCGCCGTCAACTGGCGTGGGTTCGAATCCCTGGTTGTACGTGACAAGGAGTAGGGTTGCCTGTCCAACCTCGTGGGTTTTCTACAGGTCTTCCGGTTTCCTCCCACTGCTAAAGACCTGTACGTGCAAGCGAATGATTGAAATAAAATCAACCATATGTTAGTCCCGGAAATGACCTAGTTTGTGTCGAGTGGTCATTAAACTCTCTCTCTCTCTCTCTCTCTCTCTCTCTCTCTCTCACACACACACACCCACACACACAAAATTACAAATCACAAACCAAATCAATTGTAAAATTTGGCAGAAAGATATACTTTACCCCCTGAATAAATTGTCTGTTGCTATCATAAGTTTCATCTGTAGTTAAGTACTCAGGTTCTAAAAGTTTTTTTTTTTTTAAAAACAGGCATATCATCAGGCCAGCAGCATAAGTATCAGACTTATTAGTAATTTGTACATCTTTGTATCGGGGCTTACAACCAAACTTTTTGTCATCGGCATTGACAATCTGTTGACACAGCTCGGGACTAAAATATTCTGGAGAACAGTCAGTTGATCTATAATCTATTTCCAGCTTGTTGGTGTTGGAATCCTGTAAGTTGGTGCAGAAATCAAAACCAACCAAACACAGTTTCCCATTGCCATCCAGGCAAATATTTCTTGCTGAAATTTTAAAAACAATTTCATATATAGGCCTACATTAAATATTAATTTGTAAATGTGGGTGTAGGACACAATAATTTCAGTGGGAGAGAGAGAGGGTTTAACATCCACTGACACATACTTTTCTATTTTTTGCTGGTGCGTAGAGGAAACTGAAGTACCCGGAGAAAACGCACAAGGTTGGACAGGCGAACCTGCTCCTTGCCACGTACATGTGTGTGATCGAAACCATGAAAGTTGACTCAATGAAAGATTTATAATGTCAACTGCACGCTGTAGACCATTCAACCACCCAAATCAATGACAATAATATAAAAACACATTAAAGTGGAGTGGTCACTTACGTTGGATGTTCCGATGTATAAATCCCTTGCGGTGAATAAATTCTAAGACAGAAAATAAATTTCTGATAAGATTTATGAGGAATTGGTCTTCAAATGTTTCTTTTCTGACACATATTCTCTCATATATACTCAGTCCTGAAATAAAACATCAAACATTTTATTTCATTATTAAAGGGCCAATCCCGATTATATTTTGGTTAATAAAATTGCTTAATTTTGTGTTAAAAGCCCTTAAAATCCTCAACCTTAGGGCCGAGCAACTAACTCAATATATGTGATATGTTTTCAAACAACTTAAACCAGTCTTCATCTGGAATTAGAGACTGGTAGCTCAAGCTGTATTATACGGTGTCTGGACTGTATAATGAATATAACATGTACAGCTCGTGGTTCATGCACTGTATAGATCTCTACAGGAACGGCGATAGATTATCAGATCACCCGACGAAAAAACTGACCAGATAAGCGGCTGTGAATTTCACGTCCAAAAGAATACCACAGTTGCAATCCAAGTTTAGGATTATTGTTGTAGATTATTACCACGTCAGATTAAACCGATGCAAGGATTATTCATCCTATCTGATTATTATATATTTTTAAATCGCTTGTTGTGTAGATTTGTCTGATCAAGGTATTGGGTGGATCTTGAATCTGTAATCGATAATTGGATTTGGGCCTCTGGCAAATTGGACCCTATGCAAATTTGGGCCTCAGGAGAAATGAGATGGACGAAATGACCAACTGGCCAATACCCACACACACAAATACATACACACAGACGTTTTTGATTTTTTTGACACCTGGCAAATGGGGCCACAGACAAAGTGTGATAGACAAACATACATAGATACGGTGAATTTGGGCCCCGGGACAATTTTTGGTCCCTGGAGAATTTGAGCCCCTGGTGAATTTGGGATCCGGATAAATTTGGGCCCGGCGAAATGGGGCCCCTGGTGAATTTGGGTACCATGGGAATTTGGACCATGTGCGAATTTTAGGCCCTGGGTGAAATTTGGGCCCTTAGGGAATTTGACACTGTTCGAATTTAGGCCCCGGGCGTAGCCAGATATCCTGCTGGTATAATTAATAAATAATTCTATTTACATAACATTACACATTTTCACACCTGACGAATCAAGGATGCGTCAAAAGCACACATTATGAAGGTTTAAAATGAGTTAAAGTCACCAATTCTGGTTTGGCCAGTTTGTGTTACTACATCCGATGTAAACAATGTACGTGTTATCGTGTTAATGACGCCAAGTGATGTGAGTTCACGCATAGATCTATACTGCACATGAGCTTGAAGGTCTGTCATCTTGTCCAGAGTTAAAATGAAGCTTTCATCGCTGTGATAAAGATTGCCTGACCCCCTCGAAAACCCCCTGGAAATATTGTATTGTTTAAAAACTTACCACAATAGCAGGGAGAAAGTTTAAGAGATTTACTATCCATATATATCTGACATATCTTGACAATATTTGGATGGAAAAGTTTAAAAAGTAGTTGCACCTTATAAAAAAATGTCATCCAATCTGACTTCTGAAACAAAATAAACAAAACATACGCCCACAGCAGCTAAATTGTCCGGACAGTCAACAAGAATATCACATATTTTTACTTTTTTCGGTAATGAAACATTCATAATACACTAAAATCTGATTAAGAGTAACAACTCATTAAGTAATTATCAGAAAATCGTTAGAATTTGTTTGTCTCTTAGTTTTGTCCCATGCTAATCTTTAGTATACGAAACATTTAATATCATGGATTAAGTTGTTCAAGTTATCAAAATTCATTGAAAATCGATATACTTGTTCGTCTCATAACCTTAAATTCTGTGTATCACTCTAAAGTCAATCAGGTATTAACTATAGCCTCTAGAGTGCCCACAAGAAAATAAATAGGCTTGTTCATCTCATGAAGATTTATAGAGAATATGGTATAGCCTTTCTTGAAATTGTATCCTTATAAATACACTCAATGATAGAACTTCCGATCCAAAAACCTTTCTCACATTAGATCACTCAACCTCGGGATGCTGTATACTTACATATCTGGGGTTTGTGTCATCAATTGTCTGGTATGACTCCTGGTTTTCACTGTCACCTGCACAAAAGGTCTCTTCTTGATGAACATGTTTCTACAATATACAATTAAAATAGAAATAAATAAGAATTTATTATACTATGAGAACCATACAGATGATATATATAAGATAAGTTTAAATATCTGACCTCCATGCCGGCGGTGATCTACCCAAACTCCTCACCCCATACCCAATCAAGTCTATTTATACCTTCCCATATGCATGCAAGCTTACTGTCTATTTATAGTCAGTCACAGAGTAAATCAACAATACCGTAATATTTCAAACAATTTAATTTAACATTCAGTTCTTATACCTACTAGATTAAAAGTGACCTGTTTGTTTTCATCCAAATTGCCATCAGCTGTCTCAATCATGTCTAGTGTCATTTCAGGTGTCAACCTGCAACAGAATAAAAACAAAAAATTGTCAATATGCTAGAAACAATTAGTAAGCTACATGCTGGCAACAGCAGAAACATCCACAAACAGAAATGAAATGTGGTTTAACATCCTACTGTTCTACCCTGACTGGGCTAATGAAGACGGGCATAAGCTATGAGGAAAATTGTCCCCAGACAGCGGAGCTACAGCCTACTCTGATGATATCAAAGTCTATCTGCCAAGGGATCTTTAACGTGCTGCACCACTGACAATCAGAAACCATACTGGAAATCCAACGGAACCTCCAGGATTCAACTACCATCCACTAACAGCTTTAAGGAGCATCATGGCTGCAGAATGTTGTGACATGTAGCTTGACTAATATGTTTAATATATGACATCCACAGCTCTCAAGAAGCTGATGGAAATATCTCCATTAGACAGATTTTTAACTGTGTGTCAGTAACAAAACGTCAGAAGTAATATGTTGATGAGATGTTTAACTTCAGTTTTGCCAATCCAGTCTGATAGTTATTTCAATATGTTAGTCAAAAAAAAAGATAAGTTGCCAGGCAACAAAACATGTGCCTACAGAAGCTAAATCGTCCGGGCAGTCAACAAGAGTTGTCGCATATTTTTACTTTTGTCCGTAATGGAACATTTATGATACACTAAAATCTGATTAAGAGTAACAACTTATTAAGTAATTATCAGAAAATCATTTGGATTTGTTTGGTGGCCCATGCTAACATTTAGTATACAAAACATTTAATATCATGGATTCAGCTGTTCAAGTTATCAAAAATCATTGAAAATCAATGTTCTTATTCGTCTCAAGACCTTAAACTCTGTGTTTCAATCTAAAGTCAATTGAAATGATTATATATAGGCATAAACACTGTGTATAAATTTAAAGTCAATCGGATATTAACTTTAACCTGTAGAGCATCCACAAGATTTTTCAAAGGGCCATAACTCTGGTAGTAATTATCAGAAATCATTGACAATCAATAGGATTCTTCGTCTTATGACCTTAAACACTGTGTATAAATTCAAAGTCAATAGGATATCAACTTTAGCCTCTTGCTTGTGGATGCCGGCTGGCCGGACGGACGGGGATTACCACAATATACAACCACATTTCAATGTGGGCGTACAAAACGACCTACCCACTTATTATGTTGGATTTTTTTGTTCTCTGATTCGATACTCTCATTTCATAGGTATGTAGTTCTACACCTTGATAATCTTTGTTTGGTGACATCCCACTGTAAATAATAAGACCAATTTCATATTGTGAATTTAAATCTGAATTACGGTGAAAGGGAGGTTACTAAATAGTATCTTGAGCGCTTGACTTAGTGTCTTGATGGCCCAATTTTTTTTTTATTTTGCGTGTTCTAAATAAGCCATCTACTGTAATGATGAACAGGGTGTAAATTTGTTCACTGTATGATAGCAAAATAAGTGGTATAAAGTTCTCAAGGGTTTAAGATAAATTTGGGTAGCTGAATGGTTTAATGCAAGCGTGTTAGACCATAAGGTCTGTTATTGAGTCTAGTGATGGGGTTTTGATTCCCTGCTTGCACCTGACAGGAGTATGTTCCTCTGGTTCTCTCTCTCTCTCTCCCTCCCTCTCTCTCTCTCACCTGAGTTGCTTCTTCCGATCACTGATACTAATACCAGAATATCGTTGAACTGGTGACTTTCCATGACTTCTATTTCTCTTGGAAAGTTCAGTTTCATGATTAACAGCATTTCCTGCAACAGATCACCATATTATACAGACCCAAATCATTATGGATTATGGAAATGAAATGGGGTTTAATTTCCTATTCCGAAAGGGCTAATGAATATACAGGTCAGTATTGTATAAAATTACTGCTTATTACTGAGCGACGTTTCGACATGCTTGATAATGACTAGAGAATCCTAGTAGAAACGTCACTCAGTAATAAACAGTATAATTACTAAAGGACATTGAAACATTTTGGGCTAATGAAAATGGGCAGGGTAATTTTAAGGGCATGCCAATGTGTACACAGGACCTCGTTTTTTTGTTCCATCCGAACAACTTTACGCTGTGCCTTGCCAGATTCTCCATCCTGCACCAATGACAAGTGGGGAACCACACCGGAAGGTATTTTGTTCCAAAGTAACAATGCATAAAATAATAAAGATAGCTAATCATTAAAATCTGTTTCAATTGTTCGTCACATGACCTTAAACACTGTGTATAAATTTATAGTCAATAAAATAAAACCAAGTACGAACAATCCAAACCATTAGACAAAATTCGATGTCCTAAAAAAACGGTATAGGCAAAATAGTGTGATAAAGCAAAATAGTGTAATCAGCATATGGACTGTTCACCGTGTACAAAATACACGACAAACAGTGGTAACAGGTGTCCGGAAGAGTAAGCTTACCCTGCCTGGCGCCACACCTGCCATAGCTGCATCCAAACTATTAGGCGAAATCTCGGTAAAATAGCGTGATTGGCCAATGGACTATCGGTATGCAAAATGCACGTGATGAACACTGTTAACGATGTAGTAGACAGACATTATCAGGGAGATAGTATACGTGTCAATTAAATATATCTAGAATAATAGCCGAGAGAGACATGTTATATTTACCAATCAAGTCAATATGACGGCCATAAAACTTTTTAACGGTTTTAATAAGTTTAGTTCGCAAGTATCCCTGTAGTTGAAGCTTAGATGACAAATGCCTCGATCTAGTTATAAAATCAGAATAAAATGAACAAGCTCTCGCGTAACGAATTAGTTGAGACACAAACACTCCATAAGCTGGTGATATCGGAATGTTACTACTAATAAATGGAAAGTTAACAATCGGAAATTCAAAGTCATCACGTTTATCGTACAATTTAACACTAAGTTTATGGCAATTGTCAAAATTGAGATGCAAATCCAAGTAGGAAGCGTAATTGTCACCGTCAGTAGTGTTTTTAATTTCGCGCTCATCAGGATATATGAATTCTACATATTAACTTTAGCCTCTAGAGCATACACAAGATTTTTCAAAGTGATCAAGGGCAGTAATTATCGAAAATCAATAGGCTTCTTCGTCTCATGACCTTAAATACTGTGTATCAATTCAAAATCAATTGGATATTAAGTTTAGCCTCTAGTCTAGAGTGTCGACAAGATATTTCAAAGTGATTAAGTGCCATAACTCTGAAATAAGCTGAAATAAGGAACCGGTTAGAACAAGTCCTTTATTTGGTTCATTTAATGTTTTAATGATATTCTTAATATATGTCTGGCACTAATCCATAAATTCCAAGTCTGATCATTTCTAGACCAACCCATAGAATTTCAAACCAGCGGCTGCCAGGCAGGATACGCCCACATTTTTGAGAGATGGATAGAGAACAAGCTCAAAAGAAAATGATTTTTCCTACAATCAAGGGCCATAATTCATGAAGTTACAATTCGATATGCGCAAATATCGAAAGGAACCAAGATCAACATGCATTTCAAGTTTCATCAAAATCGAATTAAAATTGTAACCTCTACAGGGTCCACAACCTTGATATACCATATTTTTACACCTTTCGTGTACAAGCGGCGGCCACTTTGTCCAGCAGTTTTGGTTTGATTTTCAGGAAATTTGAACTCAACCTTTATTATGGTGTTACAGTGATATATTCAAACGATTTTTAAAATCAGATAATAAGTGTGACCTTCAGAGGGACCACAAGCTAAAAGAGGCGATTTTACATATAATCAGGGGCCATAATTTATGAAGTTACGATCCGATATGCGACAATATCGACAGGAACCAAGATCTTTAGGTTATAAACATGCATTTCAAGTTTCATCAAAATCGAATTAAAATTGCGACCTCTACAGGGTCCACAACCTTGACATATACCATATTTTTACACTATTCGCATACAAGCGTCAGCCATTTTGTCCGGCAATTTTGGTCCGATTTTCACGAAATTCTAACTCAACCTTCATTACGGTGTAACGGTGATATATTCAAACGTTTTTTTTAAATCGGATAATAATTGTGACCTTCAGAGGGACCACAAGCTAAAAAAGGCGATTTTGCGTACAATCTGGGGCCATAATTCAGGAAGTTACGATCCAATTTGCGACAATATCGAAAGGAACCAAGATCTTTAGGTTATAAACATGCTTTTCAGGTTTCATCAAAATTGAATTAAAATTGTGACCCATACAGGGTCCACAACCTTGATTTACCCTATTTTTACACTATTCGCGTACAAACGGCGGCCATTTTGTCCGGCAATTTTGGTCCGATTTTCCCCAAATTTGAACTGAACCTTCCTTAGGGTGTAACGGTGATATAATAATACGTTTTTTTTAAATCGGATAAAAATTATGACCTATATAGGGTCCACAAGCTAAAAACACGATTTTTCGTATAATCAGGGGCCATAATTCAGGAAGTTACAATCAGATATGCGACAATATCGAAAGGAACCAAGATCTTTAGGTTACAAACATGCATTTCAAGTTTCATCAAAATCAAATTAAAATTGTGACCCATAAAGGGTCCACAACCTTGATTTACCCTATTTTTACACTATTTGTGTACAAACGGCGGCCATTTTGTCCGGCGATTTTCCCCAAATGCGAACTCAACCTTCCTTAGGGTGTAACGGTGATATAATAATACGTTTTTTTAAATTGGATAAAAATTATGACCTATATATGGTCCACAAGCTAAAAACCCGATTTTTCGTATAATCAGGGGCCATAATTCAGGAAGTTACGATCCGATATGCGACAATATCGAAAGGAACCAAGATCTTTAGTTTATAAACATGCATTTCAAGTTTCATCAAAATTAAATTAAAATTGTGACCCATACAGGGTCCACAACCTTGATTTACCACATTTTTACACTATTCGCGTACAAATGGCGGCCATTTTGTCCGGCAATTTTGGTCTGATTTTCACCTTTCAACCTTCCTAAGGGTGTAATGGTGATATAATAATACGTTTTTTTAAATCAGATAAAAATTATGACCTCTATAGGGTCCACAAGCTAAAAACGCGATTTTTCGTACAATCAGGGGCCATAATTCAGGAAGTTACAGTCCGATATGCACGAATATCGAAAGGAACTGAGATCTTTGGGTTATAAACTTACATGTCAAGTTTCAACAAAATCGGATAAAAATTGTGACCTCTATAGGGTCCACAAGCTAAAAACATGATTTTTCGTACAAACAGGGGCCATAATCCATGAAGTTTCGATCCGATACATGCCAATATCGAAAGCAGCCGAGATCTTTTGGGGATAATACCCTCACCAGGACATATTACCCACACCAGGACATATTGTAGCAAAGCAGAATTTTAATATGTTTATAGGTTTTATTATGTCAAGTAATATAGTGTATTGAGTGAGTGCACCTTTAAACTAACAAACTGACACTAATTTTAATTGCAACTGGCCTATAATAACATCTCTCCTTTAACTTGGCTTGTTAACCTGTACTGTTTTCTTAGAGCCCAAATCTTGGGGTGAGTACAATTCTACTCCCTTGGTTACAACCAAGTTCTCTTTTTATCTAAACCTCACTTTGTACATCAGACATTAGATAGATTTCGAAGTGTAAGGACAATTTGATATCTTCAATCAAATTGTTTAACTTTATTTTCCAAATCTAGTTAAGTTATTTTCAGAGAATTGTTCCAGTTATACTACTTCAGTATTACAGGTATGTGTGCTAATTCTCTTATTTTGGGTAATTGGAGTTTAGATGGAGCGGATGTAGGAATGATAGAAATTGTAATATTAAGCAGCCATTTTATTTAAATAGATAGAAAATAACATGTAAAGATCATTAGTTTTTCATATATACATATATATAGTAGATTATAAGGTACCGTTTTGAAAGTATATTGTATGTATAATCAGAATAATGTTATTTTCCAGAATATAGTTATCTGAAGATTTTGTTCACCATCTTGATAGTCTTATTTAAAAAACCCTTCTTTGGGAATGGTGTCAACTACTTATATTATATTTAGTATAAACTTAAGGCCTGTTTAAAATGTTTAATTTAATTAGTGATGTATTTTAGTGTATAAATTATTGATATATTTCATTGAGTACCAATATGCATGCCTTACTATTATTTTATTGTACTGAACTGTTACTGTGATATGTATATTAATTTTAACTTATATATATTTCAGGGTTTTTTAATAAAGGTTTAAAAACTAACCACCTTAGTTTTTGTTGAGAATTTACACCACCCGGTTACATTATTACCCACATCAGGACATAATACCCTCAACAGGACATAATGCCCACACCAGGACCTATTACCTACACCAGGACATAACACCCTCAACAGGACATAATACCCACACCAGGACCTATTACCTACACCAGGACATAATACCCTCACCAGGACATAATACCCACACCAGGACCTATTACCTACACCAGGACATAATACCCTCACCAGGACATAATACCCACACCAGGACCTATTACCTACACCAGGACATAATACCCTCACCAGGACATAATACCCACACCAGGACCTATTACCTACACCAGGACATAATACCCACACCAGGACCTATTACCTACACCAGGACCTATTACCTACACCAGGACATAATACCCACACCAGGACCTATTACCTACACCAGGACATAATACATGTACCTACATATTCTATTGTTACACATCATACCTGTATCTGCTGAAATTGGCCGTTGGATTACTTCACTTACTACTTGCATTGAATCAATTAATCCAACTGCACTTTCTTGAATGGGAGCCCTTTCTTCAGTGGGACTCCTTTCTTGAGTGGGAATCCTTTCTTGCGTTGGAGCCTTCTGAGCCATTATCACTGTATCCAAACCCTTAATTCTGTCAAATCTGAAACATAAAACTTACAGTCTAACAGGGCAGGATTCAGGAATTTCAGCAAATGTTTCAAAAGCAACACTTTAGAAGAGTTTTCTGACCTAAATTGCACCTTAGCAGGGTGGATAGAGTTTATTTAAAACTATATTTTTCTATTATTAAATTTGCATTATATTGATTTTCTAGTTCTAAAATACCTACTGTAGATCATTCAACTACAAATGCTAACAAGATCTGCAAAGCAGATATGAAAGCTTTCATATTCAGTCACTTCCTGTCACATGGGTTATATAAAGAATCTCAACAAGAAAAAATAATCATAAAAATTGGTCAAAATCTCGAGAAGTTAATGCGATTTTTCACTCGTAAACAACTTTGTCGGCATGAAAAATGTCAAAGGCAAAATTCGAAATGGTGACATTTTCAAATACCAAAAACACAACCCTGATCCCCTCTATCCAAAAATGTATTCATTTCGGTAATAGGAGACGTATTCTTTAAAGTACGGCCTATTATGTTCATCTTAACGTGCGTTAACGTGGGTTTTTAACCTTTTCTCATATTCAGTTCAAAATTGTGACCCTCACTTGAACGAAATCAAAATTCTGATCCGATAGATTTTTAGGCTTTCCTTCAAGGATTCAGAAAATGTAACTCCCATGTCTGTAAGTAAAATATTGCATTGTCAGTTTTTTCTTTCAAAAAAATCGATGATTTCGGATTTCGTAAAACGTTTTGAAAATATATTTAATCAAAAGCTGCCACCCATTTTTGGGGGGGTAGGTCAAAGTTTTAGAAAGATCCTATGGTTAGATTCTGAGAAATACGATTTGCAGAAAGGACACAACAAAATAAAGATGATATATACATTACATATTATTCGTTATGTTCTGATATCTGCCCTATATTTTGTACATTTTGTACTGACTTGCCCAATGGCCTACTCTCGTCAATATTTTGTAAATACTCAGCCAACCATGAAACCAACATAACCACATCTTGGCCCCACCTCTATGAATCAAGAACATCAAAATCCATACACCTGTACTAAGTGAGCTAAAGTGAAATTCATACACCTGTACCAAGTGAGCTAAAGTGAAATTCATACACCTGTACCAAGTGAGCTAAAGTGAAATTCATACACCTGTACCAAGTGAGCTAAAGTGAAATCCATACACCTGTACCAATGACCCAAATCAATAAGATGTATATAAAACTTGCTACACCACAGCACAGGGTGGGGGTGGGGGTGGGGTGTAGGGTGGCCAAATGGTTAGCGCATGCACGCTGTATCGTACAGTTTGTCATTGAGTCAAGTGATGTGGTTTTGATTTCCTGGTTGTACATGACAAGGAGTAGCTAGGATCGCCTGTCCAACCTCATGGGTTTTCTCCAGGTCCTTAGGTTTCCTCCCTCTGCTAAAGACCCCTAAGCGCAAGCAAATTATTGAAAAGATATTAAACCCTATGTTAGTGTCAAGTTGGGGTTAAACTCCATTTCTCTCCCCCTCTCTCTCTCTCTCCACAGAATAGAATAATCTACATGTCCCTAAATATACGATCAATTTAGGCTATATATATTGATCATACTGCGTTTATATGGACATCATGTGTTAATGCATATTGTAATGTAAATGTTTGTGTATGATGTCCTAATAGGTGTTCACAGGGTCCTTGCAACAACAGTGAAAAGGGGTCATATTCTGGTCAATATCCATTACATTCATACACATGCAATTTGGATGTCAGTATGGCAGATAGATAGATTCATTCGAACACAAACATATAAAACATAATAAATGACATAATACAACATTTTTGTAGAACTAACTTGGGAGCCCCCTTAATGTTGGGGTCCCTGGCTGCAGCCCAGACAGCCCCTGTCGATCCGGACCTGTCAGTTTCATATTAGACAGTCGCCATCTTTGTTTAAACATTGATAATAAATCATTTCATAAATGGAAAAAAAATATTTACTTTTTGAACAAATCAAATCAACTTAATTTTAAAGCATTTATGGAACTGAACTGAATGAAAAACCTTAAATCCAGATAGAAATTAGATACAACTATTTGGTTTTAAGCTACATGTATGATGTATAAATTAACAAAACCTGTACATGGGCTACTCAATGAAAAGGAAGTATTCCAAACCACACTTAATACGCTTGCGCAAATGTATTCAATGATAAGTACAATAACAATAGGTCTAACTGAAAGATTTTTAAAGGGCTATATTGAGGTATGTTTTTAAAATGAGTAAAAAATTGTCAAGTAAACCAAATTAAAAAAAAAAAAATCTAGGCCCAATCGAAAAAAAAAATTAAAAAATCTAGGCCCGATAAAAAAAATATCTCCCCCCCCCCCCCAAAAAAAAAAAATCTAGGCTTATCCCAAAATATCTAGGGCCAATATAAAAAAAATAAATAATAAGGCCCAACCCAAAAAATATTTAGGCCAATCAAAAAATATCTTGGCCCGATAAAAAAAAATTATCTAAGCCTAACCCAAAAATTTAACTAGGTCCAACTCCCAAAAGTATTTAGGCCAATCAAAAATAATATAGTCCCAATCCAAAAAAAAAATAATTAGGCCCTATCCAAAAATATATGCATATAAAATCAAAGTTTGAATAAAATGAAGACCCTTATTTTAAAGCCACTGATTGGGGTTTAACGTCCTACTGTTCTGCTCCCACTGGTCTAATGAAGATAGGGATACGCCATACAATGTGCTATAATATGAGGGAAATTGAGTACAATGTTATTTATTAAGAAATTATAGTGAATCTGTGATAACTTATGAAAGTTGTAATAATTACATCATTTATTTATATGTACTCATATCTTCCATTTATTGTTGTGGTAAATATATTAATCGGTGATTTTGTATATCATCTGCAAATCACATGATTTTGTATATCATCTGCAAATCACCTATATGGCCTGTATAATAATCGCCTAATTTAATCATAAAATCATACCTATACACACATATATTCATACATATTGGGGATTTTCCCTTCTATTTTGACATTGTTCGTTTACCTCATTAATTCAAATAGTCGCTGATGCATAATTTTGAGATGGACTATTTATTTTCCTGGGTAGGGGGAGTATATTTAGTAAGGAGGTCATTTTGGCCCTCAAAGAAATATTTCCATTACCAGACACACCCTGTAACAACCCAAGCTAATTAGTGATGGAGCAATCTCTACCCTAATAACTGTTCAGCCCACCCATCATCAAATTTGTCCTATAATGAACTTATTTCCTAGACACTGGGAAAATTTCTTAACACTGGTTTTGATGCAAGTACCAATACTGCTGGCTGTGGAGGGGCTGTGAACTTTTTAGGGGAGCAGGGGTTAGCTGGGCCTTGAGGCAGCCTAGTTGGCGGGCCCCAGTGACAGGATAACACCCTAGGGGGTGTGAGGGTCTCTCCTTTCAGGGTTTAGGGAATTTTCACCCAAATAATTTTTTGAAATTTCAACCTGAAATGGTGCTTTGTGGAGTATATCTCGGGCTGAGCAATGAACCTAGTGACAAGACAAGAACCCCACAACAATACAAAATATATGACAGATATATGTCAGAACCTAATAATATGAGACTGGGTGAAAGATGCCACATGCTCAAATCAATGAACATGATGATCCCTGACTGCTGTCTATTACAAACAGTAGGTATTTTTAGAACTATGGTCGGGAATTTTTTTTCGGGGGGGGTGGGGGGAGCACTGCACCTCCTTGACCCCAACTGGCTACAGGTGTGAACTAACTATATGTTTATTTTCATCTATTCCTGTGAATGGTTGTGTATGTAGAAGTCTCAGTGCTAAGACACACCTGTACAACCACTTCTTCCCCACCCCACCCAACCCAACCCTCTCCCAAAGATACATGCCCCCCTACAACAAATGTGGCCAAAATAACATAATTTAGTTATGGGGGTATTCTTAACAATTCTCCTAGCATTTTTGATCTCCTCCACCAATAGGCCTAGAAAGGGTATGGTTGGATCTGCATCCGTCCTTATTTTAGCGGTTGTAAATTCTGTAGGTTTTGTGTTTTATACAAATTATCTATATATAAACATAAGATGACATATTTCATGCTTGGTTGAACATTTAAACATTACATACACCTTAAACAGCACAATATGACTGTTCAAATATAGATTGAATTACTTTTTAAACTTCTAATAAATCTCGACTAAAGTTTTAACAGCCATAGATCCATGACCGGAAATAAAAGAACGTTATCTCTACGCATGACAATATAGATAGTCGCGGACAAACTAGACTCATATAAAATTTTCATGGCGTATAAAATACTCAATGACTAAAAGCTGCCTCATTTTTGAATAAAATGAACTCTTCCTAACAGGAGATTACATTTCTTAACACAATCACCAGTGTAAGTGATTTTTAACCGTTTATCAAGGCGTTTATTAAGTTGTTAGTTTCTATTTAAATTATTAAATACACAGATTAAAGATGCATTATGTTAAGCGTTAAATCTGCCTATTGCAGATCTTTGTTATGGCTTTTAAAAACAGACTGAAACAGGTTGCCATTTATTGATTTGATTTAAAAGTGGCAAAGTGAGGCCATGGACTTATGGTGAGGCTAATAGCCCGTTCAGACGCTTATTTTTAAACCAGTTCATAATCGCTGGGGTTTTTAAGACAGCATCGTGTTGCGTTCACACGTACTATAAGCCAATCCAGTTTAACTATTCTGACCTCTTCGGTCGGAGGTTAGAGTTAACTACGCATGGGTAGCTTCATATTCTTTATTCGGTTCTCGCACCCTTTCGATAACATTGGCACTGTCTGACCCTGATATTTTCACAGGAATGTAACTTACTGCGTACTGCGCATGCTCAAAGCAAGCTGGAGCAAGCTAAGATGAACCAGTTTAAAAAAAAAAGCC